AGCGTCCCGAGCTATCATCCTCGCAAAGGGTCTGCACATCCCTCGGGCTAGGGTCGGCTAGGCCCTGGCATAGCTGCCCTAGGGTCCTATCCTCCCCTACCCCCCCTACTGCCCCCCAATCTCGAGTCGGAAGGATCCGGTCGGGGAGTTTCGGCTCGGGATTCTCGTGACAAAAGGTAGTGAGAGTAGAGGAGAGGAGTTAAGGGTGGGTGGGCTGGGACAAGACAGAGGTGTTGGGAGTGCTGCCCCCCAGGATTCAGACAAGGTGTGGGATCACACACTTGCTGGAGCCTGAGGTTTCCGCAGGAAACTACTCCAGAACCGCACGAGGTTTTCGTGTTGCGGAGGGAGACCAGAGGATTCCGTGTCGGCGGGTAGGCTGATTGCTTGGGAAGGCGGGGAGCTGCGCCTGTCCGTCGAGACCGAGGGCGAACAAGCAGAGGGCGGACAGGCGTCGAGCGTACCCGACGTCGATGGCAAGGGAGGGGAGTGTCTACCGCGCGAGCCATCGTGGCTGCCCGTACTCGCAGCCGGTAGTGCCTTACTCGGGCGATTCGACGTGCTTGACCGCGCAGATCGCAAGGTGGCTTCGAACGTTTGACTTGTGCGCACCGGGGTTGGCCAGTGTTCTCGCTGCGTCGGAGACGAGGGGTGAGGCGCGGAGCGGCGAGACGCAGGAATGTCCACCGTTGGAGAACCCGCAACTAGCGGCGAACGGCGAGGGAGATTGGTTTTCCCATGAGAGGCTGCAAGGTATTGCACCGGCGAGCCCGCGAAGCGCTTGAACGAAGGCGAGGGTGAGCGTGCAGGAGAGGAAGGCTCGCGCACACCTTCGACAGGAGCGGGCCCATCGATTTGTTGCGGAAGCGGGGCTTGATGCGTCGCGCGGTCAATGGGACGCGAGTGCGGCGGGAGCTTGAAGCGTTGTGCGCGCTCGGAAGGGGCAGGCGCATCGTACTGGGTCGAACGCGCGGAGCTCGTGCACGTAGTGAGCCGTTCCCCAGATGAATGGTTCGAATCGCAGGGCTGCACCGCGCGCGAGGCTTCCATCGAGCGTAGACTCAGCTCCTGCGTCGAGGCGGCATGAGCCCGCACCTCGCATTGGCGCGGTGTGCCTGTTAGGGCTTGGCAATCTCCCTGAGCCAGGGCTGGGCAGTCGCGAGATGTGCGGGTGGTTCGCACGACTTCGCTGCTGACCGGGGGGAGAGCGCAGCGCACGCGCGCATCCTCTCGAGTCGCGTCACCGGCGGCTTGGTCTTCGCGCGGCCGTACCGCGGTACGATTGCGCTCCTCACGTATATCTTCGCGTAGGGAGAGAGCGAGGCTACGCTTCGCAGCGGCCGCTGCCCGGATTGCCCTCGCGGCTGATATTTCGGCGTCGAGCTGGCGCTCTTCGTGTGCACGCAAGGCTCGAGCGCGCGAGCGCGGTGACATGGCGCGAGCGGGCCGGTCTTCGTATTGCGCGGGAACACGTGTCTCGCGCAGCGCTTCACCGGAGGGTTGAGCATCCTCGCGCTGGCCGCAGGCGCGTTGATCATCCTCGCAATAGGCTGGAGGGGGCGCGTGCGCACGAATGTCGGACCGTGGTCGGTGCGCAGAGACTTGCGTGCCGTTCGCAATCGGGTGCAGGGGAGTGCGCGGGGACGAGTCGGCTACCGGGCGGCGCGAGCGTAGAGACGCGTCGGACAGGGGCGGTGGAGCCGGAGAGCGGTGGGTGTGCTCGACATGCGCGAGTGCGTCTCGTTGACGTATCGACAAGGACGCTTCGACAGGAGGTACGCGAGTGCATTCCACGGGCGTACGCGTGCCAGGTGAGAGAGCCTGAGCGGCCGGCGGATGCTCAGACGTAGGCTCGTCGAGCATGAAGGGACGAGCGGGCGGGTCGTCCCGTTGCGCGATGGCGCGTGTTTGTTTGCGTTGCTCGGACACCAGGGCTTGAGCCGCGAAGTACGCGTAGACGTCCGCTCGCCCTTGCGAGCACGGCGAGAGGGCGCGCGGGGGCGGTAACCGAGGCGATGGTGCGTCGAACGGGGAGGAGGGAGCCGCAGAGAGCGCGCTGCGCGTAACGAGCGCGAGCGCATCCATCGCGAGCAGGTGCGCCGGGGGTACGCGAGGACGAGGCGGCTGGGAGAGCGCAGAGGATGGACGGACCTGGCTACTCACCGTTGTACCCTCTCGCCCTCTCTCCCCTACCCCCGCTCTTGTCGTCGAGCTCGCGTTCGCGAGTCGCGTACCCTCGCCCTCCGAGTCGCGGCCGTTCGCGTTGTGGGCGGCGAGCCTGCGCGCTGTCGAGTACGCCGCGTCGAGTGCCGGCGTGGCTTGCGCGGCGACCTGGGCTGCGCGCTCGTGGTGCGTGCGCATTCGCGTTTGCTCGTACCGGGGCGGCGAGACCGCGCGTGTCGACGGCGCGTCGCGTTGCGCGTGGGCGCGGGCCGTCTCGTTGCGTGTCGCGCTGCGGGACGGTCGGTCGTCTTCGCGTTGGGTGCACGCGCGCGCGCGTTCTTCGCGTTGGGTGCGCGCGAGCGCGCGTTCTTCGCTCGCGTCGTGAGCCGGGGCCTGTCGGCTGCGAGGAGAGCGGAGCCATCGCTCGTCCTCGCAGTCCGGTTGGCGCGTCGAGCGGGCGAGAGGACGCGAGAGAGGAGGAGGAGGGAGGTCGCCGCGAGAGTCGACGCGACGGTCGAGCGCCGAGGGCCGCGCGTCCACCGCGCTCGGGCGCTCGTGCGATCGCGCGGTTCCCACGGGCCTCCGAATGGGCGTAGAGGGCGCGGCGGGTGCAGGCGAGTCGCGGGGAGTGGCGGAAGGAGGTGGCGGGTAGCCTCGAGGCGCGGTCGTCGAGGAGAGGGTGCTGGCACCGAGCGCGCGCGCGCTCTTCGACGACGACGCGTGCTTGAGCTGCCGAATAGGTGACAGGGCGTCCCAATGGGATCGCGAGAGCCACGTCGTTGAAGGCATTAGGTTAGGATGAATATAGAACAGTTAGAATGAGAATAGACAAGGTCTAAATATACGAGGGAGTTCACAGGGCAGTGGACCGGTCCCCTGAGTGTCCACCAATGTAAGAGTTCGTGGGCTTGGAACCCTTGATTGGGGGGCCGGGCTGCCCGTGAACTTGACGTTTGGTGGTCGCGGCGCGACCGGGGAGAATGTCGTGAGGTCTTGATGTCGTTAGCGAGGCGAGGAGCTCCCGCTGTAGTCGTAGCTGGGCGAGGAGCCTAGCTGTGGCGTAGTGTGTCCTAGGACGGGCGAGGAGCCAGGCCGAGGGCGTGTCCTAGACTGGGGCGAGGAGCCGTGTCGAGGGGGAGTCCTGGACGCAGGCGAGGAGCCTTGTCTAGGATTGGTCCTAGGCGTGGCGAGGAGCGCAGGCCGAGGAGGGTTGAACGTACTCGGATGGCGCGGGGTTCGCACACAGACGATGTGGTAGTTCAGGTGTAAGAATGGATTACTTCCCAATAAGGAAGGCGGATGGCTAAGTACAGACGATCTAATCTAATCTACACTAGACAGTTCATAATCTTATCTACTAGGGCAGGCATAGTATTGCCTACCCGTCACAATGAGAGCCGCGATGGTGAGGATCGAGTCCAGCGTGAGCACGGTGGACCAGGTAGGCGGGGCATTCTGCATGACGGCCAGTATCTCATCGACTGGTCGCTCCGGGGTACCCGCAATGTGGCGGTGGTAAAGGAGTCGTCGATCTACGAAATCCATGGGGAATTCCTTCTCGTGTCCTGGCTGACGGAAACGTTGGCCGTCGTATTGTGTGCGCAGAGCGACTAGGAACTTGTGGGTGAAGAACTGAACTTTGATACCTTCGTACAGACTCCACCAACCCGACGAGTAGAGCTTCTGCGTTTCGTAATCGAGAAGTTGCCACCATCGTTCAGCACGACCCGTGAATCGATCAGGTGCGGCGGCGCCGAGGTCTCTGGCCACCGAGTCGTTTTTCCGAGCGAGGTTGTTCATCTTGTGCAGATAGATGAGAATAGTCTTCCGGCTCCCATTCCACTCGGGTATAGAGTCTCGCGATATTTTCTGATCCAGACGGATTCCGGATTCTCTCAGAGCAGGCAATTGTTGGATGATGATCGTGGGTCGATTATCCGGTGAGGCTTGAGCGGAGCTGGATCCACCGTAGGGAGGTCCGCCTCCTGGAGGGCCGCCAGGGTATCCGTCCGGATATCGGTCGCCCCCCGAGTTCCTGCCGTCGTTTCCGTCGTCGCGATCGTTCTGGTTAGGTCCATCATTGCCGTTTCCGCCGCCTCCGCCTCCCGGAGGGTCTCCTCCCCCGGGAGGACCGCCCGGAGGGCCGCCGAAAGGAGGACCTTTCCCAGGACGGTCGGCTCGGCTGGAACGGGTGCTGTGAATTGACTCGTCGTCGCGATGGTTCTGCTCTTTGGACTTCGGAAAACTGGGTGCGTGGGGTTGGTAAACCCCTTGCGCCGAGTAACCGGTAGGACGAGCTTCGTAAACGAACACCTTTTCGCCCGAGGCGCCTTTGGATTGACGAATTTGGTCGTAATGCAGGCCCTGGGCCAGATGAGGAGGGGTATCGTGTTGAGGGACCGGAGCAGGTACTGCCCGGAATTGAGAAAGCGACATAGAGACAGGACGTCCGGCAGGGAAGACGGCGTCGCGGACAGCCTGAGCCGCTGCCGATTCCGGAAGGGCGCAAGAGTGACTCCTAGCCCCGATAGCTGAGGCTCGACGCTCGACTGGAGGAGCTGGAGAGGAATTATTGAGGGGACGAGAGGCCCCGTCCTCTTGGAACTGAACCTTCCGCCGGTTTCCGTCTTCGTTGGAGGGCAAGGTGAAATCCGGGTTAGCATGACTCGAACGGTGGGTGAACCGTCGACGACTGTCCACCGTGGGAGGCAATCGAACACTTTCCTCCGGCTTGAGGGGAGGAGAAGGTTCGGAAGGGACGCTCGGGACGGGCCGAGTCAGTTCCAATTCGACACGATCCATGGAGGAAGCACGCGAATGTTGAGCCATGCTCTCATTCATGGAAACCGAAGCCCCATGCGTGACGGGAGTGACAAGCAAGGAAGCCGGGAGTACTCGAAATCGGAGTTCAGGAGGTACTTGCTTATTCGCCAGGTCGGGATCGAGTCCCTTAGTCTTGCCCAGTCGACGGAGTACTACAGCCTGATATTCAGGCGTCAGGTTATGAAAGACGTCGGGGTGTTGCAGCCATTTATCGATTACGACCCTTTTGGAGTTCGAGTCCTTGACGTGCAAACTGAAATCCGAGTCCGTCGACCTGATTGAGCTCGGGTAGAGTTGCCCAAGATGGAGGGCGCGTCGTTGATGAATCAAGGTAAGGGCTTTGGCCGCTCGGTACTGGAGGACTCGGAACGCGTCGGAGAGTAGACCTCTCGACGCGGATCCTTGAAGAGCTTCGAGCAAGGAGTCGGCGTGGTCGGCTTTCCACCGACGGGAACCCCCTTCCAACTTTAGCATGGAGGCGACCAAGGTCTCCAAGCCTTCGACGACATAGTCGACCCGCCTCATCGCTCTAGCGGTCAAGTGGAACCGTGACTCTTTGTCCTCCACTTCGGCCGTGTTGCGGACGTCAGAATTAGCGAGGTCGTCTCCGACAAACGCGTTCGCTTCTTCGAACAGCGTGCCAAATTTGCCCATCGCGTCGGGTGCATTGAGGTCGTTGAAGAGAGCTTCAGCTTCGGCGGGCTTGCGCAGGTGCACGTAGAAGTGACCTGATTCATCCAACAAGTCCTTGAGATGGGATTTGTCGACAGCTTCTTTGGCGGCCTTCCTAACTTCCGCCGCCGAGAGGGGTGTAGGACCCACCTCGGGCAGAGGGGGCGGGGCGCTGGGACGCCAAGGGGTGGATGCGGCGAAAGGAGGCGCGTTGTAATCGAGAGGAGCGACTTCGCTCGCAAACGAAGGAAAGAACAGGTTGGTTCGGGGCTCAGAAGGCAAAGCGGACGTCGCCGACGGTGAATGATGAAAATTCCACTTCGACGGCAACGCGGTCTGAGAGCTAGTGTCTGCGGGGCGGGGCCGAGGAGATTCCACGAGCGAGGTACCTCTCACATCGTGGAGGGATACAGGGCCAAGATTGACACGAGGAGGGAGATCGCCCGGAGCCGGGATGAGCGGTGACGAGTCCCGCAGGACAACTGGAGCAGTCGCGGGGGAGGACCGACCGGGATCGCTCATCCTTGAGGAGGGGGTGGAGAAGTTGGAAGACTTACTTGTCCTGAGAGACGGGTTGGGATTACCCGCGTCCTCGGTGTCCTCCACGTAGGCCGACATGTGCGTGAATGGCGTCGTGGAGCCTGACGGAACTGCTGAAGGCGGACGCGAGGGTCGAGATGCGTCTCCGAGGAAGGAAGTACCAACTCCCGGAGCCCGCCCAGCCATACCGTTGTTAGAGGAAGGTGCCAGGTAGTGGACCGCTCCCCTGAGTGTCCACCAATGTGAGAGACGGTAGTATCGTCAACTCGCTAGAGGGGAACGGGCTACCTGGCAGCCTCGAGCGTTGGTGACCGCCCTGCGGTCGGGTCTTATAAGTCGTGAGCTGGCGAGGCGCCAGAGGTGGTCGTGATACGTGATAGGCGAGGAGCCTAGTGAGTCGTGTTAGTCGTGCGTCGGCGAGGAGCCGACGAGAGAGTCGTGCCCGAGGCGAGGAGCCCGGGAGGCGAGTCGGCGAGGAGCGCGACGCGCTAAGCCGGCGAGGAGCTCGACTTAAGGAGCTGGCGAGGGGCTGCTCCGTTGCACGGTGAGTAGCACACGCAGTCGGTCAGCGTGCGAGGAGCGCGCTTTGACCTTGGAAGGAGCTCCCGGTTCGGACGGCGCGGTTAGTCGCACACGGACGAAGTGGTTGAGGAGCAAGTAGAAGTGTGTCTCCATTAGGCAAGCGCGCGCAAGTCGGTCGCGAGCGCGCGTCTTAGATAATTACATGAGGGTTAGAACACTAAATACTAATGATAATTATGTACGTGCACAGAAGACGTGCGGGTCGCGATTCTTGAATACCATTTTGTACGTAGTGGTGTACGCGGACTTGATGCGTTCCACCGCGTCCGTAACACATACGCTACCGGACACTGCCCCAGTGATCTGCTTACGTATCTCTCCGCGCTGATTGCACTATCTCTTGTATTTAAACTTGTTGTACAGTAGCGGTCGAACTTCACGTTCGACCTGGTTAACTCTTGAATCCTATCTCCTTCGCTTGCCCACTTCCCCTACGCCCTAGCGGCAGGTGACGACCAAGCTCGGATAGGCCCGACCGACCAGGAGCCTTTGAGGAAGCCAGCACAGCTAGTCCTCTCGAACGCCCCGACGGATCCAGACTCTAGACGAGAGTAAGCCCTTGTTAAAGGCAGCGTCTTCAGTAGAAGTTTGTTCTCGTATTGGCTATCGCCTTCATCATTGTCCCGCTCCTACCCGTCGCGTAACAATGGGGGTGGTTCGGAACGCTGCACAGATGAGTCGTAGCGCTCTGTGCTGGACTTTCTCAAGCCAGTCTACGTGCTTCTTTCTTCCCGTCCACCATGCCGCGCTTGCATACGTCATGATTGGGCGTACACAAGCGGTGTATAGTGTTCGTAGGTGCGTCTGGGACAAGCCTCGTACCGTGTTAGCCAGCATACTAAGACCATTTACAGTCTTTTCTGCTCGCCCGGCCATCTGTTTGACGTGGAAGTCAAACGTCAGCCCTCGGTCCATGTACACCCCCAGCCATTTGATGGCATGTTCCGCATGCACCACTGCTACCATGCCGTCAGGGCCAGGTAGGGTGATGGATGGGGAATTGCCATTGACACGGTGCTTCTTCGAGTAATGCATGAGTTCTCGTTTCACAAGATCAGGTGAGAGTCCAACTCCGGTGAGCCATTCTTCTACCACTGTGTAAGCGATTTTCAGCATCCTGACATTGGTGTCAAGGGATGCCGATGAGACATATAACTTTCCGTCGTCCACGAACATGAGTAAGTGGACGGCAGAAGGTTGGTCTGGCAGTCTTAGGCCCGCCTTCTGGGCTGCCTCGTGTACCATTGCGTGATGCTCGAAGATCTCGAGGATCTCTGCTGCGTATATGATCGACAGGATCGGTGATACGGGTGATCCCTGTGGGATGCCATTCACGACGGGTTTCATAGCCCCTCGTATGCCATCAAGGCATATGGCTGCTTCTCGTTCCGACAGGAACGAGGCTGTCCACTTGACTGGCTGTAGCGGGATGCGTTTCTCTCGCATGACGTTGAGAAGCCTGCCGTGGTTGACGAAATCAAAGAATCCTTTGATGTCAAACGTCAATGCGGACGTAACCTTGTCATGGTTATGTGCCGCTTCCACATCGTGCGCGAATGTCAAGATGGCGTCGTCCGTCGAGCTTGACGGACGTCCGCCAAACTGGTTCGCCGGTACAAGATTCAAAGTAGAGACGAGGTAGCAGCGGAAAGCCAAGAAAGGAGAACGCGAGTGAATGGTGACGTCACATGAGCGCGTACAGACGTGACTTTCCAATTTGAAATTTCTCGCGAATGGAACTTCACGTGACCCAAAGCACGAATCATACGACTAGACCATTGGGCCGTTAGTACATTTTCCCTGCAAAGCCATCATATTGGTGGTGGCGATTGACTTCTGGGCTCGCCGAGTCCGCGAGCGACACCCTTTACCGGGCGAACTCTGGCGGTCGCGATGACAGAGCTTCCACCTCCACCACAGACTGCTGTCTTCCATATAGACCATAAACGGCGCAAGGTCACTCCTGAACGAGCAAAGGCAAACTATGTCCGTACGCTCGCTTGACTTCAATTGCCACTGGCTAACCCGAACGTGAAACTTCAAACCGTGCATTCTTGTATGACCTCGCTTTGCTGCAAATCATCCCTCACCGGCACTATGCGCTGTTGTCCCTCGATATACGTAGCTTGTCGGACAACTGCGGTTGCGGTTGCAGTATGCCAAATTGAAGGTCGAGCATGGATGGGTGAGCACATCATCTCAGCCACGGCACCAACGCCTCATATGGGGTAACCTCCGTTAGCAAAGGCAAACGCTCAATGAGGTTGAAAACCTGTACTTCCGTCATACACACAAGAACCGCCCTCCTGCGACGCCCAACTTGGGCGGACGACGGACGAGTGGCTCGAATGGCGCCCGCTATACACCAAACATGCTTTTCCCGGTGAATGAATATCGCCCCGAACACAATGCTGCCACGGAACATGAGGTCCTGCACAAGGGCGAGGTAGCTCATTTTCAACTGGTGCCTGCTATCGCAGACGGGGTGGTCGCCACGGAAATGGACGAAGGTGCGTGTTCTCCGCCCCCAACCTTGAATGAGATCTCAACTCGCGGTGCATGCAGTACCGCCTTCGACAGAACCCGCTGAGACAAGTGCCGCACCTGCCATCTCCGTTCGACGCCCGCACAGCGGGCAAAGTGGGCCCGACTCCGGCACGCTCGAGCAAGCTGCGGCCTCAATGTTCAGCCCGCCACCGCCGGTCACCGCCGCACACACGTCGTCCCAACTGAACATTGAAGGGCCGGTCCCGCCATCATCAATACCGATGACAGATGCCACCCTCGTTCCACATTCGAACGGGATGATGCCCGCGCACTTGCAACATGCCAATGTACCCTTCAGCATGAGCGAACCCAGCTTCTACCATCCAGGTCAGCAGGGGCATGACCCGTTCTACGCTGCCCAAACGCAAGCATTTCAGTACGAGTTCCACTATCACACACCGCAACCGCCGCCCGCCCCGCCGCCCTCGCAGCTACAACAGGACTTCGCCCAATCCCTGCCCCCACCGTCTCACACGCAACTTCAGACACCTCCGCAGCACCATCCCTCACCTCAATCACGGCACACGCAACCTGATACCTTCCGCCCGATTGCACCGGCTGCTCCACCTTCGCACGCACCCGCGCCTGCCAACCAGACCCTCACGTACGACGCGTTCTGGTCATCCCACTCACTGTCCGCGCCGTCCTACCGGAACGTGTTGTTCAACTCCCCCGAATCGACAGCCCAGGGCATGGGCGGGCACGATGTTCACGCTCGGCCTGGTGCGCTAAGTCTTGCTCACGGTGGCGTACCCGTGTTCGCACCGATGCCCGCTGCCGGTCTGTCTGATATGTCGGCGGCGCATGCGCCGGCACAAAATGCCTAGAGCTCTGGTCTATCCCGCATCTATTCTATATCTGGACAATGTTTTCGCGCACACGCATATGCTATCGTCCATCTACTCAGTGCTCAGTACCCGTAACTCATGAGTTTATTTGTATCATATCTTCATCGTGCTTGCACCGCAATGTAGTTCCCTTCTGGTATCAAAGTTTTCTTGGCTTCATTGTAACAAGATAGGTTTACGTCTTGTACGGAAAGGGCTCAGCCCTTACACGAGTGCTTATACCCGAATGATGTAGTGGCTTGCGAGCGAAGGAGCCACGCCGTCCTCTCACTCGAAGCTGTCTGCATCATTTATACATCCTCTATCTTGTCACAAAACTCACGAGAGGTATCGAAAAGTTACTCACTGCTAGACCGTAATATGTGTCGTACGCCGCGAATCCGGTGACTACAAACATCCTTTGTGCAACCCCATCCCATTCGACCTATCCTGGACCTATCTGCGCTTCCCCACTCCGTTCTTGAACCGAGGCCTTTCCGGCCGACTGCGAAGAACTCACTCAATTGTGCTGCAGTGTGCTTCTAAACGCACTGATGAGTATATGTGAATCGCAGGCGCACCCTTTCCAGGACGACAGGGCTGTGTCACTTACTGGGGTTCGCATAGGCATTACGACCGACCACGCATCCAACTTCTCTCGGATCCCGAGGGCCAGCCTCTCCACAACTGGCCGCAGGCGGTGTACGAGATTTGCCGCGTCCTGGCCTCAATACGGAGTTATCAGCTCGAAGACCTGACGATCTGGTCCTCCTTCAATCTCCAAAGTAACGCGCAGGACGAGCTGCGCGTCATCAGGAGTGGAATCGACCTAAAGGACCTGCATGCCGTCTTGCAGCAACCGTACTTCGACCGGTTGGAACGGGTCAAGGTCATGATGATGGTCAATTACCACCCAACGACACGCAGTAAGTCTGAAGTAGACGAGATCGCCCGAGCGCTCTCCCTCTTTCTCCTAAACATGTTTGGACCGTGGAACGCGCGAGGCATAGCCCAAGACGACTGGAGGTCAGCCCCATATATAACAGAAGTGAGGGTGCATTATTCCGAGGTCTGATATGCACTGAATAAAATTGATTGTCTCCGATAGAGATCGTCCAGCTTCTGAATACATATGTGTTTGGCGGTGCGGGCCCGTGGGTGTCGGGTGGAGTGTCGTGCTTCCAGGCGTCCCGTTGAGTCCGAGTTCTTGCGCAATAGGGATGTGAGCCATCGAAACGAAGCGGGACAGAGATAGTATTGAAAGTAGTGGTGCTGCGTTAGAGACACGCGATAGCCTAGACATCAATAGTAAACGTACACACCCATTTACATCGTAGTCGTAGGCAACGCCCAGTGTGACTCCTTCTGATTCTCGGTCACGTACTCGTAAACACGCGACCAGTCCCTGCAGACGTGCGTCGACCCCACGCCATCCGTGCCGATGAGATTACCGTCGTCATCCTTGGTATCCATAGCATCGATGGTGATGTCAGAGGCGCAGAGTACGGCCTGGCGAAGGTAGTTGAGGCATATGCCACTACGTGCGTTCGGTCCGTAGATCAACGCTTGTCGGAGCGTCTCGATGCACTCCAGTTGTGTGAACATCGACACGTTAAACTCGCGCCCTGAATAGAGAATCAACGGTCAGACGGAAATGTCATGCTGGTACTGCATTTTCGACGCACCTTCGGGACCGAGACGCACGCTCGCGTGACCTTGAGGGAACATATGAGTGAGGGTTTGCCATTCTGTCCATGTATCAAGGTCCCCCGTGGCCCTGTAGTGTTCCGAATTCTCGAATGTCATGCCGACGAAGTCCAGTTGCACAGGGAGCTCCCTCGGATAGTCATCCCCGACGTAGCCTTTCACGGGATCGCGGAGTCAAGTCAGAGACTGTATCAGCATCGCTGGTTATCGGACGCACTGTATCCTTTCCACTCCACTGCGCCCTTCTTCGCGACTCTGGTCCAGGTGATGGCGTTGAAGGCGACACTTATGGCCAGGACTATCCAGGCAGCAGTCGGCGGCGCCGGGAGCAGACGCAGCGAAAGGCGGAGCATGGTGATCGCTCAATTGATACCAACACCTGTGATCTTCGATGTCAGCAGACTCCAGCGTTAAGCTCAAACAGAAACGGACAGTCTGCAACTGCAAGTCCCGCAGAGCCGTGAGTGCATCGCAATACGATGCCACTGAGGCAACGGAGCGAAGGAGCTACTTACCTGACGCACATGCAGGTTCAGTCCAAGGAAGGTGCCCGGACGGCCCCGCGTCCCCGTCGCGGGCACTGATGATGGGCGCCGGTCCAACAATGCCGCATTGCCAATGAGAGTTAGTCCTGTCCAGCATCATGCAATGAGCTCGAGGTCGAGACGGGACTCCGGGAAGATCAATGTACACATACGGGGATCATATGAGCCGTTCGTCTTGCTCTTCCGACGTTCGAGATGAACAGTAGTGAGTGTCACTACTGATACTGAGTGCTTAGAGTTGTTATCAGCGCCGAGCAGCGAAGAGGAAACCAACGTCCTGGACGACGTATGCATGTCAGTTTGATGTCAGTACGTTTTGATGTGATGGGACATCTTGTGCACAGGGCGCCTCTGAAGCAGTACTTACGTATCAGAAACAGACGCTCGTAGGAGACATGTATGTTGCCGGAGGCTGAATGCAGTAGGAATGATATTGTGCGTATTATATTCCACTGGGAAAAGACGGAATCATGGATGGTCATTGGTAGTCGAGAATCACCTCGCCCGACTTATTAGCAGACTTTGCTGCGATTATTCACGTCATGTAAGTCCGATAATGAGTGCAATAATGACCATTTTTAATGCTGATACCGTGCTTACAAGTCAAATTCAGGTGGCCATAGATGGACAACACATCGTGCCACTGCCAGACTTGTCGGAGGCTCCCATCTCCTCGATCGACGCGCCCTCTTCTCATTGAGTCTCCTGCGACCATTGGCCTGATCACACTTTTGTTCACCCAATGGTCATGCTGAGCTTCGACGCGTCCGACAATGAGCGCGGCGCGGATGGCAATGGTGGCTATGACGTCCATCCGGAGATGATGGCCATCCTCAATCGGACGACTGGTTTCATCAAGGACGACGACGTCGGGAAGAGGTTCCGACATCTCTACCGAGGAGGTCTGATACTTATATTCTGGTTAGTCATTTACGCGTCACCCTTAATGCATTTTGTGTAGGCACTCTCAAGCAGGACCCGAGTAAGCTTAAGCAATTCGCGTTCGATTGTTTCTTCGGCCAGATCGCCAAGGTTAAGCGGGTGAGTAGTCGCAGTCCAAAAAGTCGCTTCTTCTTTCCATTTCAAGCGACTCGCCCATAATGGATATTTCGGCCCAGTGATAACGACTGAATTTATTCTCGCCCTGGGCCCTCTGCACATACCATGACATCTTGTCGCTCAACTATTCCCGTGTTTTCTGTGACTTACTGTCACCAAACGCACGTATGTTCTTCTCTTCCGGGAGCCGTATACACGGGCTCTATGCCAGTCTTCCCCCCACCTTTCCATTGCTGCTGAATGTTCTAGCCCGCGCTCATGCACGAATTCTAACGCGTCGGTTCCCCCTGACATTGGCAGGCAGTCGAGAGCGGGCAGGCTCCTGACCTCACAGGGACAGAGACGCCGTACAAGTTCGGGTACTGCACTCTCGTCATCGCCGGAGGCCAACGAGGCGCCGCGGCCTTCCCAGGTGCAGACCACGCCGCGACTCTGAAGTTCCTCATCTCCAGCGGGGTACCCATGGACTCCTGCGACATAGCTGGCCTCACCGCACTCCATCACGCCACCCAGAGCACGGATGGGCCGACACTTGCACTCGTCCGCATCCTCCTTGAGTCTGGTGCAAACGTCAACCTCCAGAACCGGTACGGCGAGATCCCCCTACTGTGCAGCTTCCATATGGCCGATGTGCGCCTCGTGGAGCTGTTCATGGAGTTCGGCGCAGACCTCGACATACCGAGCGCAGACGGTACGACAGGGCGCATGATCTTCGTAAACATAGGCCCAGCGGTCACTGCGGCAATCACGAAGTGGATCAGGAAGAGGAGTGGGGAGCGCAAGCCTCTCGACGGGAAGTCATGCGCGAAGTGCGGGGAGGCGGATGTTGCACTCAAGATATGCAAAAAGTGTCACGCAGCGAAGTACTGTTCGCCGGAATGCCAGAGTACGCCTTCGATCTGTCACAGGTGTCTGCGGTGCTTACAGTACGCAGGAGAAGACTGGCCGACGCACAAGCAGACGTGCACGCCGTTTGACGGGGTGACGTCCGTGACCGTCCGGCCGACATACCGCGATATCGGCACGCTCATGTCTCCCTTGGAACTCACGCGCCAAGCCATGAACCTTCCAGCGATCCCGCGCCCCCGCGCGCACTACCGCAGCGTGCACACGCCACACGTGGAGCCCGACCAGCCGAAGGCGATGGTCGTCAAAGTGCAGGTACCGTACCTGGGTGGGCCGGTAAAGCAGGGCGGGCCGCTGCTCATGTATAACAAGAAGCGCAGTCTGGTGTGTACACTGGAGGTCGCCGGTAACGAAACGGCATATGCGCGCATCGCGGAGACCGTCTGGACGAAGGGTGTTAACGGCGCGAAGGCGTACTTCCCTGCGGAGCTGAACAGCCAGGACGAACTGGTCATCAAGGTCGGCGAAGTCTTGGCTGAGCAGTCCTTCTGAGGTTTGGTCGCTTCCAGAGCGGCTAAGCTTGTGGAGGAGTTAATTGTAATGGCTATCATCCGGAATGGTTAATGTACGGCATGCCTTGTCGCGAGGAGTGTCCTATCTCATCTAGCCAATCCTTCCATAACGACAACAACGGCTGAAGCCCGGGGGTCGGTATCGTGTTTTGCACGCTCTGTTCTTGGCATAACGATCAAGCTGCAATCCCTCGCACGACATGCGGACGAGGATGCACAGGTCCCAGAATCAAGTCGTAAGTAACCAACACCCGCGTCCTGCCGCTTCCTAGGTGGCTGCTGTGTCTCGAATCTCGATTGCTACTCAAACTGGTTTGCGCAATCTATTGCTGCCGCTGATTCTTTTCAGGTGCTCTATGTATCGACAATCGCAGGCAGAGGACTCTAATGATGATGTAGATGGGATACTGACTATCACACCGCCAACTCTTCCGTCTTTCCCCACAATTCGTCGATGTCAGGTATAACGACGTTCTCCTGCCTCCGATCCCCATTCAGCAGCTGCGGTAGGAGCTGCACGCGGTGTGTCATGGCAACCTCTGCGCCCTTGCTTCCGAAGTACCTGCCACATTCGAAGTGCCAGCAGTACGCGCCACGCGGGCAGTTCGCGACATCGCGGAGCGCCTCGCGGAGCTGTTGATTCGTAAAGGCGTCCCATTGAGGATCAAAGGAATGGTAGGCCTTCAGGAACCTCTCCTGTAAAGTGATGTGCTGCTGGACGAGGAGATTGATAGCGTCGCCGAGGAGGAGCTTGTGTTCGAGCATAGTGATTGTGACGAGATTGTGCCGTGCGTCGCCAGCGCTTTGCTCTGTGTTGTAAGAGATGATGTCCTAATCACGGCAGCAGACTGAATAGTCAATGAAATGTGCTGACACTAAGTAGGATCCACGTACATTGTCGATGATCAACATGTCCGTGACGCATGCGCTCATTTCAACCATGGCAGGGTGATAGACAATCTCGTCTGGGAGCTCTTGCAGCATGAGAGCGTATAAGGGGCGGAAGCCGACCGTATCCCGGCGGATAGCAGGATAGCCGTCCACTGAGCGATAAATGTCCTTGTCCCGATCCGCGGCTTCGTCAACTACTGATCTGACATACTTGGTGAAATAGTCCACGAAGCGACTCTGGGCGACGGGACCAACAGAACCGCTCTCGATCGCACGTGCCCAGAAGCTATATCTCAGAAAAATCAGCGTGGGTTTGGCTGGGGATGCGCTAGACTGACCGCCGAGTGATCTCTCCGAGGATGACTTCGCCTTCCAGACGCGGCTGGTCCGGATGATGCAACGCGTCGATGACTGCGTCGACCATCTTTTGACACCCTTCCGCGTCTTCTACGTCGGTGTAGTGGTCAAAGGTGAAGAAGAGATTGAATAAATCGCAACCGGTCCTGAGCAACTCTGACATGACATGAGTCTCAGTGAGTTGCCATATTGTGCCCCGAACTTATGCATGTGGGCGCACCTCTGTTAGAGAACGGGTAGACCAGGGCACCGCAGAGTCCTGCAGAGATCTCAGTAAGTTCTCAAGCTATTTCTCATGCTACCCGGATGTTGAACGTCGATTTAGTTACTCACCAACCTTGCATTTGTCGAAAGCCCGCTGGGATGTCGTGTTGAACGCATGAAAGGAGCGGCACCCCTCTGCAGAAGCGGCCATGACCTCCTCAGCATTTGGGTTGATGCTCCGTGGCCAAGGCCAATGGTCCATAGTGTCAGGGAGGCTATAGTATGTCGGGATGTTCATGCTATTGAGAAGGAGCTGTGTCGCGTAAGCTGGAACAGACGCATCCTGTTTATATACCGTGCTCGACCCTCAGCAGGGGTATATGTGTGCAGTCCGAGTGTCGGAGCAGGACTAGTACTGGCGCCGCAGGATCAGACGGTTTCCTATGCGCACAAGGGAAGGTTTGTTCGTCGTGCATTCGTCCGAGTCGGAGATCGGGACTAGTGGCCTTAGTACCTTGGCATACAGCGGAAGAGTCATCGGTCATGCGGAAGAGGACGGCTGGCAGCATACCAAGAGGGAAATAGCAAAACGACGGTATGCTACAGTCGATCCACCGCGCTGTTGAGGATGCGCGTAGCGCGTCATCATCTTGCGACGTCCGCGTCATCATCTTGCGTCCGCGTCATGCTCTTCGTCGCAACGCATCATGGACGATAGGCGCTTTCTGTGATAAATACTAAGTTGTGAGAACGTCCGAGTAAGTACGGAGCGCTAGACCCCGGGTTCCATTCCGAGTCGGGCTGTTCGGGCTTCTAACGCCTCTTATGTTCGACTGGGGCTGGGAACTGAGCGACGGAATCATGAGCGAAACCCGTACTTCGGCGGGAGGATGAACCAGTGAGTGAGACGTACTGTTGTAGTTCAAAGTCACAGAACGATGGGGATACACCGCTGCCGCAACTTGAATCATTCGAGCAGCCTGCATATGAGTTTTCAAGGAACACTGCATCACAGTTCGCCTGAAATTTTAAGGCACCATAATGAGCGGTCTATTTCCAAATCTGTTGACTGTTATCGGTGCTCACCAATACCATGTATACGCTGGCACCGCAGGGCCACGTAGTCGGGGTTGCGCATCCGCCGGGATTGCATGCTGCTGAGTCTCTCCGGCTTCCTCGCAGGCACTGTCAGAGATTCTTTCTGCCGCATAGCCAGCGCATAGCACTCTGGACGTGGCCTTTTGATCTGTCTCTAGCATATGCGCCCATTCCTACACCCTACCTCCACAGCGTGGTTACAGAATGTAAGCTTCAAGACGTACTTCGGAACTCACAAGTTAGTAGGCGGTTGACTAGTAGCTCATAGTCACGCTGAGCTGTACCTCTGTTCTGCTCTGCAAACACCAAAGCTCCAGCCATAGATAACTCACTCCCGACTACATTTCGTAGTGGATGGGAACAAACAAGGAGAATAAGGATTCGGGAAAGTATAGCAGGTCCGTCAGCGAGACTGCTGACATCGCTCCAGTCGCCGTCGCCAACCTCGGAGGAAATGGCGAGGTGAAACATAGTGATTCGTGAGTGGTTCTCGGGATTCACATCTCCTGCTTATGCGTGCATAGCATTGAGTCAGGTATGGCGCGGATAGATTGATCATTGAGCGGGCAACGCACTCGTCCTCTCGAAGCGCACCGTCGGATTCGCCGGTCCAAACGAGCCACGCACCTAAACGTGCTGCATACGGAACCTAGGCCGTTTTTGTAGTCGTATCGACGTGTCACGACTTTGCCGTTCGACGAATATTACTAGGGACTATTGATCTTGCAGTTTAGATACTGTCGTGGTTTCTCTGCGTAGGAGATGGTTCAGTCGCGACTCGCCAGCGTGTAAGGATAGCAGTCAAGCGCTCAAGCGCCCGGTACGGACCGTAGCCCGGGCCCACCGACTCGACGCCGCTCTCTTGTCTGCTCAGTGTCCCTCCTTCGAATCTTGACAGGAACTCAGTGGTCTGCTTGTCACCACAGTCCATTCCGTGCAGTCCTCAAATTTTTCTTGCAGTGTTGTAACAAAGCCATTCCCTGGAATCGTGGTCAGTCGTCCGGACTTTGTTTAACCGATCCGCACCACGTCTTCGGTACGTCCGACTATAGCATGCATCGATATTTTGTGACAGTCATTTTCAGGGAGAAAACAATCTCGTCATTCCCAGTGACGGTGTCCGTAATGCTGGTCAAGGCCGAGTCACAGGATACGACACTGAAGGTTCGTGCTATTCTGTTCTCCGGAGGCGCTGCTGCGAATCTTCAGGCCGCGAAGGAAACTGCCTTCAAGTTCCACCCTATCAGCTACCTAAGTAGCATATTGCCCACGTATGCTCTTGGCGCCAGATCGCCTGACCGGTGCACAGATTTATGGTGAGCTACGTGACGTATGTACGTCTCATGCTGTTGATGCTGCAGTTGCGCTTGCCGTTCACTTCTCTTGGCGCCATCGGCCACTTATGGGTACCTGGCTAGCACGGCACATTCCACGACATCGGCAACGCATGCAGTGCATTCACATGATGGCTGTTGCGGCGAGCTGTAGCAAGGATATAAGTACATGATGCTCGACCGACATGGTCCGACGACGAGCCGCATCTCTAGCTGCTAGGCTCCTGCGTATCGCCGTTGGACGATATGACTTCTATCGAACTTGTGCTTGACCAACATCCCTTCATCATTGGCCATTCAGTCAGCGGAGCTGTTCTGCTCAACTTTCGTATGCTGCAAGACGACGGCATAGAGACGATACATGTCAAGCTCATTGGGCACATGCACGGGTTCGTTCGAATGCTAGAGTATATTTGCATACGCCCTTTCATTTATAATGATTGTGCAGGAGAGCAGACCACGGCAAATCGCATGAACGGAAGAACATAGATTTCCTTCAGCATATACTGCCCGTTTGGAAACGAGGGCAGGCCTATCCTCCTCCGGGGTCCGATGTCCTCCCGCTTCCCTTCAACATACCCTTGCGCCCCGATTTGCCGCCTTCTGCTAGTTTGCACGCTCGTCGCCTTCGTGGATCAATCAAGTACACGTTACATGCCATCGGCGATCGCCCGGGGCTGCTCAAGTTCAACAAGGAAGTGAAGCAGTATGTGACAGTGCAGCCGAATGGCACCGTCAGCGAGCCGGTACAGACTCGTCTAGGCAACCATGACTGGGATGGGCCGTGGACGACGATTCGAGCGAGCAAACACGTCAGCAAGTATGTCTTGTGGGGTGAGCACGCAGACGTGGACGTCCGCGTAAGTGCCATGTGTGCGCGCGTGCGGATGATGTACTTGTGCTGAAGCGCCTGAGCCATAGCTCACCGTTCCTGCGATCGACGCCGTGCCGTTACGCACAGCGATACCGTTCACGCTGTCCGTCACAACGCTCAGCAAGCCGCATCCGCGTGACTACGAGGGGCAATTATGGCCGAGCCCGCCATGCCAGCCAGAGGCGTACGATTTCGTGCTCAAGGAGGACGTGTTCCTTCGAATCGGCACCCCCACGAAGAAGAAAACGGGCAGCATTTCCCTGCGGCAGCCACCGCGACCCATGCACTTCGAACCTGCAAAGAAAGAATGGATAGCGGCGACCGGCGGACAAGGGCAATGGAAGCAAGAGACCACGATGAAGTCGAGTATACGGCTGGAGTGCCCGCCGACGTTCACGTTCACGTGGGAGGGTAAAATCCGTCTTGCTATCTCTGTACGATGTCCCCTTGAGTGCCGGATGCATGCGCTCACATCCGTTCGTCTTTCTAGTATCGTCTGTGTGTCACGGTTAAATTCAGTGGCATGCGTAGTTTGACTCTCGAGCAGCCCATTACGATCGTTCGCGAGCGCAGGATGTATTGATTTGTTCACTTTTTTTTGAATCATTCCCCTTGACTCATTCTACATTGCAAAGCGAGCAGGTGCGTCTCATATCTCTACAGCTACTCAGTGTACCAAGTTGGAGGTGCAAGCTGATGCGGACAGCGTGGAGCAGGACGGTTCATGGCTATACCATGACTGGTACGACTAGACAGTGACTGCATCTTATGCCAGTGATGGTTGAGCAGTGCCCAAGGCCAAAGTGTTGATAAAATACGCTCTCATCCATGTCCAGGTCGGCACCTTAGGTGGCTGCCGTGTCTCGATTGCCACTCAAGCTGGTTTGCGGGCAATCTACTGAAAGTGATACCGCCGGTTCTAATCAGGTGCTCTATGTATGGACAATGAAATAATGACAGGCAGGGAACTCTAGTCATGGATATAGGACGCTGACTGTCACACCGCCAACCCCTCCGTCTTGCCCCACAATTCGTCGATGACAGGTATAGCGACGTTCTCCTGCCTCCGATCGCCATTCAGCAGCTGCGGTAGGAGCTGCACGCGGCGCGTCCTTCCAACCTCTGCGCCCTTGCTTCCAAAGTACCTGCCGCATTCAAAGTGCCAGCAGTAGATGCCACGCGGGAAGTTCGCGACGTCGCGGAGCGCCTCGCGGAGCTGTTGATTCGTGAAGGCGTCCCATTGAGGATCAAAGGAATGGTAGGCCTTCAGGAACCTCTCCTGTAAAGTGATGTGCTGCTGGACGAGGAGATTGATAGTGTCGCCAAGGTTGAGCTTGTGTTCCAGCATGGTGACTGTGACGAGATTGTGCCGTGCGTCGCCAGCGCTTTGCTCCGTGTTGTACGAGATGATGTCCTAATCACGGCAGCAGACTGAATAGTCAATGAAATGTGCTGACACTAAGTAGGATCCACGTACATTGTCGATGATCAACATGTCCGTGACGCATGCGCTCATTTCAACCATGGCAGGGTGATAGACAATCTCGTCTGGGAGCTCTTGCAGCATGAGAGCGTATAAGGGGCGGAAGCCGACCGTATCCCGGCGGATAGCAGGATAGCCGTCCACTGAGCGATAAATGTCCTTGTCCCGATCCGCGGCTTCGTCAACTACGGATCTGACATACTTGGTGAAATAGTTCACGAAGCGACTCTGGGCGACGGGACCAACAGAACCGCTCTCGATCGCACGTGCCCAGAAGCTATATCTCAGAAAAATCAGCGTGAGTTTGGCTGGGGATGCGCTAGACTGACCGCCGGGTGATCTCTCCGAGGATGACTTCGCCTTCCAGACGCGGCTGGTCCGGATGATGCAACGCATCGATGACTGCGTCGACCATCTTGTGACACCCTTCCGCGTCTTCTACGTCGGTGTAGTGGTCGAAGACGAAGAAGAGATTGAATAAGTCGCAACCGGTCCTGAGCAGCTCTGACACAACATTTAAGTCCCACATATCGTGCCCCGATATCATGCATGTAGGCGCACCTCTGTCAGAGAACGGGTAGACCAGAGCACCAGCGAGTGCTACAGAGATCCCAGTAAGTTCGCATGCTGCCCGAATATTGAACGTCGATCAAACTACTCACCAACATTGCATTTGTCAAAGGCTCGCTGAGACGTTGCGTTGAACGCACAGAAGGAGCGGAACCACTCTGCGGACGCGGCCACGACCTCCTCCGCATATAGATTGATGCTCCGCGGCCAAGGCCAATGGTCCATAGTGTCGGGGAGGCTATAGTAAGTCGGCACACCCATGTTAACTAGGAGGTGCGTTGCCTGCGCTGCGACAGATACATCTGGTTTATATACCGCGGTCGGTCCTCCGGAGTGTATGCGCGTCGTCCCAGTGTCAATACAGGACTGACGCCACAGGCTGAGACGGTCTCTCTAAATTGAGCCGGCAAATGCATCCGTGCACGGTCACTTCGCCTCTGTGAAGACACAAGTTACTACCGAATGTATGATAGCGTGAAACCGACGGGTACTAACCGAGCGTCATACGCAGCAATCCTGGAACCTGGGGGTGCAACATACTAGTATGCGCCACAAGTGGTTTCGCTTCCGGTGAGATCATGAAGTGTACGAGTAACGCACAGCAGGCTAGGTGCATAAGGGAAGGTCTGTACGAGTCGGCAGTAGTTGCATTACCGTAGAGTCGGACTTGGGCCTAGTATGTACCGCCCGACGAAGACATTCCCGGGGCATGGCAGTCGTTCAAAGTGACAGCTGATGCGAACGACCGGGGAAAAGGGTGCTGCCGGGGACGCTAAGTGGTGCGACATTCTCTGTATCCATCTTCAAACCCGACGATGGAGTAGGAACCCCCTCCGCGTACGATAGAGTCCTCAGATGACATTCGGGGGCTGAGACTGCAAGTTGCACGAGCAACGCAGTGCATCGGCCTGAGCAAGATTGGCCGTGTATTTCGCACGGTAAACCGTGAATGATAGGAGGAGGAGGAGGAGGAGGAGGGAGGAGGGGTCCGTTTAGTCACCGGCCGATAGCGCACGCGCGTCGATAGGACCGAGCGTCAGACTCTGCAGACGAAACAACGAGGTCGCCGAGAAGCGCCGCTTCACATTTGAAGGCTGCCGCCAGCCTGCGTGTCTTCGGAGAAAAGGAGCATGAATGGAAGGACAATGGGAAGAACTGTGACGAGGGATCTAACACACCATTCATATGGCACCGACGGCACCGGGCAAGGAGCTTGAGACGGATTTATCGATATAGGCCTCGGGCTGGGACTGCGATCCTATCATCACGGCTCTCGTGTTCACTAACGGAGACCTGAGTCTGAGTTGGGTCCTTTGAGTTAGCGAGCTCTCATACGTGCCTGTGTCGCGGCGCCTTGGCGACGAACATGCGAGCTTTGTCCGTGAGCTACTGCTCATTGACAGATGTGTACTTGTGGATGGGGTCGAGTCAGACACCAAGCAAACGGATGAGCTGAGCTACACACCAGTTCTCTCAGTTATGTCCCAGTAATCTCGCATGTGAGTAGAAAAACTAGTAGTCCGCGAGCACCATTTCCACTGAACATAGGATGGCTGGAGGACACCACGGTCGTCCCACGGGTCGAATAGACGACGATGGGTGGCTATGACCGCTCGGGCAGCGTCGACCGCCCATTCCTCGGAATGACCCGCGCAATGGTTGACCGTCGAACCTGCGCATCCTTGCGAGCCTAACGACTGAAGTCAAACGGGGGCGACATACGGGATGGTCTGAAGGCAATGATCATCGAGTTATTCGCAGCTACCAGCTGCAGGTCGGGTGCATCACCTTGGGTCCCAGATTAGAACTTGACAGGAAGGTCTATGTCGGAGGACTTCCCAAACCCGGAAGCGCCCGGACAGAGCGTGCGCCACCGGCCCCATTCCCAAAATAACACTACCACCGACGCAATGCGCACTGACGTCATTCGGTACGCCAGCCATTGGCAATGCCTCAGCCACCCACCGGCTTCGTCACCATGGCTCTACGTGAACCACGCCCCAAGCTCCGCCCGAATCCCTACAAAAGCCTCCCTGACCGCCGCTCGTGTCCCCCCCACCTTCGTCACGACTCTACCTCACGACCTCACGACTCAACCGCACTCGCAACCCTTTTTGTACACTTCTGACGCATACAATGGCCGCCGTCAACCCCGCCGCTAACACCACCACCGGCACTACCGCCGGCGTCGCTGCGCCTTCGTATGGAGCGACCAATACCGGCGCTGCCCCTGTCGGCACAGGCGCAGGTGTTGGCACAGGCGCAGGCACAGCTCCAGTTGGAACCCGAGCCACAGCAGGCGGCACAGCCGCAGGGGGGCCGGGTGCCTCTGGCTTCCTTCTGTTCATCCTTGCCTTGTGAGTGTGTCGTAGTACGTTGTTCGAGCGAAGTCTTGACACGAGTGCACAGGTTGCTACCACCCGTCGCCGTGTTCTTCAAAGTAGGACTTCGAGCTGGTACGTCCATGCAAACGCCGCAGTCCTCCGTCGTTTAACGGTCAATCTGTGCAGAATTCTGGATCAACGTCCTCTTGACCATACTCGGCTGGATCCCCGGTATCCTCCACGCCTGGTAGGTCATCCTCGACGTGCGTGTTGTATATGATGCTAACCGAACGCTAGGTGGGTCATTGCGACGACGAGGACCACTGTGACGTACTAGACGCCTTGTACGGCAACCCATACCTTCCTCTCTAACGACCGTGACCCGATGCGAGATGTATTCTTAGTGTGATGAACCCTCCATAATGTAGCCATCCACGTACCGGAAGGAAGACACTTGGTTTATTGCTCCGTTGATATCCCACACTGCCGCGGGACGGAGGGAATTCTGCGCTCCTGCGCTTCGCAAGGGCCTCGACCGGCGCGAACACCGATGGTGGGTTGGAACAGGCAATCTGTGTGTGTCCAGATAGCCTAAGCCTGCGCTCTCGTCAGCAGCGACGAACAGCTTGATCAACAGCTCGGTTCGATCCCCTCCGCATCAAACTGAGAAGATATCGGCTGACCCATGTCCGCGGTTGTGCCCCGTATTAGCACGCATTCTCATGTTTTGATGTTATCATTTTGAGTGGTGCAACAATATAGATAGCTGTGCGCGACGGATCCAAGGGCAGAACAGTTGCTTATGCCTTCCGGAGTGATGGTGGCAGGCCGCCCAACGTCATCTCCCGGAAGGACTCCCAAACCCGAGGACCATACGCATAGTACCACAGCCCAAACATCGCGCCGCCCAGGTGCGCATGATGGTCGAACAGCCTATTAGTATCACAGCATTCAGTTCAAGAGCATCCCATCGCGCCCGCTGCAATGTATGACTGACCTCCATCCGCGAATGACACCCAGGACGTCCATGCCCATGAGCCCGAACACGCCGTACTGGATCGGGATCGGCGGCGTCGGTGGAAAGATGAGCGAGATGTGCACCTCGGGGAAGGCCATCGCGGTGAGCGTCACGGCCGCGTAGATCGCGCCGGATGCGCCGAGCGACGGCTTGATGCTCGCGAGGGCCTCGCGGCCCGTGAGCGTGGAGGTTGAGCGCACCGCGGCTGCGCCCTCGACTGTCGATGCGGTCGACGCGGTCGACTTTGTGGGGTTGGCGAGCCGGGCGATGAGCTTGGGGTACTTGAATCTGGCGGAGGCGACGTGGGAGACGAGCGAGGAGAAGAGTCCGGCTATGGGAAGAGTATATCAGCGGAGGGAGGCCGCAGTAGGAGGCTGTCTGGATAACTCACCCGAGATAAAGAAAGAGAGGAAATGCCACTTGGTCGTGGACTCTCGGAGGTTGGAGGGGTCCTCCTGCTGCTGCTTCGCCAGATATAGCGTCGCTGAAGACCCTGCACGAATTTGTTGATTGGTGCTTGCGGCAGTCAGAGGCGAATAGCTTACCGAAGCCCAACATGGCCATCATGTTGAACAGTAGATGTATGAAACTACTGTGACTGCGAGACGATTGGTGTCAGTGAGCAGGCGACGATGTAGATAGTATATACACTACCTGAACGTCGACGTCAACATGGTGTATGACAGTCCAGAGAGAGGATGGTGGGCAAATGTCCTGAGCATGAAAGGCCCCATCTTCGGGAGTTGCCAAGCAGCCCATACGACGCCGTTCACAGCCGCGAGCATATAACAGACTCTCTTTCCCTCGGGAGAAGTGTAGTACGTATCCGCCACATATGCGTAGCTGTAAAGCGCCATAACCTTGAGATGATCAGAGAGTGCTGATAATGATTTGATGAATTTATGTAGCCCATATTCCAGTGTCTATAGTGGCGTGAGCGAACGAATAAATGCACAAACGAGGTTGCGCACTTCGCGCAGCTCTGTGCGTTCGGCCTCCCTGAGCTCGGCATTTGATGGTGATCCGCCTCCGAGCGGCCAACTGAACGATGATCCGGTCAGCTTGTTCGTCCAGTGATATGTTTCGAGGTTCGTCTGCCTCGCAGCTACGCCAAAGGTCAGGAGCGAGCCGAAGACGAAGAACTACGGCAACCGTCAGCAAGACTGGATCGTAATGGTAGCTCTGTCAGTGGTACTTGCGAGGACTTGGTTCCTGATCGAGGGAGGCCCTATGCGTTCGCTGAACGTGAACATTGGTGGCTGTTTCGCTTCGATGTGGGGCCCCGCTTCCTGGACACGGGCTTTCGAGGACGAGAAATGACTGCGTCCCTCTCCCACTAGTTGCCTCGGCTGCGAGCGCAAAGTGGAGCCCGAGAAGTACCGACATTGTGGTCTTGAGAGACATCTGTACGGGCGTAGTGTCCAGAGCATCATGGGACCCGGTGACGCTTGCGAGCTAGAGCAAATGAGTGGTTCAGCCACGCAGCTGATGAGTCAGCGTATGAGATCTCACTCTATCTGAGTCTCACTTGGATGATGGTCGGGGATGTATGTACGAGTGTACGGTACCTAACCAAACGAGCTGGCGTTGCCGAACGAGAACTCAGAAGACGCGTTTGGACCCGGCACGGACGCGTGGCATGACACGCTCACGTGATGAAAATATGTATGCACGATCGCTTAGCCGCCCAAGCTCTATCACTCTCCCTTGCAAACCGTCGTGAGTTCATATTCAGTGCCTCACAGTACTGCCCTGCGTGTACCGATGGTAACCTGACGCAGATTCTGGCAAGTGATCAACTCAGCTGCATCGAACATTGCCATCTCAAAGCCGTGAACGAATGAAATGTTCTTCTACTTGTCGTTCCTTCGACCCCCGCCATCCCAAGCACTTCCGTCGGATTCAGTCTCGATCACACCACAGGTTGCCAATGACTTGCGCACGGAACTACTTGACAACGCACAAGATATCTACTATGCCTGGTGTCTCCCGCCTGCACCGCATGCTAAGCCAAACCAGCTCCCTGCTATCACCAAACCCCAGAAGCTTACGACATGGAGACAAGGAAGTGCCTACAAGGAACTGTCAGTCCCGACTCCGCCTGGGATCAGGGAAGGCCAATCCTGCTGCCTCCTCCTCACCACCCATGCACAGGGATACCCGCATCTCATCAACCTCGGATCGACAGATGTCGGACAACGCCCATATCCGGTCATGTCGATGCCTATCCTGTTTTGCTCGAAGAATTCGAAGGGGAAGTCACCGGCGTACTCAGAGAAACAGGAACATGTGGAGCGTATTTACCGGATACCGCTTAACTCGTCAGAACAGGTCTTCATGCGCGTGAAGGAACAGACATCGTTTGATTTGGACAAGGTTCGTCGCCCGGACCTAAATGATCCTATATCCCGGTTGCAAATTTTGACCTGAGCTTTCGTCAGAAAGTATGGGATAGTGGGATAGGACTGAGCTCGTGGATCACTACCCTCGCGAACGACGACAGCATCGCTAGTAGCGCAGGCATCCTCGCTCGTATGAAAAGTGCAATTCTATCTCCTGAGCGTCGAAGTATAATCGAGTTAGGCAAGTCAAACGATCTGCTCGCAGTCCTGGTTTCTCATGCGTTCATTAACAGGTGCCGGGACGGGCATGGTATCTTTGACCCTCGGGGCATTGCGTTCTGCAAAGGCTCCTGATGATAGCCTGTTGACGACAGACCTAGGTGTGCTGCCTTCTCAGTCGCGTCTGATTTCATTCTCTCACACACCATCCATGAAGCATCCGCAATGCCCCTACTCGAGCACAATATTTCGAATAATGCCTCAATATTTCGTTCAGACGCGAGTCGTCCCAGAGCACTCACATTGGACTGGGACGAGCCGCTTCCGCCGGAAGTGTCCTCCGTGCAGGACGGGTTTGACGTGATAATGTGCGGCCGCTTCGCCGGACTCTACCGTTCACACTAACCGTGTACACCCTAGCATGGCGGATGTCACGTACAACACATCTGCATTCCCGTCGCTTATACGGACAGTCTCAGATATTCTCCGTCTCCGCTCATCGGTGCCGCCATCGACGCCCGAACTTCGAAAGACCATGCTACTGCTCGGTTACAAGGAGCGCGACCCCGCAGAACGGATGTTATGGGAGATGATGCGAGACATCGGCGTGCGTCTTGAGAAGGTGGATGAGAGGCGCGGCGCAGGCGGCGACCCCGTCGAGATATGGATAGGGACAGTGGCCTGAGGTGAATAACTTCCACTCATAGCGCCTCTGTACTGAAGGAGTTCAATTGCCAGCAATTTGCCAGTGCACCCTGTGACTCTGTCGCGACGCAGATCGGGCGATGTTCGTGCTTTGGCGATCATAGAAGGCCCCATCAGCTGCCGTTGCATACACGATTGTCCCATGAAAGATCGCCGTCATATTTGAATGCTTTCGAGTGTTAGTGAGTTACATGAACAGTTGCATGCCTCGCGCTAATGCAGCCATGATCAATGAGCCAGGTTGTCAAGAGTTTTGGTGTTGTGGGACTCACGCGGGTCTGGACGCAGGGAAGTTAATTTTCAGACTGTCTGAGAAAGGACTGTAGACGTACAGACCATGTAGCGTGCAGGCAGTATGCAGGCAGTCGAATTCGAATGTTGCGGTCCAAGACAAGTATAGCGACCTATAAATAGAGATCGCGCGCCCGGTTAGATATGTCACGAAGAATGTACGTAAGCGGGCTACGCGAGGCTCTCGGCGCGCTTGGTCGCCACAGCAGTGCGGCAGGCTTTACTCCGAGCTCACTGCTTCCCCTGCAACCGGCGCTGGTCCGTCGTCGCCGTCGCCCACAATGAGCGAGGGACGCTACTCTCCATCCTCCTGGGACCACGCCGACGGCTCCGAGACCAACCACTCCGCCAACCACTCATACGAACCAGGGCCGCCCGTCGAATCCCGCGAATCCCTGGACGTGAACGGAGCGGTGCCTCCGACACCGACCAAGTCCACTTCACCGCCACGCTCGAGTACGGAGTCGCCGACGAGGCTCTCATCTCAACGATGGCGTGACAGCACACTGCAACCACCAACGGAGGTTCCGGACACGGTGACTGTGGACAGTGCTACACTGGTAGAGCCGAGTTTCGACGAGAATGTGTTGAGGGCACTATGTGATTTGGACGTAAGCCTGAAATTACTGTGCTACCTTGCTTCGCTGAACGGAATGCTGTACTCTTGCAGTGCGGAATACCATTACTACTAGATCGAATTAAGCAGAGCATGATCTCATGTCGGGTACGTAGCCCAATCTCCCTTCGTTCAGCAACAGGGTGCCCCGTTCTACGCGCTGCCATAGTGCCGTGAGCCGCATGCCATCCACACCTTGTGCGGATGTCAGCTCTCGCCAGGTGTTCCTGCGCGATGCGCACGCCTGGCCGCGACCTGGGGTTCGCACAGGTCTGGGCATACGGCTGCTGCGCAAGGAGCTGCGTCGACATGTCGAGCGATTCTATTTATGAAAGCTACTGATCATGACTGTCAATATAATCAGGAAGCCGCCAGCTTCTTCAAAAAGAGGGCTCTGTTAGAGGAAGAATACGGGCGCGGTATGCAGAGGTTAGCGAAGGCTACCTCTGACGCGTACTCATCGAGCGAAGGAAAAGCTGGGTGCGTTAAATGCTCATTACCGTGCTCTCCGGCCACGCCTCGCTCACTGTCCCCAGCACCTTCGTAACCGCATGGCATTCCGCCCTGAGAGTACATGAGCAAATGGCGGACAACCGTTTGCGCCTGTCTCAACGACTCAACGAGATGAGTCAAGAGCTGTCCACACTAGCGAAGGAGGTCGACTTCAGCAGGAAACAGGTAAGCATCGAACGCGCCTCACCAGACACTTCATCTGAAAGTAGAATAGACCAAGGAGCTTGCTAGTCGCTACGAGAAGACCTTGCAGGAGTCGGAGGCAACAACGGAGAAGTGCAAGGTCCGCGTCGACGTCACAGCAGAAGAGCTGGAGAGGCTGCTTCTGCAAAAAGAGGGTGAGTCGATGAAGGACTCGCAGCTGCAGGGCAGAACACCGGGCGGCGCTTCCGGCAAAAGGGTGATCGGCAAAGCTGTGGCCAAGGGCGGTATGTTGCTGAAGGGGCGAAATCCGGGAAATGTGCGTTCGGTAGCACCTGCTGTGAACATAATCTCTGACAGACGCGATGTAGCTTCAGCGACAAGAAGAGGACATACGCGCCCGGATGTCAAAGGAGTCGGACGCGTACCGGAAAGCCGTCACAGAGACACAAGCCATCCGGCAAGAATACTTCAATTTCCAATATCCGCGTCTACTTCGGGTGCGAACCACTTCGACACGCTCCGCTGAAGTCTACTCACCAGTCATGCAGGCCTTGAAAGAGTGCGTGGACGAGATAGATCTCGGAACACAGTATCATCTGTCCCGCTATGCGTTCCTTTGCGAGAGCGTCGTACTCAGTGACGGCACTACGCTCACGCCGGTCGACGACAGCGGTAGGCACCCTCCAAACAGCTGTACATTGACGCGCCGTGATGAACTATTCTCCAGCCACGCTCCCGGGCCTCAAGACTGCCTTGGAGTCGATCGACAACCGCAGCGACTTCAAGACGTACATGCAGAACTACGCCTTCGCGCACGGCGGTGCCAACAGCAGAGGCCCGCGCCGGGACGGCCCGCGGGAAGAGGGCTTTGTACGTCCTGTCGTCAGATGTCGCCCGTGGATTATCCTGACGGAGCACGCCCTCTAGCTCCCGCCAATCGCCGCGCTTGCGCCCCATGCCGCGAGCTCGCCCAGCACGTCGAACACGCAAATCCCGGACAGAGGCCGGCCGACGTTCGGCGTCGACCTTGCTGAGCAGATGGCACGGGACGACGTGGACGTGCCGTCGATCATGGTGAAGTGTTGCGAGGCGATTGAGAAGTACGGCCTGAAGTCACAGGGCGTATACCGTATCGGCGGGACCATGACCAAGGTCGCCAAGCTGAAAGAGCGGCTAGACAGAGGTGCGCCGTTGTTTCTCCATGCTTGCCCCGTGATGCGGTTGTTCATTCCATGGAACACCGACACTGTACCCGGTGTGACATACAGACCTGGATTCCGTGAACCTCGACGCCGAGGAGTGGTCCTCCGACATCAGCAATGTCACGAGTGTCCTCAAGATGTGGCTCCGAGAGCTGCCGGATCCGCTCCTAACGATACATCTGCACGGTGCTTTCCTGGAAGCTTCCCGTGAGCACATCATCTGTCCGTTCATAGTCGTCTGCTTCATGTGGTGGCGCCACAGGGAACGACAACGAGCGCTTACGACATATACGCTTGCACGAGCGTGTCAACGACCTACCCGACCCGAACTACTCCACCCTCAAATACTTCATGGGCCATCTACATAAGTACGCCGTCCAGCGGTCTGCGTGCTCCGCAATTCACCGACCGCCTTGCCTTGCAGGATCGTCGAGCACGAAGCCGAGAACGCGATGTCCGTGCAGAACCTGGCCATCGTCTTCGGCCCCACGCTCTTCGGGCAAATGCTGCCGGGCATGAACGGGCAGCTGAACGGCATGGCGGACGCGGGGCTGCAGAACAAGGTGCGTCTCCCACAGGGCGAGATCCCGATCGGCCGATCGTGCAGAGTCTAACGGGTGCCTTCTCCCTTCTTCCCCACTTCGCGCGGCGCGCGCGTTCACACAGGCTATCGAGACCATCCTAGAACATTACACGGATATCTTCGTCGACGACAACGAGGCCTAGAGGGCCCCCAGTACCCGCGCCCGCGCCCGGGCTTCTCCTCCATTCGGTTCATCCACTTTATTTATCGGCATCGAAGCACCTATTGATACCCGCCTATCCCCACTGTATCGTCTACGCCACGCGGGCACTGTCCCGCCGTTGTTGTTGTCGCCATCCCACCCATTACCTTTCCCCCCTTCCACGCACGACTCCTCTGTCTGTCTCACTCGCTTGCAGGGTTCACGGTTGACGGATGCGGGCGCGGCGCAGCCCGCCCAATAATGTATTGAACTACCTGTAGTGTCGTACTTCTACGCCTCCGTATATCTTATTCTGTCAGCTCCGCATGGGTATCAATGTCATTACTGTTCTACTCTGAGTTCGGACCGTGGTGTCAACGATGATGATGCATAGCGTGCTGCGACTTCCGTGCTGGTGCCCCGCACCGGGCCCGGTTGTCCTGGCCCTTGACGCACAGGGCACAAGGCGAGGGCCGAATTGGCACCGGGGGACCTGGAAGAAGTCGGCTGGATGGGTATTAGGGTAGGACGCGGCCTGCCCTGATTGCTGGACCTTGCCTGCCATCACGCGGTGGTGCCGCCGGACCGCTGCACGGAGGCGGTGCCGTCCGCCGCGCCTGCGCTGGGATTGCCGCGCGCGGTGCGTATGCACGTCCAGGCACGCAGTCGGGCGCGCTGCGGCCGTCATGGCGATCCGCCTGCGAATGTGAATGTGCGGTGAACGGAGGGGCCTGGCGCACCGTCGGCCGTCAGTGAGCGTGCAGAGACGAGATGCGGACGGACAGCGTACGGCGGTGGTCATGCTCCTGCACGGGTGCGCCGCGCCTACGTGGCCGCATCCTAGCTGCGCGTGTACCGCGGGGGCGACTTGGAGACCCAGATGTGCTCGGGGCCGGAGAGCGTCCACTCCGTCTTGGACGGGAAGACGACGGCGCGGAGCGACGGGCAGCTGCGGCCCCACGTCTGGCAGAGGTTGACCTCCTCGAGCGAGGAGCCGAGCCCGCCGTTGAGCGCGGGCGTCGCGGAGAGGTCGAGCAGGCGCAGCGCGGGGAACGCGCCGAGCGCGGGGGACAGCCCGGCGAGGATGCTCTGGCGCAGGCGCGGTGCAAAGGGAGTGTCAGGGTCTGTGCGGGAGAGGAGGGAGAAACGGACGGGGCATGGGGCATGGGTGGGGAGGGCCGGGCGGGGTGAGGAGGAAGAACCACTCACGATGCCCGTAAAGGAGTGGTGCAGGGTGTGTCTGAGCGCGAAGCGGATGCGGAGGTGCTCGACGCCCGAGAGGTGGCCGGAGACGGCCTTGAGCGTGTTCGGGGTGACGGAGACGGCGGAGAGGTCGAGGGTGCGCACGGGGGCGCGGCCGCGGGCGAGCTCGGCGAGCTGGCGCGGCGCGAACTGGTCCTGGCCGACGAGCGCGAGGTGGTGGACGGCGCGGCCGGGGACGATGGACTCTGCGGCGGCGGCGGTGCCCTTGAAGGCGGAGAGCTGGGGCAGGTGGTCTGGGGCGAGGGCGAGGGGGGCGTGGTGGTCGCCGAGGACGAGGTGTTCGAGCGTGCGGGTCGCGGCGAGGAAGTGCTGGAGGACGAGGGTGTCCGGGGCGTCCTTGACGGGGATGCTGCCGGGGCCCATGCCGTAGAGGGCGAAGAGGCGGAGGGCGGGGAAGCGGCAGCCGGCGAGGACGGTGTGGACGGAGACGGGGACGCCGACGAGGCCGAGGGCGAGGTCGAGGGCGTCGAGCTGGGGGAGGCGGCGGAGGGCGGCGTTGAGGGTGCGGAGGACGGGCTGGACGAAGGGCTCGTACTGGTCACGCGCGCTGGGATCGGTCTGCCATCGGACGGTGAGGCGGCGGACGAGGTCGCGGAGGTCTGGGCGGGCGAGGAGGGTCTCGCAGCAGCGGTGGAGGCGGTGGGGGAAGGCGGACGAGCGGGGGAGGCTCTCGGAGATGAAGATGTGCGCGTAGAGGATGCGCTCTGCGACGGCGCGGAAGCGGTGGCAGACGCGGGCGACGCGGGCGAGCTCGGCGGGGCGGGGCTGCAGGTGGGCGAAGATGGCGTCCAGTGTCTCCGTGGGCAGGTCCATGCAGTCCGCGGGGTGGATGCGGCGGTCGGAGGCGGCAGGGCGACTTTATACGCGACGGGGCGGAGAAATCACGGAGGGCGAGGCGGGCATCCTTCCCAGCCGGCAACCGAGGCACTCGCCTCCGCTGCCAGCCACGAAGCCCCGGAGCGGTCCGCGCATCCTTCTCGCACTCACGGCGGGGCCTCGGAGCGGGAGGGCTGCGACGACACGCTGGGCGAGATGCACGGAATGCGAATACTGTTGTACAGTAGATAGTGATACACCGAGTATGAACCGAGTCTAGCGTCCGCCACAACCAACCCCTCATGCCCCGAACCCGTACAACGTGCGCCCCGACCGCTTCAGCGCGTACACCACATCCAGCGCCGTCACCGTCTTCCGCTTTGCGTGCTCCGTGTACGTCACAGAGTCCCGGATGACCTGACGCGTCCCCATCAGCATGCAACTCACCGCCGCGACAATGCTACTCACATTCTCCAGGAAGATCTTCAGCACCCCGCGCGTCTCCTCGTAGATGAGACCGGAGATACGCTTCACACCGCCTCGCCGTGCAAGACGACGGATCGCAGGCTTCGTGATACCTAGACCGGTCGTTGGAAGGGCGCAGCCAGAAGAAGTCGAGGGTTAGCTCACCTTGAATGTTATCACGGAGAATCTTGCGGTGACGCTTCGCACCACCCTTTCCAAGACCCTATCAAGCGCAAACACCCCCGTCAGCTCGAAGTCCCTTGTCCGAATTCAAGAACCTTCAGCCACCCACCTTGCCACCCTTTCCACGGCCAGACATGTTGATTTGTTAGAGAGGTTGTTGAGAACGAAGTGTTCGTAAGATTTGCGAGAGGGGCCTTGCGTCGACGAGGCAGAGGCGGAGTGCAGAGAGAGACGAGTGGGGGCACCTCGAGTGCTCGGAGGCCGGTTATATACAAGCGCGGGCCACGCTCACGTGCACAAGTTTGTTGAATCGCATTCAACGCGTCTCGCGCACGTGACAGGCGCGCTCGCGTCCGCGTCGCGCCTCTATATAAGAGAGCGCCCGCCTCAGCCACTGGCCCCCCACTCCCGCTTGCCCGCCGCACCCGCCCCACGCCTACACACTCTCAACACCCCTCACACTTCACAATCAGCAATGGCTCGTACCAAGCAGACCGCCCGCAAGTCCACTGGTGGTAAGTCTCAACCTCACTTGAACCGTCAAGGTCTCCAACTCACCCCGACCGCTCAGGCAAGGCGCCCCGTAAGCAGCTCGCTGCAAAGTCCCAAGCGCGCAAGACCGCCGCAGCAGTAAGCCCCACCCCCAACTCTGACCTCCCACCCGCAGCTTACCCCGCGCCTTCAGAACGCGACCGGCGGTGTGAAGAAGCCCCATCGTTTCCGCCCGGGCACGGTCGCCCTCCGCGAAATCCGGCGGTACCAAAAGTCGACCGAGCTCCTCATCCGCAAGCTGCCCTTCCAGCGGCTCGTCCGCGAGATCGCGCAGGACTTCAAGGTGCGTTTCAAGTTCTCTTCAGTATCCGTCCCCGCCTTGAGCTGAAATTGACTTCGCGCAGACCGACCTCCGCTTCCAGTCGTCCGCCGTGATGGCGCTCCAGGAGGCGTCGGAGGCATACCTCGTCTCCCTCTTCGAGGACACCAACCTCGCCGCCATCCACGCGAAGCGTGTCACCATCCAGCCCAAGGACCTCGCGCTCGCGCGGCGGCTCCGCGGCGAGCGCTCATAGACTGTCTCGGCGTGTATCCATAGGTGTATTGTCTCTGTACTAGTATTTATTCCGTCTATCATTTTCTTCTGTCGTGTGGCTCGCATGAAGCACGTAGGATATGTACATGCAATATGATCATGCACATACCATTCAGCTGCGCATTGTATTGAGTGGTTAGTAGACGAGCCGAATTCCCATTGAGACTAGAGGGGGGTATTCCAGAAATAAAGCAAACTAAATCAAGCTACAGTAGATCCACCACCACGATCGCAACAGGGCAGAGGCCTAATCCCAACCCAGAGCCTCGCCGCCATACCGCTTCGGCAGCTCCCCCGCATCAACAAGAGGCAGGAGCTCCACGCCGATCACCTTCGGGCCCGTGCCGACCATGCTGAACTTCTCCATCGTCTTCGCGGGCACGAGCGCCTTGAACAGCCAGAAGACCCACGCCATGACCGTCGGCACGTTGACGAAGAACTTCCTCGACTGTGTGAGTGGCACGCGCGCGCGCGCATCTCCGTCAGCGAGGGGGTCTGGGAAGAGGAAGGGGAGAGGACGTACCAGGAGCTCGGGGTAGTAGCTCGAGAAGAGCGCGGAGGCTTGCGAGGCTGCGGCCTTCTGGCCGGGTGTACGCGACATCATGCTGACGCCCTCGTAGTCTGTGTGTACCGGCGAGCCCATTCAGTATTCAGTGAACGAAAACGAGGGCGGTGCTGCGGCGAAGGGGGTCGAGGGCTCTCGGCACGCACCGTGGATCTGCACCATCTGGTCAACGTTCTCGAAGTCGAGCTCCTCAATGCACTTCTCCATGAAGGCGACACGCCAGCTAAGTATACCCGCGAGTCAGCGCCGCGTGCCTGCCGCAGGAGACCGCGAGGGACGCACCGCAGGAACCGGTCGACGTCACCGAAGACGGCGTTCACGTCGGAGCCACCGTATATGTTATAACTGTGCGCCCGGCGCGGGGATCAGCATGCCTGCGAAGGTGTTGACTCCCAGATGGATGCTGCGCGACGTACACGACTGGGTGCCCATCCTTGCTCTTGCCGTAGATCTTACCAAGCCCGCCAAATATCTTCTCGGGAAATTCCTCCTTCAGAACCTCCGCAAGCTTGAAGTCCTCTCGCCACTTGAGCGTGTCGGTGAGCATCTTGCGTGCCTCAGCAACCTTGAGGTCCCTACACGCCGAAGGACGTATCGCGTCAGCAAGCTGACACCCAAGATGCGTGGCCGCGACACTCGAACCTTGCGCGCAAGAACTTGATGAGCACGACGCTCACACGGGCGTCCTTCGGGCTTGCCGGGTCGATCTGCACGCCCCAGAGGGTCACCGGGGCCTGCTTGTCCTCCTTCGCGGCATACGCCTCCGCGAAGATCTCCGGAAGCTGCGCCTACAATACCAGCAAGCCGCCGGCAGCGCCAGTCAGCACCCGCCCTCGCACAGAGCACGTATATTTGGCCCGCAGCGCGCACACGCACCCTGAGTTCCTTCACGGCTGTCCATTCTGCGTCGCTGAACTTCCGCGTGAGTGTGTTCTGGGGCTCGTCCCCTGCATCATCGTCGCCCTTCTTCTCCTGGCTATCCGCGGCACCGGCGTCTGCACCTAAAACGCAGCGTGCGGGACTGGATGAGATTACCTGTCAGAACGTGCGATGGCGAGGGTGCCGCTTACCCGGTGCTGGCGTCTCTGGGATAGGAACGGCTGCGGCGACCTCGGGGGCAGGCGCGGTGTCGGCGGGCGTCGTCGTGTCGGGGGCGGGAGTCGTGTCTGACATGGCGGTCGAGAGCAAGCTGCGTCGAACCCTGCAGAACGCGGTCTGGTCGCGCGACGTGAAGGCTAAATAATCTTATCTGATAAGTCGCGGTCGCGGTGACAATCGCGCACGTGCCCCAGGGATTCGGGTTCAGTTGCAGTTCGATTGCGGCTCGGCTACGTAGCGGTCTTCAGCCACTTGCGTCTGCTGCCTCTGTCACGGCTGAGCACGCTACTGCAGGGCTGCATACACTCTATACTCGCTTACTCCCTGGAGACTTTGACATAACTCCAGAACTACCGCCTACTAACCGTGATTTAAGATGAGCTTCAAGAAGAGGTGCGCGTCCACCTCCGCCGACACCGGGGGTCTTCGATACTGACGAGCTGCCTCAGCAAGCTCGACCTCCTCATCCGAGTACGGTACTCGAATCCATTGCCAGCACCACCATGTCCCCCAAAACTTCTAGACATCCCAACAAGCCCTTCGCGCTATGCGCGCCCAGAGTTCCTTGACGACATAGCGGCCGACACACCGCTACCCATGGTTGTGGACGGAGATCTTGGCATGCCACTTGACCTGTCCCAATGGGACTGTCTGTGGGACGAGAATGCGGATTCTCTCGGTGAGTGTCCCCGTCTTCGAGAGATTGAGGACCCCCTGAGAGATGCATTGCATAGAGTTGAACCCTTCTGAGGAGACGGCACCAAAACCAGACCCAAAAGATCTCTTCATGCTAGTCGACCCCACGTCCTCGGGACCCTATGTCCACAACGGCATAGGGCCGTCCGCTCTCGCATCCACGTCAACGCCCTCCTCGATGCCACACGTAACATGGCTCAGGCGGACAGAATACCTTACCCGCGAAGCTTCATCTCGTCCAACTCCGTCGCAAGAAGTGTACGTACCGTTTCCTCGGTTCTGCCAGTATCCTAAACCTTATGTGGACACAGGAAGCAAAACATGAACGCCCCGGTGGATATCTCGCGTTCCGCGCAAATACACGACATCGAAGCGTCCTTCCCGGCGACCGAGACCTTCGACCTCAGCGCGCTCAAGCATCCCAATAAACCCGACGTTACGGCAATTGACTCATACGAGGTCTTCCCCGACGCCGAGATTTGGGCGAATGCATACGACCTCTTCCGGTTCTCAGAGCGGCCGGGAGAGCGCCCGCCTGAGGTGTGCCAATATTCGCTCATCTGTTTTTTCCAACTTCTGATCCGTCGACTCCAGGTCGATGACCCACGCCTTGACTGCGCCATCCTGCGGCCCATGGAGTCAGATGGCGACCACTTCTTGGCCTACTACCTCACGAAGGACGACGAGACCGCGCTGCAGTTCAAGCAAGAGCGACTGGCGCGCTCACCTGACGCCCCTGAGGAGGACGAGGTTCGTCCGAAGCCGCACACCTCATGTTCCGTTCTCATGCTAGCCCCCTCGTGTGTGCCGTCTCATATAGCCTATTCCATTCCACTTCGTCCGCGATTACGAGGTAGTGAAAGTGGAGCAAGAAGTCCCGAACGAATTCCTCCTCGTCATCGACGATGGTCATAACGCAGAAGCGCCGGAAGACGAGGACCAGAAGCCGCAGAAGGCCCGGGCGAAGGGCGCTTACTACAAGAACATCGAGCGCAAGATGCTGCTCAAGAAGAAGCGCCAGAACGTGCGTGCACCGTATCGGCTACGTGGGCTGGGCGCTGACAATTCGCAGGCGTACGAGTCGTACCACGATAAGTGGGACATCATCAAGATTACCCATTCCCCGATGAGTCAAGAAGAGGAGACAGAGCGCGAAGAGGCCCTTGCGGAAGTGATGGACCCTATGTACCTTCTGAACCGAGGTGAGGCCGACGCGGAGGGCGAGATAGACGATACATTGCAGGATGCATCGGCCCTGAACGGCCTTGGGGACGGTGCAATAGCACAGGATGCACTGGAGGTGTTCGGAGAGTAGCACGGTGGGTGTGTGACTATGCTTGGGCTACATTCCCCACTAACGGTTGCATTCCAGTCTGTCGCCCACATTGTGTGTATTCACTGTATAGGATTCCTCACAGCTCGCTGTTGTTTGTTGTCTTCTCGACTGCAGCACTTGCATCGCCGACAATGTCTGCTGCTACCGCGTTGTTCCGCCTGCGCGGACTATTTCGAATGGGGAAACCTGTGAACTCTGGCCTGCGGCCAGTTTGTCGATGTTGACCTACCACTGGCAATGATAACGAATCTACGCCGCCACTCGGAGCAATAACGTCCTCAATCAAACCCAATCACTTCGTTCGTATTTTGACGTATTGGAAGTTTTCTAGGCACCGTGGGGGGAGCTTCGCACCGAGGTATCTCTCCTTCGCGGGAGATTCGCGGAAACTATCGGTGAGGAGAACCGCACTTTAGTAATACTGCTTCATGCATGGCAACCTCTTTCCCTAACGAAGGTTTGACCCGATGGGGATGCAACTCCGTCGAATAGGACAAAGCTTTTCGCGGGATTCTGAGCACGTAGTACTTACCGTTACTCTGAGCCGTGTCAGGCGTTCAAAGTATTGCATGCAGGTTCACGGTGCGGGATTGATAGCTGAACTCTCCTACTTAGCTCACCATGACACCACCCAGAATGGTTCACAGTGGGTATCGATGTTGCGCAATGCGTACCAAAGCCTTCTCTAGCCGTGGAGACCCCACGCCTGCGTGACTACATCTCACGACCTCGTAATTCGACCACCGATATGAAAGCGTATCGCAGATTCACAGAATGGCGACACCGCTGCCATTCGGTTTACTCTCGCAGGAAGTGAATTGTCCCTTTCGGAATGTGTATTCAACGGCTGCCTGCTCCAAACTTTGCTCTTGGAGCCACGTTCAGTGATGGCTGATCGTTCAGGTGAATATCGACACGCTGAGGCGGAAAGGCAGGAGACGAGTAGTATTTTATGAACATAACTTGAGTATCTCGTGCTCATCATAATTGACCACAGCCCAGACGGGAACCCAAGGCTCCATTCCGCTCACTTCCTGCGCGCATGGTACCTAGCGCGGTTAGTGTCTTCCATCGTCTGCGTTTTTGGTATGGGCTCGCCCTTCAACGTCAACGGTGACTAGGTTCAGATTCTGGAGGCAGGCAATGAACGTCATGGCCACCGGCGCACAAAGATATTAATGGTGTCCATACTGTTCAAGCCTATATACGTCAGGAGTTTTGGGTTACCATCCTCTCACATTTTCTACTGCTGCATATGTCCACGCATCTATGGCCTACTGCGAGTTGCCGTTCGGTGGTGTCTCTAAATCACGTGACACGCGCTCCAGTAGCGCCTACAAAGTCCAAAAAGGAGCAGGTACCGGTGATGGTTATCATCGAGCGTTGACGAAGGCAAACCCTCGCAAGTGGCCGAAACCTCTCCAGAAGGTACGCTGTTTAGTGTTACAAAGCGAATAGCAGATCACAGGCCTTAATCTCATAGCAACTTGGCGCAGGTACTCCAGGGCGACCTATGGCGACAAGTTCAGGCGTAGGCTCCGACCGCGACACGAGCCCTCCTCAGGGACCGTCGGCGCTGCCCCTCGAGTTATGGCACCAAATCTTAGCATCGTTCAGCGGACCGCATCCAGCAGAGGACATCCTTTGCAAAGATCCCATGGATGTCCACTCATTACAAGCATGTTCTCTAACATGCCGTGCGTGGCTCCCCATTGCCCACGAACACCTCTTTCGATATCTTGGCCTCTTGGTAACGAGCGCAAATTGCGAGGATGCAGTCATCGCGGTTATGGAAAGTCTCCCTGCCATAGGGAAATACGTCCGTGTCCTCTCTATCGGGCTCTCGTTCTTGGAGTCGCGGTTCGTCAGGCAGACAGACGTGCTTACCCATTTTCGACCGGTCGCCCCGATGGTCCCCAACGTGAACTCCCTCGTTCTCGCTAGAATCACCCTCCAGGCTCCTCCCGACAACATGCCACCGTTCACAGCACTGTTCCCTTCGCTGCACTCGTTGTACATAGGCAGCATTCAGCCGGAGCTGCCTGTCCTACATACGTACCTGACGGCCTGCCAGGGACTTCGCGAGCTCACGCTGTTAGGCGTCCTGTACTACGAGCTGAACTTCTTGTCGATGGTCGTTCGCGCATCGCCCAATAACGGCATCAACATCGCTCCGGCTCCTCCGGAAATATCGGAAACGCACATGGCTACTGTGCTCGACTGGATGACGCCGACTGAACCCTCTGCGCCGATAATCCTCGACACTCTGGAAACGAGCTGTAGCTCCCCATACGAGCAACGGGCCTTAGCGACGTTCGTAGGAGACGAAGCTGTCCATGTAAAAGGCCTCGACATCGGTTTCCACCTCTCTGAAAAGCGCATAGACCGAGGTGACATCTTAGTTCAGCTGTCCCTGCTATGACCGACATTGACCAGTATCCCCCAGCACTACGAAATCTTCTGCCGTTCTCCAGTCAATATGTCGAGACGCTCAACATTCGTTTCCCCCAAGTTGACTACGGCAGCACCCAAGCGATCATCAGGCATATCCTTGGCACAATCGACATGCCCGCACTCAAGACGTTGTCTATCGTTTACAGCGTGCGCAGGACGTCCACATTCGTCGCCGCCCAGCCCGACTACGACTTATCACGGTTACCGGCATTGAAGGCCGCAAACTTAACGATCAGCAATGCCAAGCGCGGCATGTCGGATGCGGAGCGGCTGGCTATGACGACTGTGACCGCTTTCCTTGCGAGCGCGCACAAGCGAGGAATCCTAAATGTCACCGTCTTCGAAGACGCAGCGACATGATGAATGGTACACTCGTCAGATAGCTCCGTACCTGTGTACAATGCTCATGACATGTGAACTCGCTAGGGGGCATACATCATTTGATTCGCGAATCGTATTCAAGCGCAGCATCTAAATTTTTCGTTGGTGAAACTCCTTTGCTACGCATCGTGCGAGAATCGGGGCAGAGGGGAGGAGAGGAGTACTGGTATGTGACGGCCGGCCTCAGCTGATAGTGCACTATCAAAAACTGTGCTGACAAATGGTTCCGACAGATATACCGGAAGTTGCTGGTTGGCGGAATTGCCCTTCAATGAACACTGTAGCCCTCGACTTCGTGAATCAACAGGCGCGATGTAACTGGCCACAGGTTGGGTAACTCCGGATCGGGATGCTCTGGCAGTTTACTCAGCGCTTCGCGAATCCCGGGCCTGTGTTTGCAGTAGTCGAGTAGGCCGAGAACAATATCGCTCCATGTTTGAGCACAAGTCACTCGAGGTTATGCCATTCGTCGTCATCCATACGTCCGCGATGGCAATATGCTCTGCGTGCGCGTCTGCTGTGCAGCATGCGTGGCAAACAGTACAACGCAACAAACTCCGACATTGAACGTTGTCGATTCTCATCAGGAGTTATGATCACAGTATGTTCAGTGCAACCCAGTGTCGCAGTATGTACTTGGTTTGGAGGAGTCGAGTATCCACTACACCGCACCTGCAGTGTGACGCGACCAGAACGCTGCAAGACGGAACCGATTGGAAGGAGGCCTCGAGGTCTGAAGATCTGAAGATCCGACCTGAAAAATTCGCCAGATCGCGGGACATTTACCAATAAGTTATGCAGATCTGATTCGTCGGAACCAAATCTAGATGCCGGTGCGCAGAGCCTTTGGAGGCTTCATGCTACGCAAATGCTACGGGCGGCCTATCACCGCGGTTTCATGATCCCCTTCGACTCGATGTCTCTGGCTCTCCCGATTGCCCACATTCGAGTCCATGTTGGTCCTGGAGGAGGAGGAGGAGGAGGAAGAGGAGGAGGAGACGGGTCCATTTAGCCGCAGTGTACGTGTGTCTACTACACGCGACTGGAACTGAATCGCGCCCAGCACCTTCGTCATACTTCGATTACTCAGCATATGCCGAATAATTGTTCCCCCGAAGTTACCGGGAATCGTGCACATATTGGCAGCGGTTGAGAGCGGAGGGTTCCAGTATAAAGCCACGAATATGATCCTGCACATAGGCAAGCCAACCTTTCCTTCATCACCACATAGCAAGATCGAACCTTCATGAGTGCGAACAAACCCCTTGTGCTCGTCCTTGGCGCCACTGGGCGTACCGGGCGCCCTGTCGTCAAAGGCCTCCTGGAGTCAGGTCGATGGGTGCGTCTCCAGTGCTTGGTATCTCATGCCTGCCTTGCGATTCCAACTCGCTCTGACGATTCAGAATGTTGCCGTGCTGACGCGCTTAGCCTCGGCGTCCAAACCAGAGGTAGACGCGCTTCGATCGCAAGGCGTGGAGATCCGCATCGGCGATTTTGCAGTCGACCCGCCGGCGAAGTTGGCAGAATACGTCAAGGGCGTTGAAGTGCTGCTGAGCGTTGCATCCGCCGATGTGCTCGATGCGCAGAAGCCTATCCTGAAGGCGGCAGTGGATGCAGGCGTGAAGAGGCTCATCCCTTGCGACGTTGGCACTCCCGGTGCAAGGGGCGTCAGAGCTCTGCACGATGAGGTGCGTTCTTTGATACCCTCAGCTGCGTCTTCATGATGGGTATGCTGACCTAAAGTGTTGCGCCTTCAGAAACTCGATGTCAGAGACTACCTCAAGGACATCTGCGCCGCATCCAATGGCGTCTCCAGCTACACCTTCCTAGACATCGGGTGGTGGATGCAGCTTGCTGTGCCTAGCTCATCCACCAAGCCAGCACCGCTCGGCCCGCTCAGTGACGACTACTTCACCGAAGACGACAAACCGGTGCTCCTTACGGACGTCAACCACATTGGACCGTACGTCGCGAGGATCATCGGCGACGAACGGACGGCGAACCAGTATGTCATCATCTGGGAAGACGAGTTGACCCTTCGAGAGTACCGGGAGATAGCAGAGGCCGCAAGCGGAGAGGCAGAGGCCATCCGGGCGAAGCGTGTCGTGGTATGCCGTTCTAGACTATCATTCTTTTCTCTTCCTCGTGTCTGACACGCCATCAATTATAGCTCGACAGAGCCGCGCTAATTCAGCGTGCGGCCGAGAACAAGGCGAAGTATACGACTGACAGAGACTACTGGTCTCACGCTACGTGGGCGTTCTCTGAATACATGATCAGCATCCACTTCCTCGGCGAGAACACGCTGGCGAACGCGAAGAAGCTGGGCGCACTCGACGCACAGGAGCTCTATCCCGATATCGTGCCGACGGGGTTTGCGGATTTTGCTAAGGAATTCTATGGGGCGACGCATTGAGGCGTTCGCTCGTCTTGAGCTCACACGCTGTATGACGCTTGCGGAATCTGGGCGCTGGACAGCAGTGTATGATTGTACAGTATCATAATGGCCATGAAGTTATCGCGAGGCTGCCTGGCGCCGTCTGGGAAGCTCGGACATCAACAAACTCTTGGGGCTGAGTATGGTGAGAGGGATTGGAAGAGAGGGGCCGGCGACGAGGGCACGCGCCAAACGACCTCTTGACAGCGATAGTAGCGCTCACTTGCTGAGTAAAGGCTTCTTCGAGATGGTACAGTATATAATTAACTTCGCAGCGGCAAACACCATCATGATGCTATCGAGCTACGGGTCAATACCATCCATAGGAAAATCAACCTCCCGATCCCGCACATCCTAACGCTAGCCACATATGATCGAGAAGAAGCCTCTGGTGCTCATCCTCGGTGCCACTGGGCGTACCGGCTGCAAGATCATCGAAGCTCTTCTGGAGTCAGGACAATACGTGAGTCGTCGGTATGAAGCCTCGCGATGGTGCTAACCCTCTCCAGAGAGTTGCTGCGCTGACCCGGTCAACGTCGGTGTCCAAACCAGAAGTAGAGGCACTTCGATCGCAGGGCGTCGAGATCCGCGTCGGGGACTATGCTTCCGACCCGCCCGCCAAGTTGGCAGAATACGTCGAGGGCGTTGCCGTGCTCTTGAGCACGGTGGCTGCAGACGTGGTCATGGAGCAGAAACCGATCCTCAAGGCGGCCGTGGACGCGGGGGTGAAGAGGATCATCCCCAGCGACTTCGGGACGCCCGATGCGAAGGGTGTCAGGGCATTGCAGGATCTCGTGCGTTACTTCGTTGCCTGAGATCTTCTTCCAAAGGATAGCTGGGCTGATCGCGAATCCCATCTCCTCTTCAGAAACTTGATGTCAGGGAGTACGTCAGGGACCTTTGCGCCGCATCCCACGGCATCTCCACCTACACCTTCATCGACATCGGGTGGTGGATGCTGCTCACAGTGCCCAACTCGTCTACCAAGCCGTCGAGGCTCGGACGCCTCGCCGACGAGTACTACGTCGAAGACGACAAACCGATGCTGCTTACAGACATCGACCATGTTGGAGCGTATGTCGTGAGGATCATTGGCGACGCGCGGACGGCCAACCGATATGTTGTCATCTGGGACGACGAGTTGACCCTCAGGGAGTCACGCGAGGTCGCGGAAGCCGCAAGTGGGGAGGCTGCTGCGCTCCGGGCAGCGCGTATTGTGGTACGCCCTTCTTTTCCCTATCGTGTGTCGTCGCTTCTGCGTCCATCCCATCTGACGCACTCTGTCTGCTGCAGCTCGACAGAGCGGCGCTGGTACAGCGTGCCGCAGAACACGAGGCGAAGTATGCGATCACAAAAGACACCCTCACGCACACTATCTGGACGTTCTCAGAGTACATGATCAGCATCCACTTCCTCGGCAACAACTCACTTGCGAACGCAAAGAAGCTGGGCGCGCTCGACGTACGGGAGCTCTATCCCGACATAGTGCCCAGGCGATTTGCGGATTTTGCCAAGGAATACTATGGAGAGGCGCATTGATTAGGTTACCGCCATCGCTGATCCAAGGGCTCTGTCAATTGCGTTCAAAGACGGCAACGGGTAGTTGTGTTCCATAGGAATAGATCGACCACGATGTTGAATGATTTCGCCCTCGCGCAGCCCTGACATATTGAGTCTGCTATTCATCCTGAGTGAGATATCTGGCTTACCAATCATACGCGAGCACACAATCATCCGCACACCGTCCTCCCTGATGATGTCAAACAACTATATTGGTACAATCTCTGGAGTTCGCAATTCGGGAATAATACATACATATATCAACACACTCAGTCAAGCGCATCTCCCATCATCCGCGCCCAGTAGTAGTTGTAGTCCCCGCGGCGAACAGGAGGAACAGAGCCACCCGCGGGCGACGCAGGGGTAGGCGTCGGTACAGTTTCGGAGGCGTACGCGTCACCCGAAGTCGGGGCTGACACGGATGCAGGGGTATCTTGGCCGGCGGCACGGGCAAACAGCTCGTCGGCCAGCGTCCGGGCCAAGAGGTTGCAAGCCTCGCGGCGCCGAAGGCTGGCACCCTTGAGTGACTTGGCCTTGGATGACTGGCCGCTGGATGACTGGCCGCCCGCGGGACTGGCGGCCCCAGCGGGAGTGGGAGGGAAGGAGCCTGCAGAATCCATCGAGTCGCTTGCGAGCGATTCGTCACCGAACCCGAGGTCGTCGGTGTCATCGGTGCCAGTGGTGTCGAAGATGTCTCAGTCGGATCCACCAGTGCCTGCCATGCCCCCGACGGGGCCTGAGGTGAAAGACCCGCGCCAGCGGCAGGTGGGCTAGCCCCTTTGCCGCTGGAAACAGCCTTCGCAGGGTGGCTGCCGCCAGATCTTCCCTTTGAGCGTGCAACGAGTGTAACGGCAAGATCCCGTAGCCAGAGGACATCGTTCCTCCGGCGCATCGTGGTGCACCAAATGCAGAGGAGCCCGAGGGCTCCATGCCCAGCTCATCCTCCTCCGGCAATCTCTTATTGTCGTCATCGGCGGCGAGAGGCTTACTGCTGCTGCTGGGAGGTACAGCGGAAGCTCCAGCTACGGATCCCGTGGATGCACGGGCAACGAGCTCATCGATGAGTTTCCGTACCCAGAGGTCGTCACTCCTCCGCCGCATCAAAAGGCCACCACCAGCGCCGGAAGGCGTGGGCTTCGGGCTACTGGGGAATCCCTGGCCTGGAGTAGCTCCGGCACCAAGATCCATAAGATCTTCACCCATGGTATCTTCGCCCATGGAGGAGTCCAAAAGGTCACTGGATTGTCCAGCCGTGCTACTAGGCGGAGGTTTTGCGCCCGCCTGGCCGCCCGGGCCTCGGCGGTACACGAATGCTGAGGGAGTGGGAGCACTGGCGAGGACATATGAGTACTCTAGTGCATGCGAGGCAACGGTAAGAGTGATACGCACGCAAGGGCGGGGAGCGAGCAGACTGCCACGACAGCGAAGGGAGCGACGATGGCGTAGCGCTTGATGTTGAGATAACGTGCGGTGAAAAGTTGGAAGAAGCGACGGTTTGGATATTGGTCGTGAGTTCGTTACAAGGGGCTGCCGCAATCGCGTTCTGTAAGACTGATGCAAACTATAGAGGAAACGTGACTGCTTACCGTCCTGCGCCTATGGGTGAGCTTCGAAGTCCGAATAGGAGGGTGAGGCTGAGCTGAAGGATGGTGGTCTGCAGAGCCGGTACTTATACTATTCCTGGGGAATGCAGGCGCTCGATCTGCAGGCATAGTGAACGAGACATTTCATAGCCGGCGAGGATGAAGGCGCACACTGACAGTGACATAGTCTCCCCTAGGCAGACCCTAAAGAAGACCTCTTGGACGGACAGGGGGGGCGGTCTTCTAAGGACAGTGACACGTAACGAGACATGTCTTACCTTTCGCGTCTGAGACCGACTGTATCAAGACGGTACGCCCTCTGCGGACCTTCCAATGCGATCAAGGGTATTAGGCAGGCTGTTCTGAACCGGCAAGAGACCGAATCCGGTGAACTCAGTTGGATATTGAAGGCTGAAAGCCTGAAGGCCAGACTTAAACATGAATGCGACGATTAGTGTCAATACAAGGTCGTTCCGCAATTGACACCAAACGGAGAACACAGTGAATGGGACTCACCGTCTATACAGACTTTGTAACAGCGCGCTTCATCCCAATCTCCAAGGTATCCAGTGCACTTCACTATGCTCATCATCGACGAGACGGCCAGACTGAGATCAGTTGGATATGTCTGGAAACTCGGAAGATGCGATAAAGTCAGACTCTCAACACGAGGCCGGCGTTGACTGCATGATGAGAACGTTCAGTCCTCAGAGACAGGAGCACTGTACGTACAGGGCGATACACGTTCGGGTGAACAGAGTAGCTCGGTCAGAGTAAGACAGGGTGGGACTCGGTGAGACTCGCAATTACATTGCTGGGCTGTGACAGACATTGAGACTGAGTACTGCTAGTACTGAGTACTATACTACGGAGGAGGAGGAGGAGGGGGGTCAGTACTATACTACTGAAGTAGGAGGAGAACACAGGCTTGGGCGGCTCGCAGCGTTCAACGCCGCATACGTCACGAATTCCCACGGTTGACGGAACTCGGACATACGAACGGACATCCTCCGCACGCGGCGGTAGTACGCCCAGCTATGCATCGCATACTCAGGGTCAGCTTTCCTTCGACGTCCACCAACTCTGCGCTCGCTGGCTGCAATTGCATGAACATTGACTGACGCACTCTGGGGCTTGGAAAATCGAAATGTTTTCATGGGCACAGGCGACCGAACGAAGTCCAAGTTGCAGACACGTACATTTGGACTTGACCAGTCATGCAGTATGCCTTCTGTGCTAAAAGCGTTGGGCGCGGATTGAGTAAGGTGAGGTCTCGCGCACATCCGACCTCCTTGAACGGGAGATCCTCCTCCTGACGCGTCTTCTATGTACATAGATACAAGCAAGCCGATAAGTATAGGAACACCAGGGAGCGATTGGTGCCTGCCCACATGCTTAGGCTACATGATGCACCGGTACCGACGCTCATTGCGAGGTGACGTTACAGCTTGAGATTGCAACTAAGTGAGTTCCTAGTGTCGTCCGTAGCTTACGGATGCCGTCTGCAGATAAGTACGATCCCTTGGCAGGCCTGGCCAGTCAATACATATGGGAGCGCGGTCTGATACGCAGTGGTTATCGGCTCGGAGCTGAACCGTGGAGATTCAACTATGCCCGTCAGAGAGATAGTGGCCTCGACTCCGAGCATACCAGCACAATTATCAGCCTAGTATCAACCCATTACTCGCGGAGGCTTTCATAATAAATGGCCGCTCTAGACCGCGGACTTGGGTTTACAACATGAAGCTGGTGCGTGTCGCAGCCTATCTTGTACTTGCGGCGCTGTCTGGCAGCTGCAGCAGTAACGTATCGGCACGAAATCCACATCTCCTCGCCGTCTATGAGAGAGCAATTAAACTCATTGCGTTCGTGGTCGCCGTGCGGACTTTTGTGGCTAGTACGCTGCCTGCAAGCGGGTCGGAATTGAAGTCGCGACGGAATGATCGACGGAAGTCATTGAATTCGCGCATTCGATATCTGCAAAGTCATTCACTGCAATTCCGACGAATATGCAGGTGTGTCTTCCGGAAGACAATGAGGTCAATCACAGCTCGACCTTGGCTCGACCTGAATCTGACATGACATCGACTACGCGCATGGGGGCGCAAGGCCGGAATGAACTGGGAATGAATGGAAGAGGCTTGCCTTGGCGTTACTTCTCGTGCAAATGGGACTCGAGGCCGGTAAGGTACGGTTGGGGATTCGCCAAGGACATGCATACGAACCACATGGCGACCGTGATGGGTTGCACTTGGGTTGCGCCTCCGGGCCACGTCTCGATCGATCCGTGACAGGGCGATCATCCGGCGGCTGGTATACTCTGTAGCTCATTGGTAGCCAATCATGGAACGTCCTTGGTGTTTGCATGAGTCTACTGCTGCAGGCCGCGGTCCCATTCCATCCCTCGGGCGACGGTCATGTGCGCTCCCCGCAATTGGCATCATGTACGCCGCGAACTCGGAGGTGAGTACGTGTCTAGCCTCAAAATGCTGCTTGGAATATTGCGGAGGCCTAACCAGGGCCTAACAGCCTTTGATGGATACATGCGCCAAGAGACGGCCCCAGTGGGACGTCGCCTGGACGTCGCACTCTTGTTATCTCGTGGGGCGGGCCCATCACGCGCCCCAATCCACCTATCTCTTCGTATGACCTGGATTGACCCTGCAGCCCCATCTCGTATAAAATCCAGGCGGCCCGGCCAAGCCTAGTTCCCAGCGAGGAGTGCCTTCCCTCTGCAAGTCGACGGTCACGTACCAGGCCGAGTTCGCCGCTACCAGCATCTCAACCATGGCTGAGCCGGTGTCCCACCTAGTACCTGCGTACGAGGACGAGAAGCATCTCTCCGACAGCTCTTCCGTCGAGAAGAAGCTCGAAGACGATGTCGTCGATGCGCAGCTCGTCAAGGAGGTCGAGGAGATGGAGGACCGCATCGCCAACGACGAGGCCACCGAAGCTGAGTACCGTGTCGAGGAGGCCTACGAAGTGGCGGTGAAGGTAGTGTGGCCCACTCGCCTCACGCGCACACCTAGCTCACGTACTGCCTGCTAGGTCTTGTCCGCGAGGGACGACCCCGAGCTTCAAGCGGTCACCTTCCGTACCGTCTTCTTAGGCCTTGGCTTCTCGGCGTTCGGCGCGTACGTATCACCGCCCGCTTGACGCCATACCCAGACTGGTCTCTGATGTCTCTACAGAGTGTTAGCGCAGATCTACTACTTCAAGCCCCAGACGCTCAGTGTCTCGACGCTACTCTTGCTCATCCTGTCGTATTGGTTCGGTAATGGAATGCACATGATCATCCCTACCAAGGGCTGGTGGCGCTGGCTCAACCCTGGTCCTTTCAACAGTATGTGCGCCTTCACTCGCGCTAGAGAAAAGCCACTGACATGCTCCCTGTAGTCAAGGAGCACACGGCCATCATCATTATGTCTTCCACAGCTTCCCACTCTGCAGTTGCAATTCAGGTCATCTCCGTGCAGAACTGTATGTCGCGCACCTTTGTCAGTCTTATCGCATCGAGCAACGTTCACTGACACCGGTTTCTCTCCCTCTCCAGTGTTCTACAACAATGAAGTGAACCCCGGCATTGCGATCTTCACATTAATCGGATCGCAATTAATTGGGTATGGATATGCCGGTTTGCTAGCAGATACACTTGTGCGCCCGACAAGATGTTTCTGGCCTGCCACCAGTACGTCCAAACTGGTCTGCCCCGCCCTCATACGGTAGCTGAAGATATATGCGCTCCAGTCTACACTTCCAACCTGTTCCAAGCACTCCATTACGACAGGCAGATGACCTCGAAGCGTGTGCGTCTCTTCTGGGCCATTTTTGCTGTCATGTTCTGCTGGGAGATCATCCCTGAGTGTACGTCAGCGCCGTCGATCCGTCCCCTGCAGGTCCTGATGCTAACAGCCATGCCACAGGGATCTTCCCCCTCCTCACTGGCGTTTCGATATTCTGTTTGGCGGATAACCACTCGTCCGTGATGCGAAACATCTTTGGCGGCGCGTCCAACAACGAGGGCATGGGCCTTCTTGCGGTCTGCCTCGATTGGAACCTGATTGGATCCAGCTGCCTCTGGGCACCGCTCTGGCTGCAGGTCAACCAGGACATCGGTATCTGCCTCACGTACATTCTCATGTCTGCCGTGTACTACGGAAACCTCTGGAAGGCCAGCAGCTTCCCGTACATGAGCCAGGACATCTTCTCGGAGAACGGCTCCGTGTACAACCAGACTGCGCTGCTGAGCGACGGCAGATTCAACGCCACGAAATACGAAGAGCTCGGGCCCGCGTACTTCTCTGCGACGAACGCGCTCTACCTGATCACGTCGAACCTCTCGCTCGGTGCGATCGTCACGCACATTGCACTCTACCACCGCAACGATCTCAAGCCGTTCGTCCTCTCGCTCAATCCGTGGCACAAGGATAAGCACCTCGTACACGACCCCCACTGGGAGAAGATGAAGGCGTACAAGCAGATCCCGCGCTGGTGGTACTTCGCCATCCTTGTCGCTGCGTATGGGATCGCACAGGCGACCAACTACACTGGAGATTCGGGCCTACCGTGGTGGGCGGTGACAATCCTCCTCTTGATCGGGTTCGTCTTCTGCGCCTTGTACTCCACCCTCGCCGCCACCATTGGGTTCACCGAGTTTTCCAACTCCGGCAACGGCTTCTTCCAGATGATCACCGGTGAGCTACTTTCAAGGCGGTGTCGGCATTTGCTAACATGTAATGTATGCTAGCGTACATGGTACCCGGACGGCCCGTCGCGAACATGTATGGCGCACTGTACGGCGCGCACCCTCTGCAGCAGGGAATCGCGTTCTTGCAGGACCTCAAGCTAGGCCAATACTGCAAGCTTGCGCCGCGCGTTACGTTCTGCATGCAGATGGCCGGTACGGTCGTCGGTGCGGTCCTCAACTACGTCATGATGTTGTCCGTCATCGACTCGCAGCGCGACGCGCTCCTATCGATCGCCGGAACACGTCTGTGGTCCGGTCAGAACGCCCAGAGCTACAACTCTAACGCGATTGCATGGGGTGCGCTCGGCCCGCAGATGTTTGGCGCGCATTCGACGTACAAGATGGTCCCCATCTCGCTGGCGGTCGGGTTGTTCCTTCCACTGCCGTTCTACATCTGCGTACGCACTCATGTCCCCGGATTGAGCAAATGGCTGACAATATATTCGCAGTATCGCATATGGCCCAAGGCTGGTTTCCAGAACCTGAACACGTCGATTATCCTACAGTACTCGTGCTATCTCTCTGTTGGCGTGAACACGCAGGTTAATACGGCGATGGCGCTGGGTATCTTCTCCCAGTGGTGGGTGCGCACGCGCTACCCGCGCTGGTTTACGAAGTACAACTACATCGTCGCAGCGGCCCTCGACGGCGGCACCCAGGTCATCGTGTTCATCCTCAACTTTGCCATCTTTGGCGCGGCAGGTCGCACAGTCCTCTTCCCGGAGTGGTGGGGTAACGACTTCAGCTTGTCTGCCGATCGGTGCATGTCGCCTGCATCATGAGCTTCAGAGTGAATTTAGGATGCCTGTCTCACCTTCGTGTTGAATTTGGGTTGTCGTGTAATGTATCATTAACAGGGTCTGTCACCCACGGTTGTACTGAGGGTACACTTGGTGAAGATCTAGCAGTACTAGTCCGGTGCCAATGGCCATGATACGGACCGTCATAGTTCCATGGTCGCTATTTCTAATTCACTTCGCCTACATCGTACTCCTGGGACTCGACCATGGAACGAACAACGATATCGTGCAAGAGATCCCGCGCCCATACATCGCGATCTACGCGACGTTCGCGATGTACCGCCTGTGACGCTGACTCGGTAGCCTCATCTCCGTCATTTGTGCTTCGCCCGAATATCTGAATCCTGGAGCCGTCATATTCACGGACCATCTGATTGCCAACTTAAATGTCTTCACGCTCCGTATGCTCCGGGAATGGGGCCGCATTGGTGCGAAGCGAGTTGAGGACGGCTAGAAGGACGGGTAGAACAAAGGCTGCGAGATTGGCAGAACGCAGCGGTATAGTGACGGAATATACTGATTGTGGTGCGGTGGGCGAGGCGGAATGAGGAGGGAGACGGCGTCGAAGAAAGGGCTGTGTGCCTTCATGTTAGCGCGATTATTCGCACGAGGAGAGGATGTATGTTCACCGTCCTGCGCCTCTGTTAGACTTTGAAGGGATTTGAGCACTGGTCTGAGGAGAGTACGCCCCAAAAATGCGCTTTATATCTGGCAGCTGAGCTTGTCCGCACTACGCGCGTCTTGATGACCCAGGAGTCTTGAGACACACTTCGAATGTTTTGTTATATAGCAGCCTCCCTAGGACCATGTACTCATCGGTTCCGCATCGCAACAGTGAGTCTGCAGTTCGCCTACTGTTCTCTTCATCTGAAATACACAGACACGGTGAACTACTCACCTCGCTCCTCTGCTAGCAGCCAGTGCGTGGATCCAAACGATGGTGATACACCTCAACGCCTTGGCTTGGCATTATGTCGGAGAATAGCTGTTTGTTCTGTTCGAGGTGTTCACGTTCACAACGTATCACAATACGCCAACCGTTCGAGCAGTCACAGTTGCCCATAGGCCCCGCACGCCTTGTTGCCTTCCTACCAGCGTCCCAGGAATTAGCCACTACCCAGACCACAGTCTAGCCGCTGTGACAAAACGTACCCCAGTGTAACTGACTTCTCGTGCGGGGACCCACCGGATTGCAGGGTCACTGTATTGACGTACTACCAGATTGAGCTTCCAGCCCTCCGAGGCGGGTCTTGGCGAATTTGTTATGGAGTGCAACCGTCTATCTAATCCCGGGGATACGTTCCGAGTCTGTCACCTAGGAAAAGTGAGCCATGCATAACACGGAAAGCAATGGACAAGGAAAGATGGAAGGCTTCTTGTCGCGTGTAGGTTAAACAGCCTTGAAGGTTCGGCACAGCGAATGCAGCGCTCTGTCCGAGTCTGTGCTGAGCAACGCGAAAGCTTCCGACCTGTCCATAGATAATGATACATATACGTTATATAATTCCGTACGCCTTCTTCTCCCACTCTGTCCATTGGAAGACAGGCAGAGGGTGGGCCTCAGTATTGAAGACCCACTGATCTAGTGGTATAAGTTCCTCGTCCGTGAACAACAGGTATAGGTACTTCAATCTGCGGATACAGAGTCGTTAGCTTCATCGCAAGTGCGCTGGTGACACGATTACGTACGTTTCTGCCAAGAAGAAACTGCGCGACGTCCGGAGAGGTCAGCCACAAGACGTGCAAGAGAAGGGTGTCCACGCACCTGGGCATCTCATCCTTCTTCGGCGCGGGCGACTTCTCGACGCTCTGCAGGCTCGCATACCCGCTCTTCGTCTTCGCCTCCCGCTCGATCGCCTGGAACACCGCCCAGCCCCGCTCGCGCCACACCTCGTCCCCCGTCGTCCTCCACATCAAGTAGAAGCTCTCCACAGTCTTCACCCACACCCATCAGCCCACCCACCCCGCAGCACAAAGCGACGTTCGACGCACCTCCGGCCTCAGAAAATACCCCGCCTTCTGCACCCGATAGTCGCGCTTCCCCGCGGGCATCGGCGGGCCCTCCTGCAGCCCGGGCGGCACGCCCCCGGGCTTGCCCGCCTCCTCCCACTTGTCCACCTCGTACAGCCACAGCCCGCCGTACGGGCTCTCCTCGCTCCGCGGCACATGCTCCATCCGCATCTCGTCGGGCCCCAGCCCCGTCTCGTGGTCCGCGTACGTCATCCAGCAGGTGTACGCGAGCCCCTGCGCGGCCCAGGCGTGGATGTCGCGCACGCGCGGGTCGAGGGCGGCCCCGAGCGTGTGCGCGCCGAGCGCGAGGAGGCCGGGGAGGAAGCACGAGAGGTGCTCGAAGGTGTACGAGGGGTGCGAGTTCGTCACGTCGGTGACGTAGAGCAACCGCCGGTTGGGCGTGAGGTAGAGGAGGTTCTCGACGATGCTGGTGGAGGCGCGCAAGTCTAGAGGAGCCGTGCCGTAAGCGTGGGCTCAAGGCTGAGGCTGCGATTCACTGACAGAGATCAAGCGCCTGTGGCTCGGACTTGGACGTGAGCAACCATTGCTTGAGTAGATACTCGTGTGCGCTGTCTGCGAACGCGCCGACAGAGAACTGGGCTGTCACCTTACAGTTAGCTGCGTCTCGAAGCCGATAACATATGATTCCTACTGTTAGTGGGGATGCCCTTGCTGAGGTTCCACTTTGTAGGGAACATCCCGTCGGTAACATTTGCATCGTGCATGAGGTCCATAATGTGCTCGACCTGTCCGCAGTGAGCATACGACAGTGATCATAAAAAGTGTGAGCGTACGCGCTGGAAATACTCTTGTCGCCCCGTGATGTGAGCGAGATACTTGTACTCGAGCTGGCAGCTGAGCGCCTCGGCCCAGAGCACAATGCCCCTCGTCCATCCTTCTCTCGTCTCACCGCTACAACATACCTCAGCATACGCCTATCGAGAGAAACACAAGGGACAACACGTGTAAGTCGGGGAATCGAAAGAACAAATCCTAGATGCAGGAGCTCTCCCGCCTTGACCTCCATGTATCTCAGAATGTCACATAGTGTCGTATGCCCACTCGCCGTTGAGTGTACTACAAGCGGTAGAGCAGTACGCATGCTCGAAGCTCGGGAGTGACGACAACGCCGTCAACTCCCAACGCAGATCACGGCCATTAACTATATACCCCGATAGGGTCTCCATATTCCACGATCAAAGTGTTCATCGATGGAGCTTGCTGAGTTGAGACATGCGGTAGGTTCTTACACCGCGAGGAATGGAGAAGAGGGAGTTTCATGGCCCCCGACTCGCGCGAGTTGTCTCCGGTGAAAAGAGAATACAATGACTTACGTCTTGGTATTAACAGCGTACATCGGGAGGCCCGAGTCGGTACTCATGGCGGGGAGCAGCATCGAGCCAAGGTCATCCGCGCGGTTGAGGAGCACAGGCTCGCCGGAGAGAGCGTAAGCGGACAGCAGCCCGCCGAGGTAACGAATAACTGTCTCAAAGAAGGGAGCGAAGGAGCCCTGAGACGAAGTGAGTCTCTCCGCTCAGTGCGAGCGAGGAAGAGCCGAGGACGCACCTCGTCAAGATGGAAGTCCAGCTCTGCGACTGTGGTCAGTGCATCATAGAACTCCTTATGGAGGCCCATTATCCACATGGTATCCATGCCGTCCACGAGCGTGAGCCTCCAGCCATTGAAGCTAGCGACGCGTGAGTGCGAAGTCGCGGGGTATAGCCTAGCGACTCACTTGTCCACGGAGCCCTCCGAGACAGGCTTGAGCTCGTCGCCCTGACCTGCATGCTCCTGGTATCCCGTGTACGCATGTAAGAAGGCGTGGCGAACGGCATCGGCGCGTGCTCCCCACTTGCGCGACGAGCCGTGCGGCGGGAAGTGGGGGTGCTGGCGCAGAGGTGCATGAGGCGGAGGCGGGAGAGGCGGCAAGTGGTCGAAGACAGGCCAGGCGAGATAGAGAAGGCCCCAGAGAAAGATCGCCCCGACGGTGTAGGGCAGCAGGCGGGACAAGGGTCTGTATACCGGCATCACGAGAGCGAAAGAAAGGACAGATTCGGACGAGGTTGCGCCGGGCAACGATACGTCCACAGCCAGAAACAGCGTCAGATAGAGGCTGAGAGATGAGAGGTGGGGATGGCCGTCGAAAGCATCGACTTGCCCTGCCAACGTCGCCGACGGGTGGGACGAAGCAGTACACACTGTTACGCTGTAACACTTGGTAAGTAGGTAAACACTGAAACAAGGCGTGGGAATCTCGAGTTGATTGTAAATCTGAGTGCAGCACTAACCGGTGTAATGACCGGTGTATACGTAGCTAGTGAGCGCTGGCACCGTCAAGAAGTCGAGACGCGCGTGCGCTATCGGCCGGTGGCTAAATGGACCCCCCTCCTCCTCCTCCTCCTCCTACTTACTACTACTAGCCCCCTCGCCTCGCTCCTCGTCCTCTTCTCGGACACCCACATCGCTCAGCTCCATCCGATCGCCCCTGGCGCGCTTGCGGCCTGCATGGACACCCAAGCCCCGGTCGCGACCTTCTGGCCGCACACCAAGCTGCTGCTCGGGCCCTTGTGGACCATTGTCGTATCGGGCCCTCATATACAGGTCATTGACCCAATGTGCGTCGTTCCCCTCCACCACCTGACTATCTCTGACGTCCTGCAGATCTGGCAAGATCGTGCACTCGACTGCTCGCTTGGTCGGCGCAGCCAGGGACGCCCTGCTCAAGTCGGGTCCCATCCGCTGCCTCGCCGTCGACGGCAGCTTCTCGCACCTAGCCACCGTGGGCGACGATAAACAACTCAAGACTTGGCAAATCGTCGGCTTGCGGCTCATGAGCGTTCGGTACGTCCCTTCGATCGCGTCCCGCGTCTTTTCTAACCATCTCGCCTTTAGGCCACTGCCAAAGAAGCCAACCGAGATTGCCTTCACGCGCAACGGTCTCACACTCCTCATATCGGACAAGTTCGGCGATGTGTTCAGGTGAGCCATGCACAGAACAGAACATCTCCTGCGCCACCCCGCTCATGTGCACACGATCCTCGTATCCCAAGTTATCCGCTCTATCCCAAGGCAAAACCGGCAGGCAACACGGTGCCAAGTGCCGGCAGCTCAAAACGGGGTGCCCTCACCTCGCACGAGAACCCCTCCGACGGCGTGCTCGTCCTCGGGCACGTCTCCCTCCTCACCTCCTTCCTGCTGACCCGCGACGAGAAGTACATCGTCACCGCCGACCGCGACGAGCACATCCGCGTGAGCTGGTACCCCAAGGGCTACGTCGTCGAGCGGTACTGTCTCGGGCACGAGAAGTGCGTAGGTTCACATACACCTATACCGACGCCCGCTGACCCATCGCAGGTTCGTCTCGGAGATACACATCCCCCATTTCGCGCCGGAGGTGCTGATCTCGGGCGGCGGCGACCCGGTGCTCAAGATGTGGGACTGGATGTCCGGAGAGGTCGTCGCCGATGTGCCCATAGCGGACGTTGTGGAGCCGTACATCAAGGTGAAGGCACCGAAGGGCAGGCGTGGCTGGGATGACGGAGATAACGAGGAAGGAGGCGCGGGGGAGAACCAACCGGCGAGGAGGAGAAGGAGAGGTCGGAAGGCTCAAGGAAAGGGCAAGGATGTGGAGGAGGGCAGCACGGAGGGAACACCGGTTGTAGAAGACGGAGAGGCAGAGGGTTCTGCGGCGTCAGGAGAAGCGGCGCAGGAGGCACCTGAAGACGATGCGGAGATGGCCGTGCCGGAGGAGGACGTGGACAAGACAGTCCTTGTCATATACAAAATCCGGAGTTGCGATCAAGGCAGACATGGCAAATTCGTGCTCTTCAGTGCGGTCGGGTCAGTTCCACATGTCGTCCACTCACGCCGCTCGAGCTGACTGTGTGCTCTACGCTCGACAGCGCAACAGCACTGTTCTACTTCAGCTATCCAGAATCAGGCGAGGGCCCACCCCCAAAGATCCACGCAATCGACTTTGGCCACCCCGTACTCGACTTCATGATGGGCGTCTATCAAACCACATGGGTCTTGCTCGACGTCCCTCCAGCACAGGCCGGTGTAGCGACAAGCCGTGCCAACAAGTCATCCCCGGCTGTCCTGCTCTCGTGGGCATCTGGCTCGGTGAGTCACAGCCATATCTGCTCCGTCCGCGTCTTACGCCCACATACTCGCAGCAGCCGGTCGTCGTCGCCGAAGACGACGTGCCCACCCTCACGACGCTCCGGACATCAGCTCGGCTCCGAGGTTGGTGTTGACGTTCACCCCCTGGCATCTGCGCGAGCCCTCGCTGACCCGTCCGCCGCCCCCACAGCTACGCCCGACGAACTGAAGACCCTCGATCTCTACTCCGCCCTCTCCTCCATGCCGAAGAACGTCGACCCGGAGCACGACCCGCTCCGGCGGGATCTGCTCGCGGAGGCCACGCCCGAGCCCGGCGCGGAGGACAAGGGCCAGAAGAAGGAACTATCCCAGCGCGAGCAGGCACGGCTCAAGAAGAAGCGCGCCTTGGCGGCGAAGCTGGCGGAGGATAAGAAGGGCGAGGGCGATGAGGGCGAGGGCGACGAGCGGGAACGGAAGAGAGTCCGGTCGGATAGCGAGGCTGTTGGTAGCGATGTTGGCGTTGCTTCGTCAGGTGAGATAATGGACGAGGTGTAAATCCGACAGGACTTGCGCGCGTCCCCACGGGTATTCCTCTTTCCTGCATCATGATCCTGGCCCCATTACCTCCTCCCACTCCCGTCGCGCGTGCTCAGGCTGGGGTCTTCCCTTCCTCGCGGTGCTCACCTCGGCACGCACATGAAGTCCTGAGCTATTTCTAGGTATCTCAATTGTGATTGTACACGAAGGACCAGGTGTGATTCACTTGTCCTTCGATATTGTATCGCTACTGTGCGGTGTAGGCCGAGATGCGTTGGATTGACATGTTGAAATTTCTAGTGACTCTTTCGCATGCTACTGCTTCCCAGCTACCGACAGCGTCGAGGCGTCCTCGAGGCTCCTCAACTCCTTGCGTGCGTATCTATACTATCTTTTCGTCCATCGTGGTGTCCCATTGTGACAGTACAGCGGATCGTCCAATGCAAGCAGCAGGTATCTGACGACGGAGACTAAGGTTGGCATTGGTTGATTTCTCAGTCAGTCTGTGAAAGCGCGAAAGCCATACGGAGCATGGCTGTCTAGAGCACATAGGGAGACTTGAATAGCATGGTTGATAGTTTCAGGAGGGCGTAACAAGTATAAGATGAGCCGTAGCGTTCAGCGTCGCAGTACGCCCAACTGGACGCGCACACGTGACCGCGTAGACAGCGCTTGGCTGCCAGCGCTGGGCCGCTCAGGGGCCGCTGGCCGCATCCATCTGGATGTCGGAAGCCTCATCCTCATATACTGACACTCAGGCAGTCGTACGATATAGCAGCGATATAAAGACCTGCGCTCTGGACCGCGCGCGCTCTACCTCCCCTCGCTGTGTCTCCGAGTATGTGGTCTGTTCTAGGCTCCGAGTTTATTCACCGTGACACTGACCCCTGCACCTTGAAATTAGCAGACTTGGATCACGCATTACAACCTCACGTCGCATACATCACACAACATGGCAAGAAGACCACTCACGTCTCGTCCCTTGGACCTGGTATACTTTTCATTCTTCCTCGTGAGTTACCCACTTCGTTCTCAGGCTCCTCCTTCTGCGAGCACATTGGTGTTCGTCTCTGAATGTCCTGATTATTGAACTGTACGCGACCCTAGATGCACACATTCGCGACGATCGTCGTGGACCTTCAAGCGGTCTATCCACCGCATCTCGTCCCTAGCGCCATGAAGGGCATCGTGGACTACTACTTAACGACATACAACGACCCACTCATCGGCGGCGTCATGGGCTTCTTCGGGTCCGCAAAAGCGGAGTCATTCAACTGGTTCCACACATTTGTCGTCATGGAAGCTTTCTTCCAACTCCCTGTCTTCCTTCTGGGCATGCGTGGGCTGTACAAGGGTACGTCCCTCTGCCTGTTGCGAGGAGTCCGCGCACCTCAGCGTTCAGCCACTTATCTTGTATAACTCACCAGACAGCCGTGCTATCTATGTGCTCCTTCTCGTCTACGCCTCCTCCGCGGCCACGACCACGCTCCCCTGCCTTACGACTATTCTCTACACGCCCGTCACGTCTGTCGCCTCAACTGACCCGAGCAGCATCAGCATAAACCCTACCCAACGCCTGGGCCTTCTGGCGAGCTACGTCCCATTCCTCATCGTCCCGCTCCTCATGACAATCGATATGGGCTTCCGAGTGCTTGGCCTAGTCCGTGCGGGCAGCGCTGCGGCCGAGAGGGAAAAGAGGAAGTAGGCAGCTGTGTGGAGCGACCAAGAGTACGAGGGCCGTTGATTGCCTGTTTCGAAACGGCGATACCTGATGTTTTCTTGCTCTCCTCTACGTGTATCTTTGTGCGTTCGTGAAACTTGATGCGGAGAGAAAGTGTGGAGATGGTGTCCGTCTCAGGGTTGCATCGTCATGGTGTGATTGTCCTTGTCGCGATTCGTACCCTTTCAAGGCATGTAATGCTCGTTCAATTGGTCTCAGACAAACCACATCCTGACCCTGCAAGTCTGTCGCCAATACTCGCATTTCGTTCACGACTATCCTTCCGCGGCTCTGGTTTCATCCGTGCTGGACGATGCACTCTTGGACATAGAGGTAGCTGCGCTTCGTCCTCCGTCTGTGCCATTGTAGTCATGGCTTGCCTTGGAGGCCTAGATCTGGTGAGACGTCAGCACAACAACCATGCACAAACTGACCCGGCGTGTGCAACCACCAGCGGCTCGGGTAGTACTCGATCGCGCGGCCGGAAAGAGATAGAACCACACAATTTGAATGCGGTGTCGGTGCAATTGCGCGGTCGACTCCTACTGAGCCATCCTATTAGGAATGTCCGAATGCCGAGACACCTTGAGGACGCCAACACGTATCAATCAACGTGCTCAACGTCCGTGGAGTCAAATAGCGCGACACAAATGGCTAGCCCACCCGTAGTCTACATCCCGGTATACATTAGTCGCAAACATTACATCCCGATTTTCAGTGAGCTGAACACTTCTTCGGACAAATGTCCTCCATACCCAGGTTTACAACACACAAAACACGCCTACGATCAGAATAAGCGACATTGATCAGGCGAGATGCCATTAGCCATCCGGAACATCGTCACTGCTCCAGACAAGCTCGAGAACTGTTCGACCCGACATCAGCAAAAAGCTCGCGCACAGACCATGCCACGTCTCACCCCATTGCCCATAAAAACCTGCGCCCGCTGCCCGATCAGCATGTCTACGGCTTGCTTGACGTACTGCTGCTCCCGGTTCACTACCAAGTCACGGCTGCTGGATATAGACCTCCACGCTACCCCGGGCATAGCATTCAATGCTAGTTTGACTTCTGTGATCCATTCTTCCGGTGCGTTCGTCATGAGGTATACATCCCGAAGTTCGTCACGCCCCGTCGCCCGCTCCGCCTCGCGAACTTCCTGCACGCGGCGGATAATATCGGCAACCTCGACATAGCAGTGAGGCCGATATAACGCGATGCGTTGCTCTGAGGTGCTCTCCGGCGGATACTCGAAGCGGTCCGGAAGCTCGGGGAATGAGTTGAACCCGACGTAGCTCGATCCCCACTTCGCAAGCTTGACGCAGTGTTCCACAAAGTCACCTCGTCGGACATGGAGCGCGAGCAGTCCTGGGAGAGGCGTGTATCGCTGCGCGCTTGGAGACATGTCTGCGTAGGGGTAGAGAGGCAAGGAGCTGAGAAGGGACGTCGCGGGCGACGTGGACGAGAACGTCTCGCGGTTCGTGTCGAATGCGAGCTCAACAAGCGGAGACCAGAAGAATTCCTGGAGTATGGGCGACTTCGAATACGCCGGCCAGTCATCCAGCAGCCGCCGTCCGTCGCCAAACACACTGTCAGATGCTGCGATGAGCGCGCCTGCCAACGAACTGCCAAACAATCACGTACTCAACGTCGAAGAAGGTCTTAGGCTTCATGACCTCGACGCACTTGTCAGGCATAGCACCCACAGCCTCCATCATTTTGGCGACCAATGACTCAACTGTCGGCTCGTGTCCAATGAGCGCAAAAATCTCTGTCGCTGAGATCTTTCGACGAGCGCGTTCCGGACAGATGATATTGAAGTAGTCTTCTGAAACTCCGAATGGGTGGATGGCAGATGGCTCCGATGTCCTGGGCTGTGCGCCCACGAGAGGTCCTGACGGGAGCGGAATCATCACCATTGTGTCAGAAGCCAAGGTCGGCGGGGAACCAACCTTGCAAAAGAGCAGAGAGCGGTATCCTGGAGGGTATCCGTTTACCATTGTAAAACGTGTATTTCGTACCGTCTGTGTTCCACCCGTGGTCGTACCAAACAAATCTGACGGCCATGTCGGTATCAGTGACTCGAATACGACATGAGGGAAGACTCACGTTCGGTTCACTCGGTAGGCTGTGTATGCATGCAGAAGTAACTCTTGCATAACATTTCCCCACCCAGCACCTGGGAGTTTAGTGAGCGAGGGCCCAATCACGGAAGGCAAAAGGATGCGCTTTCGGAGTCGCAAGCAATGGCTGCCGCGCAGATGGGTCGGATGTAGGCCGAAGTAAATCCGTCATCTAGAAACCATGGAGACTGACAATAGGGGGCTCGCATAGAAGGTTTGGTGCGGCGTCAGGAAGCGCCGGCTTGACCACCGGCTGGCTAATGAGACGCCTCTAACCCTGCCTGTTTGGGGGCAGGAGAGCGTCGAGACGTGCGGTCTGCATTTGCAATTGCTTGAATTTGCAAATGTACTTGCGCAGCATGCCAGTGCAGGGACCACTGACGGCAGCAAGAGCTACATATGTGACCCCAGCCACTGGCATGCTGCGGCCGACAAAACGGAACGACAAGACGGAAGCGCTACGCAGCCGCGCTTAGAACAACATCGCGTGCTATTCGGGCTGCTCCTCCGAGGGATTGCACGAGAATCACTCACCATGAACGTTGTTTGCGAAGAATAGATACTTCGCCTCTGGCGGGTCGCCTGTCCGCTCAGACAGCTCCAGTTCGTGCTCGCGAAAGCGTTCATAAAGTGGCGCCCTCGGTCCCGGCTCAGGGACTAGGACGTCTAGGACCTTCTCCACCAAACGACCTGTCTTGCGCGAGTCCTGCTCGAATCTCTTCACGAGAAGGAAGGATGCGACAACTGCGAGGCCGACCAAAGCAATTCGGATGGGGTTCCTAAGCCAGGACGTAGTCTTTCGCCACCGTGCTAGCCTAGTCTTCGCGAGCGGAAGGTCGTACTTTGGGTCATGATGTATCGGCCGTAGTCGCTGCAGGAGGTCAGACATGCCAACAGGAAGCCGGTGAGAGGAGAAGCAACTAGGGTGCTGTCCCTGCACCTGGATATCAGATATATGAGCAGTGAGACGCGCGCAGTAAACGTCCGACCCGGAAGTTGCGTCCATGCGATGTTGGCGCAGTTCGACTATGCCTCACCATATCACACTGGCATTTAGAACGGTCAGTCACTGGCAGTTGGATGTACAGTCACTGGCAGTTAGATGTACGGTCAGTACAGAGCGCTTACGAACATGGCCATCTATCCATTGGCCGATACAGGCCCATGAGCCCCTTTGCTGTCAATCTGGCTGTGAAAAATCAGATTCTCATCGTTTCGGTGAAAGGGGGGATGACTGCGGACATTATGAGAAGAAGCGGCGGACGCTCATGAGTGTTGAGTCCGTTCCGGTGAATAAGGGATACCGGCGGCGCACAGGATCGGGCAATGGAACAAATGCGTCGCAGCTGCCTCCATCCACCGCTCCCCGAATCGAACAGCTGTGTAGCTAGAATAAGCGCGAATGTACGAGCGGAACATCATGAACTCGTACGTGCTGCCGTACTGGCATACACAAATGCGACATATGTAACGCACCTGAGTCACGCAGGGAATCTTTGGCATAGTACATTCCTGTCGTCAGGCCGACATTTTCTGCAGCTTTATGTAGCGTCTAAAGAGACGAGGTAATCCGACCTGCCATGAGTGCCAATTAGTCTCCGTTGCCGACCATAAAAGAACAAGAAGCGCTTTTATGAGCGCGATGGTATGATAAGTAGTACGAACCAAGCATCAGAACCTCGGCGATTTCGGTGACGGGCTCTGACGGGCTCTAGGTTGAGTCTGACAGGTCACCTGACTGCCAAGAGAACATGAGGACATGAGGAGGCCCACACGCTGTCTAAGTTTGGCGGACAGCGACCGTTATACGACGTTGTACCCACAGCCACGATGCAATGAATAGGAACAGAAATCATATCCAGGTAACGCACGACGCAATACTGTTGGATTTGAGTGGTTTACATCGGCAAGCCCAGCACCTGGTCCTGCAAGAAAGTTACAATATCACTCCGTGTGCATGATACTGGCTGAACGACATAGAGACAGCGTCAAACGCACCAGTTCTCCGTTCACTCGACCGATCAACCCTCCCCTCCGAACTCCCTCTATGATTTTCGTGCGTCCGACACCCAATATCTATGGAACAGCATGCACGCGATGCGTCCCGTTTGGTCCGGAAACCCCGCTTGCGTTCTAGACATAGTCCGAAGCAATCAGCCACTGTAGCATAGGACATTTAAGGAACTCACCGAGAAAATCGCACAGAGGGAGGACGTGGACACAAGGAGCTCGGTGGGTCCATTCATAGAGACGGCGTCCCGAGCCAAATTGGCACACAATCGCTCTCCACATGCCCTCTTCATTCACAGGAGCCCAGAAGATAGATTTGCGCCCCTCCTCTGAGGCTCCTCGGTAGGCGATCAATGACGGGCCGCACGACCTCGGGGCGTATATCGATGCCGCGGCCGTCGAGCATGATCCTGACGTCGATTGTGGTCCGTAGGGCCGTGAGTCTCTCGTGCAGTTCGGCAAGCGCTCGGTCCAGAGCATCCCAGTCTGTGAAGTCTAGAAAGACAATGGGGTCGGTTGAATCCAGACCATGCATCTCAAAGCGTAGCTGGAGTTGCTGAATACTCTTTGGTAGCGATTGCAAGAACTGAGGAAGGTAGGGACAAATAGCTCGGACACTCCTCGATGAGCCGAAAACGTAGCTGAGCGTGACGATGCGTAGCTTGTGGTGCTGTGAGCAGTCCAGTTCCGCTAAGGACGCTAGACATATCGTCAACTTAGTATATACATGAAGATCGTTTAGTACAACTCACATTGTATGTCCTGCGATGGGAAGTAGTTCACGTGGAGCACCTCCAGTGTCGACCGCATTCGCGATAAGAGCATCGTGGTGGTCAAGTTCTCGGCACTGCGAGGGCAGCTGTCGATGGACATCTCACGAACCGCCGGGGCGAACGGTGGGTTCAACAGGCCTTCGACGAACGAGGGCAGCATCTTGATGTCTGCATCGAGGGAGAGCTTCTCGATGCGCCGGACGCCAACGCTTGAGTGACAGAGAGCCGCAGAGTCTGGCCTATGGGACAAGTCGACATCGGGATGCCAGCGAATGTGTTGCAGTGTCAGGGTGGATAATCCAGGAAACGCGGCCAGTAGTTGTAAGAGTTCGGAAGGGGAGAGGAAGATCGCACAGAAGATATCCAATGAGGACACAGCGGGAATGGCGGCGAATAGGTCCACAAGGGCTCTCGAACTTGCGCTGGCTTGGCCCCGGAATGTAAAAGGTGCAATATCACACCAATCGAAGTTCCTAAGTCGCAGCAGCTGAGTCCGATGAAGCCGCTTCAGTATACGACCGAGCGTGACTCGGATACTGGGGCCAAGCCGGGATTGCCCCATGGGCTCGGATGTACCGGACAACCTCGCGAGTATCCTGAAGCCAATGTACCGACATATGAGGCGAGCCAAGGAGTAGTGCCTATAGTCAGGGTTATTGTCTCCCCAGAGCGTGAGTTCGCGGACGTAGTCAGCAATCGGTGCACCCGTCGAAGCGGACGATTGCAGCACCCGTAGGAACCCGTCGCAATGCGTCTTGGTGCACCTGAGATCTACGGATTGAAAGAGCCGCTGTCGGCATATATGGACCCAAGCATGGCACGTTAAACTGCATGTTCTGAGCTCAACCGGATCGCCGTCCAGGTTGTCGAGAATGAGATCAAGCACCTCGATGGGGGCTGGACAAGCGGTCATAATGAGTCCAAAGGCAGCGAGGCAGCCGTGCCCGTTGGTGAGTGTGCAGAACACAGAATGCTGTCTTCGCTGAGTACAGATGTAGAAACTGAACAGTGAAGCAGGCTAGAATGAGCTGACGTCCCGCGCACTACGACGACAGTCACGCACCGTTATTCCGAGCAAACTCTAGTTCTTGATATATTTGCTCGACAATGTAAGGTGGAGTTCCCTTCTTGTGGCAGCGAGGGGGGACGGCGGGCACCAAGACGGTGGTTGCAGTTAGAAAACTCGGCACGATAGGCGCCATAGTTAAAGTCAAAGCTTATGTAAGTAAGTACTACATCCTAAGCTGTAAACGTTTAAACGCTTGACTGTAGCGCCGCGTAAGTACCTATCACCACCTTCTTCAGCATGGTATATGTCGACGCAATCTAACGTTCTCTCGGGTATCGTTCAGCTTCAGTTTTGAATCCACAACTTCGACAAGAGCCGTCAATTGCAGAGTTCGTACTTTCCATTCATATACCGTGCCATGATCGCAGTCGCTCTGCGCAGGCTGGTAATTACGCATGTTCGGCCCTCCATAATCGTCCCAGACAAAAGGTTGACTTACTGGACAGTTCACGCCGTCTCAAGGACCTTTGTGAGGTATTCACCGCGGCCACTCTGCAGAACTCCTGTTCCATTGCGGTTGTACATGGGAGACAACGAGTCGGCAACTGGCCTGCATACAAGCGTAGGTAGCGACCTGAAATCGCACTGACGATGTAGATGGCCCGTCGACGTCACGAGGTGACGGCGCCGCAGCCCTTTCTCCATCTTTGAGACGCGGTCGGTCCGCAGTAGAAGAGGATCGGCCTTCGGTATCGATTCGCGAGGACGTCGCGATCTCCACGTATGAATACGTGTCTTCAAAATCATATAACGTCAGCTCGATCCCACGCGAAAGGCAGAACTCGACTCACAGGGGTTCGGGAGGACGGCGACAATGTCACTGGAGCTCGGAAACGCTGCCGCGTGGGCGCCATCGCTAGTCTGAGGAGACGTAGTCGTTTCCGTGCGCTTTGGTTCTGCAGACTCAAATGGGGTGACTTCCAGCCGACGTCTCCTGCGAGGAGGCAGGAAGGCGAGAAGGGCAGCGAAGGCTGCTGCAGCGCTTCCTACCTAGGAGTAGATTGAGTCAGCGATTGCGCGTATATCCACCGTTTTATCAAATAGTACACACGGTGACCCCGGCAATAGCCCCACCACCCAATCCATGTTGTGACGATCTCGTCGAACCAACAGGGCTCGGAGCTGCGGGATTTGACGGCGAGATTAGCTAACAGATGCAGAAAACGACGGCGCCCTGACCCACGACTAATGATCAGCATGTGCAAGGTAGCCTCGGTCCATAGGGAGCAATAGTACGTACCGATGCATAGCTATAGCATCACAAAACATGACACGATCCAGCATCAGCAAGCTCCTCTTATTGGTCAACGTCACCGTATACGTCTCCGTCCTGTCCAGGCCAGCCGCCACATACCAGACCTCCTCGTACAAGGCCCAGGGCGTCGTAGCGTTGAACTGGTAAGCCTCGCTTGAGTCCGCGAGGACATGCGCCGTCGGCGCGGGGTCGATGTCCACGAGGTACGTGTTGTCGACAGAGGAGGTGCCCATGTACACGGCGAACGCAACACTCGAGTTCACGCTGACCAAGACGGAGGCGTTCCCCGTGCCCATCGTGCGCGACGTGTACAAGGTGTTGTTGTCGTTGAAGCTGTTCCAATTCTACGCCTCACGGGCGTGGGGTCACAAAACGGGTGCACCGACGTGAGGTCCACAGGCACCAATTTAACCGTAGCTAAGTTGATCGTCGACCTGGTCTGACATCAGATGGGCGTGGACGGGATACGCGATGGGCGACTCACCCAGGCTCGCCTAACCCGAGCGTGAGCGTTGCCCTGGTGACGGTGAAGGGGCCCTCACGCACGGTGAGCGTGAGCGTGTTGAGTGGCCATACACACATGAGCAAGCGAGGTCCGCGCATGGTTAGCAATCCACACCCCGTAAGATAATGCATTAAAGGATGACTGCATGGCAACAACGCATCAAGCCAACGGGTGAACATCTCTCATGAACGGCTTAGCTGTCGCACGGAGAACAAATGGCATGCATACACGGACCCACGAACGATAGCATCCGATGATCAGCGAAGACATTCATTTCGGGGATATTCCGCGAGGCGTACCTCGTATCATCACCACAAAGGCGAGGATTATCAAGGGTCTAGGATCAGGGTAGCGGTTACACAATCACTCTGTGAACAGGGCACGAGGTCCTGTCAATGTCAGCGAATCATACGTGATATCCCCGCAGGTGCATACCTAACTCCAACCAGCTTCTGACGTGAGTATGCGCGGCCGTGGTGAGGTTTACCCTGCACCGGCACGCTCTAAATCGCCGCTGAGAGGAACCTTGGAACCTCATGAACCTTGTGGTGTTGTGAGTGAGGTAGCGAGCCAAGGGAAACGAGGTGTTGCTGCGTTACTGTCGTGAAGCGTCCGACCGGAAAGACGGCTGGGACATATCTGTGAGGGGAGCGGATGACATTCGAGGATTAATCAATTACAACAGTATCCAACTACCGTCCATAGCATTGTACTATGCGCTAAGTCAGTGTTGCAAACAGCCATGACATGTGGGTATTACTCACCTTTTCACGCCCGTCAATCGCAGCTACCATCGCTAGGCCCATTCTTCCACCGCTCGTCTGTTTTCTCTATCGAGCAGTCAAACCTCAGCTTGCCCAGCCTCGAATTCACGTCATTGTGCCTCTCGCAAAGCCATCTGCTCAACGCGACCCTCCCACTGACATCCGGCGGGTTTTCCTTGATGTTCGTGTCCAGATGCGACGCGCAATGCGAGCACGGGTACAACACAGGGAGCGAGCGGAGCAGCGTGAGCATATTCACGCGCTGGTTGGACGTGGGCTTCTCCGGGTAGTACGCGGCGGTGGTATGGAGGAACGTCCAGGTCGCGCGGCCCAGCTGTTCCACGTCCGGCGGGCAGTACTCTGGGCGGGTGTCCGGGTCGGGCTGGCGGGCGACGGCACTGCTGCCCGCTGCCATGGCGGCCATGGTCGCGGCGATGCCAGGAGCGGGCTGCTTGCCGTTCTGCGCCCGCTTTGGCTTGTCGGCTGGCGTCCAGTTGCGGAACGCGGTGCAGATCTTGCACGGCTTGCCGTCGGGCCCGAGGACCATGCCTGGCGGCAAGGGCTTGTTGTCGCTGGGGCTTGACGTTGGATCTGGCATGGCTGCCCGCGACAACTTGCCTGGGGATGGAGGACGACGGACGAGAGAGTGAGTAAGCTGCTGTAAGCCCGTCGGCGTCGGGGCGCCAGTCCATGCCACTGTTGGGCGCGCGGCGAGGGCGGCCCGCCCAACCGTCGGCGTGAGAACCTGGCCGCGCGAGCGCTTGTGCGATCCTCCTCCCAGAAGCACCGCGGGCAAACCAGGTTGTTCGAACTCCGAAAACCCCTACGAACATCGGTCCCGCCTGGGAACCTTTACGGACTCCGAATATTGTCAGAACATGCTGCGAACATGATGCGTTTCAGCCGATTTCAGCATGTTCGGAGGCCGAACATGCGTGTTTTCGGCGAACATGCTACGAACATGAGAAATGTAGGAGCATTTTCGGAGTCAGTTAAGCTCTCCGAAAAGGTTCCCATGGAGGACCGATGTTATTAGCATTTTCGGAGCCCGAAAAACCTGGTTTGCCCGCGGTGAAGGTTCGCTCACTCTGTGACTCACCATTGAAACCTTGAAGAAAGACTCTAGGTATCTTCTTCTGTCCCTCCCGCGCATACTTCATTCGGACGATCCCATAGTACTAGACGGCGCTTTCGCTCGCTCAGATGAAAGACATTGGTTGCATGATGACTGATGACGGGCATGCCGTCGCACAGACTCACTCTCAGGCTTATGTTAAACGGATTCTCTATGAGGAGGTACTTGATTCCCCCCCTTTACAGCCCACTACATCTGATTTATTTTACAGAACAATGATGAAATGTATTTCTGGGCTTATGTCGATCTGGCACAGGTCACTCTTGGGCAATGTACGCCTGCGTTGCTTTCGCCTAACTTCGGACTCGGAGGCGACATGTGTATGGACTCACTCAACAGTGCGCCAGGCATGTCATGTCACATGTGTACTACTGAAGGCCTGTTTTCACCTCTCATCGTGGTCCGACCGTGTTTGCTCTCCCGTGTTGCAGCGCTCGTCGGTGGAGGCGACGCTTGATATCCAGCATATCGGAGCCCGAAGCTAGCGGCTGCGTCGAGAAATATCCGGCACGTCGGGGCTGGAAGCTACTAGCACTAGTAGAGGCTGCGTCGAGAACTCTTCAGCACATCGGAGCCGGAAGTCGGCGGCTGCATCGAAAATGCTCAAGGGCATTGGTCCTGGATGCCACTGTCGACGTCCGAAATCGTCCCGGCCGCAATGGTACCCTCGGCAACTGGCACTCCGGTATGCCCTGCTTACCCTTCTCATTTATGGCAATGTACACGAGTCACTGAGTACGGATTTATTCCGTAGAATTATCACCTACTGGATGTAGGTATGCAGGAGCGTGGTGAGCGATGCTAGGTCGGAGACTTCATTCCGCTTGCTGATCCGCTTTGATATAACTACGCGCTCTCAGACTATGGGATGCATGTGCATATATTGCACATCTACCTCCTTGTCGGCCGTGCTATCGCACGTTGGTCACGGCGCTGGTTTTTCAGGCAGCGAATATCGTTGCCGAGGCCCTTTTCCAGAAGCTTGACAGAAGCGAAATGCTGCTCAGCTCGACTGCATCGTCATCAATTGGTTACGAAGAACTAATTGTGTCGACATGAGTAGACTTCGCCGGACCAAGCATGATAGATTCCAGTGCCGCCTACATGCAGCATCATCCGAAAGCGGCACTCATGCCAAGTCCGCGGCTGACAGGTTCTTCTAGCTAACAGATTCTTTACAGCTGAAAAATTCTTTTGGCTGGCGGGTCCTGTTGCTGGCAAGTCCTGTCGGCTTACAAGCTGAGGCCTGCGAGGTATAAAAACTGCCGGCGTGCACGGTAGCACAGCAGCTTCTACCAGCTGAGACATCCCCAGCAGAGCCTCGTCCCAGTCTTCAGACTCACTTCGACCTCTTGCCTCAACTTCATGTTCTTCAAGCTCGCCATCGGATCCCTCGCCGCGGCCGTTGCCTTCCTGCAGGTCAACGCTGAGTCTCATACCGATACCTTCAACAACAAGTATGTCTCCGTCCACTGAATCCTCTTGCTCGAGACTAATTGGCGTGACCTTGCAGGTGCGGCCGTGGCACTGTAAGCGAGCGACGTCGGCGTCGGTTGTTGTACTGACCACACGCCCTCTAGCCCTACTTGTATTCACAGACCGGCCAGCTCCTCTCCACCGGCGAGGCGTGGACCAGCGACGGCGAGGCCCTCGGCCTCATTGCGTGAGTCTCTCGCATGTCCACCTTTCCGGCATGCCGCTGACTATCCTCTAGTTCCTCCAGACCGGTTTGTCATCCGCAACCCATCCTACAATTCCTTCCTTGACAATAGAACGCATCTACTAGGTGGCTGCGGTACGAATGGAGAAGAATGCACCCTCGTTGAGGCGACGCTCAAGAATGGCGCTAGCTCTGCCGACATCTCTTTGATCCCTCCGTGAGCTGTCTCCATCCATTCTTCCTCAATAGCGGCGCGCTGACCACTCTGCGTGATAGCCATGTGTTCTCGGTGACGAGTGGCCTTGGCTACTACGACGGCTGCGATGACGACGGTACCGACTGTGAGTCCAAATCGTCACTGTGTACGACGGCAGTCTAACGGAGATCATATAGGCACTAGCGCTAGCTGCCCGAAGGCATACCGCAAGCCCGGCGACAACTTTGCTATCGTTGGTTGCAGCGCCGACAACGTGAGTTGGAGCATATACTCTGTTCTTTGGATTGAGCTGAACACAAACCCTCACAGGTCAATCTTGCCTTTACATTCTGTGATTAATTCGCGGGCTGCATCCGTCACTGTTGCGGAAGGATCGATGTATCTCTATAATTGTTTATGTAAATCCTGTGACACGCCCCTACTGAGAGGTCCGAATACGACTGAGGCGTAAATGAACGGTCGTTCAAACAACTGTGCTCCTGTTATGACACACCTTGCGGTACAAGACGCTTTCGGCGTCGAAGCGGTGCTCAGTCGTTTACACAACTACATATGCGCGTATTGTGCGCCGTTTCCTAACATTTTTATCAATACAAGAGCACGACTTGAAGAAATGAGTGCAGTCATTTGTCAAGTCGGTGTCGTTCTCAACTGACGGCAGGAGCTGTGGCTTTCTGCTGAAGCCGCCACGGCCTCCACCCGGACCGGCAGGGCGATAGCGGCAACTCGGAAGCCCTCTCAGCTTTGTTCCGGCCCTTGCGAGTTAAAATGTCCCGGGTACACACGATGTGAACAACCACGGCTACGGCTCCTGCCACAAGGGGCCTACGCATCCCAAGCGGCCTTACAAACCATTCGTGACATATTCATGTTGCAGCAGATGCAGAGGTGAACAGACGGCTGACGGGTATGCTGCGTATTCTATGGACGGTAGAATAGAGTATGGGACAGCAGGTAACGCAATAACAAATAACTGTCTAAATGCACGCAGACAACCACACCAGTCCGCGCTCCGACCGCGATCAAGCGCTACTTCTGCTGGCGGCAGACTGTCAGTCAAATGCCAGGTGATCGACGATGATGTAATGACTGACTTTGGTTTACTTGCCACCGGTCGTGCCCATGCCCATGGCGGTCTTGAACGAGTCATAGATCCACCACTGGAAGCCTGCATGTTTGTGTGAGCATCGCGACTCGGAATGGTCATAGTAAAGCAACATACCGGTGAGGGTACCAATCATGAGGACACGGGTGCCGAGACCCTTAGTCGCAAGGTTGGAGTAACCAACCTCGGACGCGATCTGGCCGAGCGACTTGCCGCGGTTGGCTTCCTTGCCCATCTGCGAGACGAGCGAGTCGGCGGGGTGCGAGACGACGGCGCAGACGACACCGGCGAGGTAGCCGGACGCGAAGGTGACACCGAGCTGGGTGGGCTTGCCGTACGTGTCCTTGGGCGCGGTGAAGACGTGGCTGTAGAACATCTGGACGATGTACTCGAAGAAGAAGAACTTGGCCATCGTGTACGGGATCTGGCGCGACCAGAGGGGGACGAGCGACCCGAAGGGGAATCGCGTCACCGCCTTCGTCTTGCTCATCTCCGCGAACGCGGCACGCATGGGGACGGGGAACGTGCCCGAGGCGCTCGTCTGGATCTTGACCTTGGTCATCTCCAGCGGGCAGAGGGCAATGTCGGCGAAGAACTCGGCGGACGCAGAGCCCGCGAGCCAGATCGCACCCTTGTACTTGCTCGACGCCTCCTCGCCGGCCAAGTTCATGTAAGTGTCCTTGAAGATCTCGTAGAGGCCGTACTTGAACGCGCCCTGGAGCGAGTACCCGATGAAGGTCGGCCCGACGCCCTTCCAGAGACCCTTGGAACCTTCCTCCGCCACGATCGTCCGGATACCAGGAAGGAGACCCTTGAACTTGCCGGGGTTGACCTGTGCGAGGTATTGGCAACTACACGCCAGCGTCCACGTCAACACGTACCTGCATGTTACACTTTGTGACATCGAGAGGAGTGAGGCCTGCGTGTGTGGTACCGCACGCGAGGATACCACCGATCATGCAGTTCGTGTAGTACTTGCCGTCATGGGGGACGGGGCCGAGGTGTCTGCAAAGGGTCATGAATGGCTGTCGCGCGCGTCATGCAGGCGGTACTGACCGTGCATCCCACTTTCCGACGGGGGCGAGGTGGGCCATTATCTAGCAGCTATAAGGGCGTAGGATAGAGGTCTAGGTGGTCGAGCCTCGGCGAAGGCGAGGAGGGGGAGGGGGAGGAGGAGGTGGTCGTGGAGAGAGATGAGCTGGCCGACGGACGTCGCGGTTTTCTCTCGGCTTGCTCCGAACCTTACCGAGGCCTCAAGCGCCCGCCGACATGACCCCGACCGAGCCGCACCTCTCTTCGGCCTCACGGTGGGTCACGTCGCTCTCAGAACATACACTATACAGCACATTCCCCCTCGAGTAGCGTATGTCGAATATTTCGCGTCTTCGGGGGCGACCGTTTCCGGGATGCTCACGCTGCTCACTTCAATATTGCGGTATGACACGAGAGCAACACGTAAGTAGGTGAACGCTGAACGACGCGGAACACGGAAATTTGAATAGAGGGCCGGTACTAGGGAAGAGTGCGACTTTGCTATGTTCGCTGTATAGAGTGTAGTATGAACAGTACTGGGACGCCCAATAGTACTAGTGTGCACTGAGCTTGAGCGCGACTTAACCGGCGTTGCTTTGCTGTGTGTCGTTGGCGTAAGATATGATCAAATACCGTTGCAAGGCAGATAATGCTGTGTAGCCACACTTCGACCGTACATTCACCCAATAGCAGTTGTTTCTCCACCAAAGACACGGCCTGAGTGCATTGTGACTGCAGCTAGCGGATCAGTCGCAGAGGGTGATCGCGAGATTAGCCTGTGAGCGGTCGCCGTCAGCGAAATCCAACTCATCCTCCATATCGAATACGTTCAAACTCTCGTCAGCGCCGCAGTGAACAGCAGCAGAGATGTCATCGGTATGCCTTCGGGCAGCTGTCGCTAGGGCCTATAGGTTTCTCGTTAGATGGCGGTCGTACGCAATGCAGAGCTGGGCTCACAGTCGGTACCGGCGCCGTGGCAGCCGTCGTGGAAGCGGAAGCCGCTTGCCACGAAGAAGTCGTGGCGATGCAAGCAGACTAGAGTCAGCGCACTGCTGATGAGGGGAAAATATGGAGACTGCTCACGGGGGAATGAGGGCGATGAGGTCACCACTGGCGCGATCTGTGAGCATGGCCTCGACGACGATACACCCTTCGCCATTCGTACCGCAGCCACCTGCATGCACTCTACTGTCAGCAAAAAACAATTGTAGTATGTGTCGCGGATGAAAACCTGGTCTGAGGATAAGTAGAGGGTAGTCTCAGGACTCAGCAACATAACGGAAAGGTAGACATGCGAGAGACTCACGCAATGAGGCCCTGGGCCCCCCAGTGAAAAGGAGTTGCCCTGTCTGTGAATACAAGTGGGGCTAGAGGGATGTGGCCAGTGCAAGGATCTACGCCGACGTCGCTCGCCACCTACGGGTGCCATAGCTGCACCTGCAACACCACGTCAATTGGTATCGGGTGATTGGGGTTAATTGACGGACGCCGTCCAGCGATCATGCCCCGAAGTTCAGTCCCACCGAAAGAACTGGCTCTTTGTAGATTGTGACCGACTGGTGGACGATGCAGCACTGGAGACGCGCAGCATCTCGTCTCTGTCAACTTGCTGGACAGTTGTCTGGAATATATTATCAGCGGCGTCGACGGAAAGTGTCAATGTGCGCGTGGTCACTACAACTGCATTTCATAACGGATCAGTTGGCAACAAGTTGGCAAGTACATACTAAGACTTCTCCTTCGCCACTACGGCGCCCGCGAGCAGTTGAACGTTGATCAGCCGCTGGTACGGCAACGTGGTACCGACGCGAGCAATACCCTGGATAATATTACCCAGTACTCAGACTGCGACTCAATTGTGTTTTCATCTGCGCAACGTCTCTTGAGTGTCTCACGGGAAACACTAGTACTGACTCACTCATTAGCGTCGAATGGATTATGCAGCTGTGTCCGTAAGGGTCAAGACGGCGCACAGAGGAGCGCCTGCTTACTCCGGTCTCGTGAATGACCGCCCTGACCAATCTGCCACTACGAACGACCATATAATTCAGCAGCCTCCAATGTCTTCCGTGCCCGACCTCGACGACTCTGCCCGCCGCTTTGCTGCTCGACCCGCCTGCCGTGGACATGGCGCCAGTTGCGACCTCGCCTGAGTCATCTTCCGCACCGCCCACACCGCTCAAGCACCAGCCCGGCCCTCCTATCGTCGACCACACAGCTCCCATGGAGGGCGACTCACATCCCGCACCCAAGCTCCCCAAGCACTCTGCAAGACCACAGGCGGTCGATGCGCATGCGCGAGCAGAGTTTGCGTTCGACGGTATGGAGGAGGCGCTGGAGGCGTTTGGGCGCGGAGAGTTCGTCGTGGTGATGGACGATGAGGGGCGGGAGAACGAGGGCGACTTGATCATCGCGGCAAGCGAGGTATCCACGGAGAAGATGGCTTGGATGATCAAACATACGAGGTGCGCAGACACATTGCAGAGGGTGTGCGCGAGCTGACATGTCCGCACGCAGCGGGTACATCTGCATTGCGCTCCCGGGGGAGCGGCTGGACGAGCTCGCGATCCCGATGATGGTCTCTGAGAATCAGGACCCACACCGGACGGCGTACACAGTCACAGTAGACTACAGACACGGTGCGCCCATCCGTCCTCCTCCCTCGCCGCCGATCTCACTTTCACGCAGGCACAACTACCGGCATCTCCGCGCACGACCGCGCCCTCACCGCACGCGCCCTCGCCTCTCCATCCTCGCAGCCCTCCCACTTCTCCCGCCCGGGACATCTGGTCCCGCTGCGCGCGCGACCGGGGGGCATCCTCGCGCGGCGCGGGCACACCGAGACAGGGGTGGACATGTGCGCGCTCACGGGCCTCCCGCGCGCGGGCGTGCTCTGTGAGCTTGTGGAGGACGACGAGGCGGGGAGCATGATGCGGCGGGACGGGTGTCGACGGTTTGCGGATCGGTGGGGGCTGAAGATGATTAGCGTGGATATGTTAGCGGAGTGGAGACGACAGAAGGAGGGCGCGCAAAACGGGAACGGGCATCCATAAGTATACGTAAGTGATGTGTACGGTCTGTAGCTGCGTCGCATTCGGTGCGTCGGGAAATGTAACCACTCAGTTAGTCGTCCGCGGTGTGCATGCTCCTGTGGCCCTCCGTGCCGAGACGCTTCCCGAACACGAGTTGCATACGGGCTTGTGGGCCGCAGTCCACGTACGTTGGACCCACAATGAATACAAGTTGTATGGATGTGATGGAATGCAAGTCTGCAACGTAGACACAATTCGGGATTCGCGAGTGGGAGATCTGAGATCAGTGATTGCCGTCCGAATGCGATCGAGATGTGGTTTGCTGGCAGCGGCTGGCAGCGGTGTATAAATACTGGAGGAGTGTCTTGCGAGTGCCCGCCGCGTCGTCCAGCATGGCGTCCCCCCTAGTCACAACGACGGACACGCCCGCCATCAAGAACGCCCCCGTCGTCGGCCTCGCAGAGGGCAACGGCTCCTTCAGCAATGTCCACCTCGCCGCCCTCGTCCTCGGCGTGCCCTGGCTCGTCAAGCGCATGCTGCCCATCGTCAACCGCGGCGGCTTCAAGACGTACCTCTTCCTCGTCCTGCTCCTCGGCGTCCCCGTCACGTTTGCGTACTGGACCCTCATGAGCATGTACGGCCCGCGCAAGAACACCAAGGTCGCGCTCCCCGGCAAGGACATCGAGCAGTACATCACCATCAAGGACGCCGAGCTCCGCGACAAGTTCCACGGCAAGGAGAAGATCCCCATGCAGGTCTTCCACGACGCGTACTTTGACGGCAAGATCGAGTTCAACGGTGAGCACGTCGAGCGTCGTCCCGCCAACGCGCCCCTGACGCCCTCTTCCGTCGCAGGCGACGTCCTCGATATCCTCGAACAGCGCCACGACTGGGCCAAGATGGTCTTCACGCCCGAGCTCTTCAAATTCGTCCTGTGCAACCTCATCCCCGACGTGGTCTTCCACAAGCGCAGCCAGGACGAGGAGCAGATCCGTGACAACTACGACCGTATGTCCCTGTCCCTCCGTCTTCCCTTCCATGTCTGAGCACATGTAGGCGGCGACGACTTCTACGAATGGTTCCTCGGCCCGCGCATGATCTACACCTCCGGCATCGTCAGCACCCTCGACGAGGAGGAGTCCCTCGAGCAGCTGCAGGACAACAAACTGACCGTCGTCTGCGAGAAGGCAAGTCCTCCAGCTGCCCCTGCCAGCGCGCACGACCGTTGACTCCGGACACTGCAGCTCGGGCTCACTCCCAGCGACCGTGTGCTCGACATCGGCTGTGGCTGGGGGACCCTCGCCGCCTTCGCCGCGAAGAACTACGACTGTGCTTCCGTCACCGGCGTCACGCTCAGTCGCAACCAGGCAAAATTCGGCAACGACCGCATCCAGAAGAATGTGAGTGTCGTCTGCAGCCGTTGTCAGTCCTCCGCGCTGACGAGCGTTCAGGGCGGTGATCCCGCGCGCCACAAGATCTTGTGCCTCGACTACCGCGACATCCCCGGCGAAGAGGGCACGTATACCAAGATCGTCAGTCTCGAGATGGCCGAGGTATGCACGTCCGTTGCCAGGTCCCGCCGCCGCTGTCTGACCCCGCCCACAGCATGTCGGCATTCGGCGCTACCAGACCTTCCTCAAGCAGATCTACAACCTCCTCGCCGACGACGGCGTCTTCTTCCTCCAGGTCGCCGGTCTGCGCCCCCACTGGCAGTACGAAGACCTCATCTGGTCTGTCCGCGCTTCCGTCCTCGGGACCAGATGCTAACTGTGCGCAGGGGCTTGTTCATGAACAAGTACATATTCCCCGGCGCCGACGCGTCCTGCTCGCTGGGCTGGGTCGTGAGTCAGGTCGAGAGCGCCGGGTTCGAGGTGAAGAACATCGACGTGCTCGGCGTGCACTACAGCGCGACGATCTGGCGGTGGTACAAGAACTGGCTCGCGAACAAGGACAAGGTCGTCGCGGCCTACGGCGAGCGGTCCGTGGTCCCTCCGTCGCTGCAGTCCAGGGTGCTGACAATCGGAACACAGGTGGTACAGGATCTGGGTCTTCTTCCTCGCGTACTCGGTCATCATCGCCCGGTAGGTGGTCTTCGAACGCGGCCGCTGGGACACTCGCTCACGTTGGTCTCGCAGCAACGGAGGCTCGTCCCTCTTCCAGCTGACGCTCCACAAGAACCTCAACGCGTACCCGCGCATCCACGGGCTTCGCAACCACAACTCAATCCGCGTCAACCCTTCGCGGGTAATCTCGTATGTGCCGGCTTTCCTCGTGTCGCGCCCCTTTCGCTGACTGGCTGTCCGTCAGGCCGGCCGAGTAAAAGCGCACTGTGCTCCGGGTGGCGAGACTCCTCGCGGTTACGTTAGTACAGATAGAAATTTGCCCGACATGTATGCATGTCGCCCACGGGCCTAATATCCTTTGCACTGCTGTCCGTTGCGTCGAAGCCGGCCAAGTGGCGATTGTCAAACAGAAGTTGTCGCTCGCGAAAGCTGTCTTTGCTAACCGGCCCGTGTGCACAATATGGCTTTGTCGGCACAGGGGAACACCAACTCGCTGGCGGGACGCGACGGTCCATTCCATACCGAGCCGCGACGCGAAACAAAAAGCTCAGCGCTACCAGGTGCGCCCATACCGACGGGAATGTCTCGTCGTGTGGGTAAATTGACAGGCAGCCTGAGTGCGTTCACCTCAAGCTAGGGGTGCCGTTCAGTGCCGTTACATCTTCGACGAATGATAAGGGCGTGCATGTTGCGAGTAGCTAATATGGCAAGGGTACAACACGACGAGCGACTCGCTGACGGTCCTCACCGACGCCACAACGGCGGTTGGGCTCACGCTCCAGAGCCATTCGTTCCCATTCTTCGGCCATTTGCACGACTGCTTCGTACTCGCCTTCCCAGTCGCGGTCAACGTTCTCGTGGGATCTCTGGAGCAGGCGGATCCGGCGAGCACCCGCGGTGTTCTCTCTTCAACTTGGCGAAACGCTGTAGAGCCGTCGAGACCGCACCAGCTTCGTTTGTCTCCGTGAGCCTGCGCAGGAGCACTTCGTCCAACTCCGCCGCGGCATCTGGGTGGTCGATCGGAGCCGAGCGTGTATAAGGACTGGATCCACGCTTCCCGCACCTCTTCTTAACGTGAGCATAATTGTGTGAACAACCGTTCATTTACGCCTCAGTCGTACATGCACCTCTCAATAGGAGCGCGTTACAGTTTTACATAAATAAGTATAGAGACAAACCGAGCCTTCCGCAACTCAGTAGCAGATGCAGCCCGCGAATTAATCACAGAATGTGATGGCAAGATTAACCTGCGAGGAGTTGTGTTCAGCTCAATCCAAACCAAGAAAGCATACGCTCGGACTCACGTTGTTGGCGCCGCAACCAACGATAGCAAAGTTGTCGTTGGGCTGGCGGTATGCCTTCGGGCAGCTAGCGCTAGTGCCTATATGGTCCTCGTTAGACTGCCGGCGTACACAGTGAAGATCTGAACTCACAGTCGGTACCGGAGCCATCGCAGCCGTCGTAGTAGCCAAAGCCGCTCGTCACCGAGAACTCATGACTATGCACGGACGCACAGGAGTCAGTGTGCCGCTATTGAGGAAGAACGAATGGAGATCGCTCACGGGGAGATCAGAGAGATGTCGGCAGCGCTGCCGCCATTCTTGAGCGTCGCCTCGACGAGGGTACACCCTTCGCCATTATTACCGCAGCCGCCTATATACACTCCAGTGTCAGCGAAAAATCACAATGTGCCGCGGATGACAAACCGGTCTGGAGGAAACTAGAGGACAGTCAGCAGCATGCCGGAAAGGTAGACATGCGAAAGACTCACGCAATGAGGCCGAGGGCCTCGCCGTTGCTGGTCCACGCCCCGCCGGTGGAGAGAAGCTGACCGGTCTGTGAATACAAGTGGGGCTAGAGGGAATGTGCTCAGTACAACAACCGACGTCGATGTCGCTCGTCGCTTACAGTGCCACGACCGCACCTGCAAGACCACGCCGATTAGTATCGGGCAAGAGGAGTCAATCGACGGACACATACTTGTTGTTGAAGGTAACGGTGTGAGACTCAGCGTTGACCTGCAGGAAGGCGACGGCCGCGGAGAGGGCTCCGATGGCGAGCTTGAAAAACATGTTGAGGCAAGAGGTCGAATTGAGTCTGAAGACTGGAATTTGAGGCTCTGCTGGGGTGTCTTAGCTGGTAGAAGCTGCTGTAGCCGTGCACCCTCCGTAAGCTTTTATACCTCGCAGGCCTCAGCTTGTCAGCCGACGACTTGACATGAATTCCGCTTTCGGACGGTGCTGCATGTAGGCGGCACTGGAATCTGTCAGGCTTGTACTCCGTCCGACAACCGTGTCCCGAAGTCTAGTCAATTCGAAAGAATTAGTTCGTGACCGACTGGGTGGGCGATGCAGCAGAGCCGAGCAGCATCTCGTCTCTCTCTGTCAAGTCCCTGGGACGAGTGACTTCGGCAATGGGTTTCACTGCCTCGATTACCAGCGTTGTCACTGACGTGCGACAGAACGGCTGACAAGGAGGGCAATGCGCAAGATGCGTATGCAACTCGTGGTCTGAGAGCGCATGGTCATGTCAAAACGGATCAGCAAGCAGAACTTACCACACCCATGCATACGTACTAATCCAGCCTGTCCCGCAATAATTCTACGAAGATATAACCCGTACTCAGTGACTCGCGTACATTGTCGCCGCGAAATAGAAAGGGTGGCAGGACATACCGGAGTGTCAGTTGCGATTGAAACCAGGCATCGGGACGATTGAGAGACGCTAACATCCAGGATCAAGGTATCGACACCCTCGAGTGTTCTCGTTGTGGCAGCCGCCAGCTTCCGGCTCCGACTTGCTGGAGATCAAGCTTCGCCTCCACCGGTACCACGTCCGATGAGCGGTGCAACACGGAAGAGAAAACACGGACATAAAAGGCGAAAACAGGCCCAGGGTATGTTCCACGACATGCGTGAGGCACTTTTGCCGTTGCTGTTTGACTTGAAAGGGCACTGCAGACTTGAAGTTGGGCAAACCGCAACACGGGTGTACATTGCCTACGAGTAACCTTTGACAGATCGACACAAGCCCAGGATTACAATGCATCATTCTGTAGAAATGTTGAGATATCACAGGCTGTCAACAGGCGGATCAAGCACCTCACGGTCAAGAAATCCGCCTAGCTTTAGATTGAGTCTGGACGACGGCACAGTGTCCGTCATCAGTCATCATGCGGGCCTCAGGACGACTCTCATTTGCACGAGATAGAGGATCGTCCAAATGAATGTATTGTCATCTAGAACAGCCCCATGAGCGTGACACTCAGGTCATATCAGAGCGAGGACAGCCTACAGATCATTGCAGTACTACTGCCAGTGACAGCGGCGGGCGACTCCAGGTTGCCCGAGGGGCGCATCACTAACATCGTTTCCCTCAGTTTGAGCACATCGCGACACGCCATAGTACGGTGAATCGACGATCAGTCATGCAGCAGTCAACCGTGGCTTGACCGTGGCAATTTCATGTCACGCACACTGACCAGCGTGGTGGCTGAGCGCTAGAAGTGGCGGTCGGTGAGAACAGAATCTGAGATTGGGCATTCGCACGGTTCGGTGGCGGTGTTCAGTGTCTGCAGCTGTTTGTCCGGTGTAACTTGAACATGCAGACCGGAAGCTACCTGAACGCATCACCGACGCCTAGCTGGCGGATATCTTCTACCGTGGTACTCGACGCTCAGTGAGTATTATTCGCTCACATTGCCGCAATTAATGACGCTGGGCATCGATCAAGTGTTGAGAGCATTCATTCGACCCGTCAGGCCGTCCAAAGGATCAAATGCTAAGTCCAAGCCATGCGGTGACCATATCTACTGATTTGATCGCAATAGCTCTCCCATTCCGGTCCAGTGGTCACGGTACGGGATATACGTATGCCGACTTCATGGATCTCCTGTCGTAGGTATGTCATGGTCTCGCCATCAGCCAGTCAGTGCTCTATGTACTGGGATACGACTAGTAGAGTAGTACAGCGAGTGTGTGTGACACTAGATACGGTGAGGGGCGGTTGCTTTAACGTAAGAGACGAAGCGCGCCAGCCTAATTAATTCCGAGCGATCTCGGAAGGTCTGTATGAGAGATGATGAGTCGCGCGAGGGACTCAGAAAGAGTGGGAAAGGATGCGGTTGTGGGGCGCAGCCCGAAGGGCTGCCCGACTCAAAGAGTCTGCCTGGACCTGGGGGCAACGGGTGAGCCGCGAGGGCGGGTGGGTTGATACCGCAGCCCTGCGTTTCCGTTGCCTCTGCTGGCCGCAGGATAGACACGTCGAGCCCAAGAAATGTTGTGAGATTGGGTTTGTTGCGGCGTGTGCTGCGTGAAGAGGGAGTGGAGGGTGGGGAAAACGAGAGGTCTTCGAAAGCTCGTAGCGGCTGCTGGGCTTTCGAGAGTGATCGTCGGAGTGAGCGCGCAGAAGGAGAGCGATGCGCGCCTAATCTCCTCCTGCGTGCGTAGACTCACTTCTACGCGCCGCTCGTGCCTCGCTTCGCTTAGAGTCACATCTATGTACTGGGATACGACTAGTAGAGTAGTACAGCGAGTGTGTGTGACACTAGATACGGTGAGGGGCGGTTGCTTTAACGTAAGAGACGAAGCGCGCCAGCCTAATTAATTCCGAGCGATCTCGGAAGGTCTGTATGAGAGATGATGAGTCGCGCGAGGGACTCAGAAAGAGTGGGAAAGGATGCGGTTGTGGGGCGCAGCCCGAAGGGCTGCCCGACTCAAAGAGTCTGCCTGGACCTGGGGGCAACGGGTGAGCCGCGATACCCAAATCTATAAGACGACTGCGGCGGCGCGTTGCGGCGAAGCCGTTACACCCAGTTTTTAAGTCGACGTACCTTGTCGTCAGCGTTGTGTGCGGAGTCTATCGCGGCGGAGGCATTGCGTAGCGAGTGACTTCGTTGTGCACTGGCGAGTTCTGCAGGTAGGGTGCCATGATGACAGCGTGTTTGCGGAGGTAGAGCTTGAAGCTCTCTCCGCTCCATCGCCCAATTGACTTGACGACGTCAAAGGGGACCCCCCGGAGTAGGTATTCTAGGGTGGCTCCTATGCGGATGCCATGTCCCTGCATCGCTGGTAAGTTCTCGGCCGCTGTGATGGTCTCTAACCTGGCGAGGAAGTCTCGGCGCGTGAGCGGCCGGTGGGCCTTCTGAGTGTGCCTCCTTGCGAAAAGGGGTCCCTGACGCGGTGGTTGGTTGACTTCCAAGTGGTTTGCCAGAGCTGCCGTGGGGTCAAGCGCGCCGGTTTGTGCTGGTGCTACCTTCGTACTTGGTAAGTGGAACACGGTCACTTTGTAACCGTGCCGATCTTGGTCATGCCTGATGTCCGCTGGCTTGACATGTCTGGCGGGCTCGAACGTCGTGAGTGTTGGTACTGTGAACTCGCCGAGTCGTGCTGCCGTGAAGAACACTGTGGTGAGGCATGCAAAGACTGCCGCGTCCAGCGGCAGCTTGATGTCGAGGTGCCGGCGAATCATGAGCATGAAGTCGAGGGTGACCGGGGCGCGCTTTGGGCGTTTGGAGGTGGGAGGCGCTAGCTTCTCGGCGCCCTTGAGGGCCGTGCGCATCTCCGCCTCTTCGATGTTCCAGGGCAGTCCATGGAGAACGTGCCAAGCGTGGACGCCCGCGATGTAATTTCGCAGGGTCGCTCCGCTGTACAGTCCGGCGCATCCTGCTATGAACGCCAGGATGAGAATGCGGCTCGCAGGCCCTCGCTGGCCTTCTGGTACCTCACGGGTGTCGCAGAATACATGGTAGGTCAGTAGCCCGGCGCCGTATGTGTCTCGGGTGCCTTTCGTGTACGACGAGAGCAGGACCTGCATGATCCTGTCTAGGTCTTCCTCCGCTAGGTTGCCAATCCTCTGGCCCTCGTTGTCGTTCAAGCCCCGTGAGTTCTGTGGTCTCCATTTCTGCAATCGGTCTCTCGCTAGGCAATGAGGACGCAGATCGGACGGTTTTGGTGTCAGGCTGCTTGGGTACGGGCGCGGGCGCGCAGTGGCAATGTGATGTGCTGTGGCCGGTCTGCTGGTTCTTCTCGTGCTGCCATTGAACCGTGATGGTGCGTTACTCATCCCACTGCCTGTTAGTTCGGATGCGCCATTCGAGGGTGGCATCGACTTCGCGCTGCTCTTCGGCGCGAGCACGCTCCAGAGCCGCGTCAATGCCTTTGGCGGCTGCTCTTGGGTAGCGCCCTTCTCGGTGCAATCTGAGCTCGGTGGCGGTAAGTGGTTCTTCTGAGTCAATGATGAACCGGGTGAGCTCCCGCGGGAGTGGGATGGGCGGCAAGAGGAGAGAGCGAGGTGGGTATATGCCTCGAGAGGGCTGGTCTGCGGGGTTGCTTGCGCTTGGGACATAGGCGGTATGTATACACTCGTCGCTTCCGAGTGCGGCCAGGTGTTCGAGCAGGCGCTGGAATACCCCGTTAACCGCTGGGTTGCGGCTTCTGCGGTTCCGCCAACCTTCGACAACTCCTGCGTTGTCGCCGTGGAGCCGGAAGTGTTCCCCTGTCCCTCGGGCGGCTGTGATGCTGCGCGCAAGGAACTCAAACCCCACCGCTTCCGCCCATCCGATGTCGCGCTCGCCGTCGAGTGTCCTCCATCCGGGTATGAGCCGCCAGGCTCGCCAATGGTCACCGACTGTGATTGCGATGCCGATCCCAGAACTAGCGTCGGAGAAGGCTGCGAAGTCGATAAGGTTGGCTGGGGTTGGTATTGGGCGCCGGAGGATGGGCTGCTGGAGGGTCTGAACCCACCACGCAAGATCTGTGTGTACTGTTCTAGTGGCGGAATGTGGCACGAACGGACGATTACCGCCAACTCGGAGCATAGCCTCCAGGCCGGTGAGGTAAGCTCTTCCTCGTGGGACCACCAGCGACGAGTGTAGTAGCTTTCCGTAGAGCTTCTGTACCTCCTCCAACGTGTGCGTGCCGTTCCGCGCGTGCTGCCAGTCCGTGATGGCGGCCAGGTACTTGGCCTTCTTGCGGTCTGGCAGCCCGACCGTGAGTTGCTGTACATCCCACTCCAGGCCTGTGAACACCTGCGCTGTGCAGAAGTCGGAGTCCTTGGTGCGTTCCCACGGGATTCCGAGCACTTCGGAGAGGCGATCAACGTCGGCCAGGTTGTAGCAGTACGCCTGATCACTCTCTGGCCGCGGTGAGCTGAGGGACAGGTCCTGGAGAGGATATGCACAGTCTTCGTCAAATTGGTCGACTGTGCCATCCTCAAAAGTCTCCACCCCAAACCACAGCCTACCTCGGGTGTGTTTACGGCCTTCTGCTGCCAAGGCGGTGTGCCAGATCTTGCGCCGCGCGTTATATTCCGCAAGTGCACACGGAGGATCCTCGCCAGGAAGTGGTCGTCGACCCATTTCGACACCGGGCCCATGCCGTTTGCTCTGATGAGGTCGGCGCCGGCGTCTGCAATCGTGCCGTACATACCTGCTGATGGTGTCTCCCCAAATGCGAGACACACGTCGACGTGGAGTGTGTTTCTGCCTGTACGCACGACTGTGCCTGGCCACTGGTCGGGATGTAGTGGGACAGTTCGGTATGCCTCCGCGACGTCTCGAATGGCAACCTGCGAGCCTGGGGGCAGCCTCCAGATGAGTAGGCATATGGTCGTGAAAGTACCCCAGGTACACGGGAAGCGATCAGAATCAATGAACGAATTAATAGATGGATTATGAAGAGACGTAGATGGCGTGCGAGGGAAGGAGAAATTCTGGACCAAGCGAAACTGTCCCGGCTTTGCCGGCTTTGGGATGACGGAGATGGGCGATGATTGGAAAGGACCGAGTATATCTGAGAGCTCAACCTCCGTGAAGGGCCCGATGTACCTTCCTTTGGCTTCCTCGCGTTGCACGATGCCCTGGAAGATGCTATCGTGGGCGAGGGTGGTCGGATGGTTGGGTGGTGCTTGCGTGCGATTGATGACCGGGATGTCGATCCGGAACCCGACCCGAAGTCCAGCTTCAAGCCCCGGGTACCTCGCGCGCAGACCTGTCGCCTCAAGCTGTCTCCCCCACTCGTTTGCCTGGTACGGGGTTCGAGGGCGTGAGCGGCTCTGCTCGAGGGCAGTTCTGGGCCCCATGGGTTGCCTTCCCGCATCCCGAGCAGATATGCCTGTTGTCGTGGAGGCTGCTGCGACAGCCCCTGCCTCGCTGCCAGTCGTAGCAGAGGGAGCGGCCATCTTTGAGCATGAAGTCCTTTCCGGAGCGTTTTGACATGACCTCGAAGGCCTTGTTCCATGTGTGGGTCGCGTCGCAGTCGAAGACGCGGTGCTTGTGGCGGCCAAGGCAGGTGGCGCAGGCCGGGAGGCTTGTCCCGTCTGCGCCGCTCGGAAAAACCTGCTTGCGATCCTGTGGATACGGATCTGTCGCCGTTCTAGCCGGATGCTTTGCTGAGCGACTACCTACGGTCTCTGCTTGACCTCGCTGCGCCCCCGAGCTGCTGCCCGCAACCGGCGCGCTGGGTTTATTGATTGTCTGCGACTGTTGCGTGGAGTACAAGGTGCGTGTATGCGTGTTGCGTGTATGAATGTTGCGTGTTGCGTGTATGCGTGTTGCGTGTTGCGTGTTGCGTGTATGCGTGGTGCGTGTTGCGTGTTGCGTGTTGCGTGTTGCGTGTAGCGTAATATGTGGCGTGTAGGAACGTGAGTGAGGAGACGTGCATGCATGCCACGTGGGGATGTAGTATGCGTGAGCGAGGAGACATGTATGCGTAGGGATGTGTGCGTGAGCGAAGCGGTGCGAGTGGGTTCGTGGATCGTTGATGGTGTCCGAGAATTCAAGTGGAGAATTGATTGTCAGCACTGTTCTGCTATTGACGGGATAACGGTGCCACTTACGTCGTGCAGAATGTCTACCATGTCTCTCCGCAGTCGGTATGCTTTGTCGTACGCCTCAAGGAGGAGGCTCTCCACGATGATGCTGATGTCCCATGCTCCCTTCGGTGTGTTCAGGGCACGGTGCCAAGCGCGCCGCTGCTCAGCTTGATAGATCAGGATGGCCTTGTTCTTGTTTTCGACCCGGGACTGCGCATACGCGTGCTCGTGGAGATTGCCCCAGAAGTCAGCTAACATGTTCATTCGGTCCGGGTCCCAGTGCGCTTCCTCCATGGCCTTTATGAACCGCGGTACAGCTTGCCAGAGCTGCTCCGTGGTAAGGTCCTGGTCGGGTGTGACCGCCTTCGTACCTCTGGCTGCCGCTGCGGGGGCCCAGGTGGGGCTCCCGTCTTCGCCCCGCCTCATGACCAACGCTTCGTCGTCGGTCTGCGCAAACGACGCGTCTGCTGCATCGAGGCCTGCGTTAGTGAAGTAGTGGAGCTCGACGTATTCGCCTTTGTCGAGCCTCCGTAGAGCAAAAGCCGCGGCTATGTTGAGCTCACCCGCGGGCGGAGGTCGTCTAGGGACCTTAGTGAACTTCCCCTTGTACTTCTTCCTCTCGTCCTTCCTGTCCTGCTCTTCCTCCTGCCTCTCCTGCTCTCTGCGCAGATTGTCTGCTTCGGCGGCCGCGGCCGCGGAGTCTCTCGCCGCTTGTTCTGCTGCCTCAATCTGAGCCTGCCAGCGGGCTATGTCCGCTGCGTTGGCCGTCCTCCACGCGTTCGTGAGCAGTGCGATTACCTGCTCTTGCGTTAGGCCCGCGGTGATCCAGGGCTGTCGAACCGCAGCATGGTCATCGCTCGCGTAGTCTGGTTCTTCGAGACCGTTTGGGTCGATGAGCAGAGGTTGTACCATAGTATTAAAAGCAAAGATCTGTAGTCTACGGATGTTGTGGTCTAGTGGAAGAAAACGAGAGGTCTTCGAAAGCTCGTAGCGGCTGCTGGGCTTTCGAGAGTGATCGTCGGAGTGAGCGCGCAGAAGGAGAGCGATGCGCGCCTAATCTCCTCCTGCGTGCGTAGACTCACTTCTACGCGCCGCTCGTGCCTCGCTTCGCTTAGAGTCACAACAACTACTGTATCTCCTAGTCGACTCTGACGGTAAATGCCCCGACGCATGAAGAGCCGTATCTCCGTTCTTGCACAGATGCAGACCAGGACAGCCTGGGACAAACTTACACGGCACAATATTAATTTAACCACCCTTCGGGCCGTCGCCGAGGCCCGACGGACTCGAGTGTCTGATGCCCGTTCTGCACCGGTACGTCTCATTGACGTTTCCCTTACTTATTCTTGATCCTCATCGTCCGCTCAGGCTGTCATAGCTAGACGTCAGACCGCGCACAATGCCGGCTCGGCTCGGCTACCTCGCAGATAACTTGACAATCGTAAAAGTAGCTAGGCTCTGCCGTTCATCGTCGGACTGTACACAGAAGATGGATCAGTGCCAGACTTGACCGGTTGCCCAGCGGTCCATGGCCTTGTGACACGGATGTCTTGTGTGACCATACTCGGCGTGAGAGATTTGATCATCGATTTTAGGGTGTGCACTGGACATCACGGACCGTCTAATACTGTCTCAGCCCCCGGGAGGGCTCGACGTCGTCGAGTCCTGTGCAGACCTTCTCGTGGTCCGGGGGGTAAGTAACCTCCAAAGAGGTGAAACGAACTGCACTATAACGGCCTCAGGTGAACACCACCCCAGAGGCCGCGGGCTGGAAGTCTTTTCCGCAACAGTTGTCCAAACTGGCCCGAATGCTAGCCCAGGAGTAGCCTGGTCTAGATGAACCCCGTTGGTCAAGCAGACCCCTGGAACATGAGCGAGATCGCTACGAGCTCATAGCGACCACGTCTACTGATGCGAATCACCGAGAACCTATGACGATAGCGGGGCAGGGACGTCTAAATTCCACGTAGATCCCGCATAGCAGTCGCGAAATGTTACCTGCACTAAAGAACAGGAAGACAACTACGTAGAACGGTCCCCTGTGAACCAGCGGGAAGATGCCTGCTCGACGCTGAGCATAACAACGGCGATGCCCAGCATGACTACGAAGGCGGTGTATTAGACGCCGACAACCGGACCGCATCAGCGATTAGTAATAAGACGATGACATCAGTGCCACATATCAGAACAGCCGGACCGACTGACACGACCCGTGGGCTGAACCAAACAGCACCCGCGTCACTAGGGAGACCGACCGGGAAACAACCACGGGACCCAGCATCCGAAACACGTGACCGTATCCGCGACAGAGATCAATTCGCGTCGAAGCGATGGCCCTACATAAAATCTTATAAAGGACCAAGGCAGGACGGCAAGTGGACAACCCAAAATGCCCCAAGCTATGCCCGCATGCTGCACGATTATGTCCTCCCCTCATTCAACATAAGCATAATATGACATAAACGCCCGTACGTCAAGTCACGTTATGGCAAAACCCTTGAAGTTATAAGTCAGGCTGAACCGTCAGGAAAAGACGCTCGTTGCTTGAACATGTTCCTCACCTTCTCTGTTGGCAAGAAGAAGCCAATCGCCACCACGGAGAAGACTCTGAAGCCCCCCAATGGTATGACCTACACCATATCCCATGTCAGAGACTGAACGATCTGAACAAGACCGACGTATACGTACCCGTCGACCCAATCCCCCAAGCTACGCCGTAGCTATCGACGTCTTCGTCGATGGAGAGCCCGAGAGAGATGTAGAGAACGGTACGGAAACGTGGATAGTGGACAAACAACCAGAGAGACCTCTTGCCCGTGGCCACATCTTGACCATGCGTCTGGTCGATCACGTGATTGGATCGGGCCGAATCTCAAAGGTCGATGGCCTAGCCCGCCACTGGGTCACATTCCGCCTCGCAGGTGCACGTGATGGCCTACGGGTCCGCGTACCCGTGCCCTGGGCCGGCCTCAGCGGGTACGCAACGCACACCCACACGTCACAGTACCACATGCTCTCACCGATCCCCGAACCCCACGTGCTGTTCCGGAACACCCCGCCCTTCGCCGATCCCGAATCAAACCCGTACCAATTCGAACTCACCTGTGGGAAGGAGATCCGGCTACGCGCCAAGCTAAACACAGCCGCAAACGGTGACGAATCAGTAGAGGAACAGCAAAGAGCTGAATGAAAGACACACCTACCCAACCAGTATGCAGTAGTCCACGCGGCCATGTAAATAGCCAAAGAAACCCAATTGCTGCCTGGAATGCCTACTCCGTCACTGATCAAGACCGATAGCACCCAGACTCAATACGAGAATCGAGGAAAGGCCCGCACCTGACACGGTGAGCCCTGACCGCGCCTGCATCCCTAATTAGTGAACGGAGCGTCAGTGCCCGAGCCCAAACAAGGGTAACGGAGCTGCTGTGCAGCCGATAAACGCCTGCAGACGCCCACTAACCGACAACCCTCCCTCTCAACCTATAGGTCGCGCCGCGGCACTAACGACCCTCCACCTACGACGGAGCCCAGCGAGCCCTAATGCACCAGCCCCAGAAAGGCCCTCTAGTTGACATTGTCACTAGAGAGAGAACAGATGAAAACATGAGCGCGATGCGCCCCTCCTCTGTGAGTCGTGCAATCAAAATGGATGGCGCCAAGGAACAGTCCTAACGACATGGTGTACGAGAACGTCTAGCAATGATAAGCGTCCCGACCAACCAACACGTAGGAGATGAAAATACGAACCCTGACAGGACTCAGGCTGTCCAGCCATAACGCAACGAAAACCAAGAGCCCGAGCAGGTGTCGACAGAACCTAAACCACCATCGCGCTGGAAGAGGCACGGCGCACAACATATGGCTACAATCCTACCTAACTTGTGAGCGGCGACATCACAATCCGCGGAAGTCTAACGCCTTCAGGACTCATGAACGATGGAATAGATATCCACTTCCCTGTGTTGGGCGACAGCCGACAGCGGAGGCGTGCAGAAGAAAACAGGCTGACAGCGAGCGTCGCGGAGACACGGAACGTGCCCAGCCCAATGTCCTATAAGTACAGGACGACTACCACACGAACTCCTTGCCCAACTTGCAGAACTTAGCCGCAATCCAGCACGCTCAATCTCTGCCAGCAAAGCACCCTATCCTCTGTCTCAATACTGCTATGTCTCCCACTCCTGCCAACAACGCTCTCGCTTCCGTTCAGCCTGACCCGCAGGGCCCTCTCACGAACACGGACAACGGAGACGCCCCTGGCAACGTTGAAAGGGCCGCATCGCCCACGTACGCGCAGGTCGCAGCGCGACCTCCGTCCCCCAGGACGAGCGTCAGCTCCACGTACGTACAGATCGAGAAGCACCCTACTCATCTACACCGTGACTGACGCACTGGCAGTATCGCTGGAGAGAAGGGCACGGCTGCGCCTCCCCCCACTCCCCAACCAATGGAGAGCCCAATCTCAGCCCCGTTCACTCAGCGCGGAACGGTTCCTGACGAGGACGACGACCTCGGATGGACCACAGTCGCGACCCCGAAGAAGTTGAAGAAGACTAAATCCAAAAAGAACAAAGGCAAAGGGAAGGAGGCTGCCCCAGCGTCGCCGAAGAACGCTCAGGCCGCCCAACCCCTGACGCCTGTCGCCTCGCCCAAGAGCACCGAACCGAGGAAACGCAGACGCATGGACGCAGACTACGGCGATGAAGATCGCGCGACTGACAAACGTCAGGAAGCCCCCCTGAGCCTCTCTCTAGCGTCGAAATCGCCTCTCCTATTCGCGCTGAGCTCCCCGTCTCCCTCCTACCCTGCTGCGACGGCTACACCTGACACCGACGAACGCCATGGCGACGGGGATGACATGGCTGTCGACCCTGAGCTAATGCCCGGCTCTGATAACTCCGACCTCCAGTACGCTGCCCCCCACGAGGAGACGACTAGCTGGGACGGAGCTCGAGGCAACCGCTTCGAACACCTCGTCGCTGAAACGCCCGGATCGAGCACCAGGTCCAGCAGGAAAGGCGGACGCGATGCCAGGCGAAACGGACGTGTACCCCAGTCAGGTACGATATACTCTACTAAGACAGAATCGGACGTATAATAACCTACCCGACACCAACAGACAAATTGCTTAGCCCCTCACCGCAGCCATCCTTCTCCATAACGCCGCCGCAGACCCCCAAGCAATCGCGCGGTAGCCGAGCTCGAACGGCAACGCCTGCTGCTCCGTCGCGCATCCCAACCATGTCATTTAAGAAGCGCAGTGTTGGCAAATCTCCAACCCCGTCCTCCTCGCGCGTGCAGAAAGACTCTAGCGACGTCGACATGCTGTCCGACGACGATGTATCTCCCCGCTCCTCGTCCACAGCACGGAGCGCTACTCCTCCTAGTCGCCCACAACGCCGTCACGGTCGAGGACGATACTCGGTTGCTGCCATAGGCAACCCGCCCTACCAGCCACCCTCGACCCCTGAGCCTAGCCCCTACGACATCATCAGGGCCGACCCCGACATCGTAGTCGCCCCGGAGGGCACTCTGAAGAGGGTGCAAGGTGACCGCGCCGACTTTAAGAAGGCTGGCATGGATCCTGGCCAGTCTAAAGCCTGGAACGACTACGGTAGAGACACCCCGCTAATAGTCGCGCAGTACGCGGAGCATGGAACGGAGGAAGCAGGAGTCAACGAACGAGTATCCTTCCTCTACAAGCTAACCTCTCGCCTCTCCTCGAACGAGAATGTCGTTGTCACCCCCGCACACGGAACTCTGGAGTCGCGGTTGCGGAGGAATGGTGCCTTCGCGGCTGCCAACAGGGACCCTCTCTGGTACAGCATTGAAGGTCTCAGCGAGGAGTGGTGCATCGCCTTCGTCCGCGCAGCTTGGCTCCATACCGCCGGCCACACCCTGAACTTCGTTCTCTGGCGTAACAAGATTCCTTCCCTATGCGCCGCCTTTCGCTACACCTTCCGCTTCAGGGCCAAGTCCAGGGAGGAATACATCGCGATCGTGCGACGGGAGCTGCTCAGCGCCGATGTCAAGAAGGTCGTTCTCGAGATCCTCTTGAAGGACATCGAGAGGGGCGGGCGTTGGAAGCGATCGGCACGCGACGACGCCTTTGGCGACATCCTGGACTCCGTCGATGTACAGGTCGTGAGCTGCCGCGTCTCGGAACACACCTCTGAACCAGTTGCTTTCATCTACATCTCTCCTCCTACCGCTGACTGGAACGACTGGACGCGGTTCCGCGACACGATCCAGAACCATGGCTTCGGCTCGCCTGCGGCTGGTCACCCCATTGCCTTCACACGCCGCGTATACTGTACCTTCTGCCACTCTGTAGGCCACCCGTCTGGACACTGCCCGGTCAAGAAGTTCTTCTTCCCGCCGGAGGAAACTCAGCAACTGAACCCGCAACCGCCGACGAACGCGGGACGTGGCGGAAGCCGAGGTGGCCGTGGACGGGGCGCTGGCCGAGGCCGTGGAGGTATGAGACGTGGCCTCTAAGTGGAGGTTCCATGGCTTAGCCGTAGCTAGGCCTGACTGCGACGGTCTAATGTACTGCTCGCCCATCTGTATATCCTCGTTCTTGCCTGTACTACTACATCTGCGACCCTCGCCGAGCTGAGAATAGAACTGCATGCTCTGACAACTGGAACCTCTGAACGATAAGCGACAATGTCCATGTATGCGAGGCAAGAACACCTCTCCAATCGAGGTGCACACACCCAACGGCAAGCCCACATTTACTGACCGCCCACGCGGGACAGGAAAGCTGCCGTGTGTGTCAACCTCGACTCCCTCATCACCAAACCAGGGGCACTATCTAGACTTGCCCCGCCGAGAGGCTTAAGCGACCCTCTCAGTACGCTGAGAGCTAGCATGTCACCTGAGGGGCTCAGGAGCAGCCCCCGCTTGCCGTGGATCGTTGTAGCGGCAAGATTGTATAGCAACGGCGCCACACGAAATACATAACACACCTACGGACGACTTACTGTTAAATGGCCACCAACTTTCCGGGCGGATAGGAGCTGATATCCCCCCTGCCCATGGAAGCTCCAATGACCCCCCGGCAAGATCGGACGGCAGGGCGACCCTCCGTAACTCATCGAGACCGCTGGAAGCGGAGGGCGGCGTAAACGTACCCAGCAACAACAGAGCTGATGTGAGCGCGAGCTCGACATCAACGCGCACGAAGGGCCGTAAAACAAGGGCAACCATGACAGTTGCCTCTCTGAACGTCAATGGAAGAGGCCGTCTATCAGGAAACACAAACAACAAGTGGAATGCCATCAACCACCTACTACGGGAAGACCGGATAGGGATACTGGCAATCCAAGAACCCCATCTAAACTCTGAAGTAGCTGAAGCGATACAAGCACTATATGGGAGGAGGATACACATCGTCAGAGGCGACTCTGACAATGACGGCGTCCAAGGAACGGCCTTCATATTGAATAGAGAAATAGTCGATACATCCCACGTACAAGCGAAGAATATAATACCCGGCCGCGCACTCTCAATCACGACGAGATGGCATAAAGAACATAAGATCACGATCCTTAATGTGTACGCTCCGAACGATCCCCAAAGAAACAAGGCCTTCTGGGAATCGTTGATTGGGTACTATAACGGACACAGACAAGATCGCCCTGATGTAATAATGGGTGACTTCAATATCACAGTCGACACGATTGACCGCATACCACCTCGGGAAGATAACATCGGAGCAACGACGGCACTAACCTCGCTGCTCCTCAGCCTCCAGCTCAAAGACGGCTGGCGAATGTCAGAACCAAACCAACGAGACTACTCTTATCCACAGAGAGCTGCAACCTCGAAATCAAGGATCGACCGCATATACGTCACAGATAACATCCTTAAATCGTCGCAGTCGTGGTCGATAAAGGCGACGGCGGTCCCAACAGACCACAAACTTGTCTTGGCGAAAATCAGCACAGCCCAGGCACCATATGTAGGGAAAGGCAGATGGTCGATTCCTCTACACCTAATGAACGACATCAACTTCCAACGAGAAGCGAAAATAATGGGGAACCGTGCACTGACGAAAGCAAAGCGATACACTGATAACGGTGACCGTGACGCACACAACAACCCCCAGCTGGTGCTTAGCGAATACAAGAAGAACATTGTGACCCTAGCGAGAAACATCATGAAGAAGAAGGCCCCGAAATTAGACGCGGCCATTAAGAAGCTCACCACCGACATAAACAGGATCCAGAGTCTACCTTCATACACAGAAGACCCCCTCCTACTAACAGAGGCAGACGTACTCCTAGACCGAATCATTCAGCTAGAAAGGAAGCGCTACCAACATATCCGCGAAGCGACGACGGCGAGGTATGCACTCAACGCAGAAGCTATCAGCAAATACTGGTCGAGCATTAACAAGGAAAAGAAGCCGAGAGACATCATATACTCACTGAAAGTACCCGGCACCGAAGACATGATAACTCGATCGGATAGGATGGCCCAACTCGCCCGCGACTATCATGACAAATTGCAGGAACACGACGATCTACAGGACGAAGATATGGCCAGATCAGAACACATTCGACTTGCTACAGAGAAACTTGAGTCGCAACTGGATAACTATGAAGCGGATGCACTACGCGCCTCAATATCAATGGATGATGTAACCGACGCCCTAAGAAAGGCGAAGCCTGGGAAGGCAAGTGGGCCTGACGGTATCCCCTACGAGTTCTGGAAGTCAATGCATGACAACAACGAATCGTCAGACAACGAGGAGGCCAGTTTCGACGGAGCGAACCTACTCCTACTGGCCTATAGGGACATAGAGACCTACGGTGTCGACCCTAAATCCGGCTTTGCCGATGGCTGGATGTGCCCGATATACAAGAAACACGATAGACGCGACATCAGTAACTATAGGCCAATCACAGTGCTAAATTCAGATTACAAACTGTACACCAAAGTCCTGGCTTCGCACCTGGCCACAGTCGTTAAAACAATCATCCACCCGAACCAGGCGGGCTTCATCCCAGGACGTCGCATAACGGACCAAACGCAGACGTGTCGTACCATGGTAGACTATGCTGAAGCTACAGAGAATAATGGTGTAATAATTGCGTTAGATCAGGAGAAAGCATATGACAAGATTAAACACGACTACCTGTGGGCGGTACTAGAAAGAGCCGGAGTGCCGCGCAAGTTCATTGATCGAATTAAGAGTCTGTATGAAAATGCAACGACAGTAGTCATTATCAACGGCGAATCAAGCACTCCCTTCAGGGTTGTACGTGGGGTGCGGCAGGGGGACCCACTATCCTGTCTTCTCTTCGACCTAGCCATAGAGCCTCTAGCATGCGCGCTCCGCAGCTCTAACCTCCGCGGCTTCACCATACCTGGAGTGGCAGAACGCCTGATCACTACACTGTTTGCAGACGACACATCGACGTTCCTATCCCAACAAGACAAATGGACTGACCTGTGGTCAATTCTTAGCAAATGGTGCACAGCAGCGGGTGCACGCTTCAATACTGGGAAAACCGAGGTCATACCAATCGGAACAACAACATATAGAACGGAAATGATACGCACCAGGAAGATAGATCCATCCTCAATGAGCGACGACGACAGGATACCGGACCTAATCCATATTGCGAAAGATGGTGAAGCCGTCAGGATCCTAGGAGCCTGGATCGGGAACAAGACGGAGAATGCCGCTGTATGGGTACCGACAATTGAGAAGATACAGAAATTCCTGAATAGATGGGGATTCTGTAACCCGACGCTCACCGGCAAACGCCACATCATACAAATGGGCCCGGGCGGTATGACGCAGTATCTAACCACAGTACAAGGGATGCCGGAATCAACGAGAATGACACTGACAAAGATGATCAGGAACTTCATATGGGGAAAAGGTAGAGCACCGACAATAAACATGGAGACACTGACCCAGACCAAGTACGAAGGCGGACAAGACGTCCTAGACATCCAGTCGAGGAATGAAGCGATCGATCTGATGTGGTTAAAGCGATATCTTCAGCTTGACGACGATAGACCCCTATGGGCCTTTGTGACTGACGCAATCATTGCACTGAATGTTAGCAAGGCGGCCGGCGCAATACAGAAATCGACTCAACTCAACATGTTCCTCCAAAACTGGAAACCACGGATGGATGGATCCTCCCCGCTACCTCACTATATAAAGAAAATGCTAAGGACGGCGAAGAAGCACAACGCGAGCTTCGCGGCCATAAAGCTGGACAAGTCCCTAAAAGACCAACTACCTGTCTGGTACCACATCAGCGCGTCCAAGCACCTGAGAAGACTTGACAACACTACCATAAGTAAATGCCTGCGAATGACACACGGGGCCACAACGGTAGCAGATATAACACGAATAGCGAGGCATGACACGCCGATCGTGATGAATGACAACAGCAACGACATCTCCTGTACATGCATAGACTGCGCGAGTGAGAGGAGGCTAGGATGTCAAGACCCACTAAAATGCAAAGATGCGGCGAGGCGACTAATACGGCTCCTTGAGCAAAAATGGAACCCTACAATAGACTCACCGAACGATGGCCTGACTCTTACAAAGAAGAGGCTGGATATCAATGCCAAAGCAATTGAAAGTGGAGATGCAGTGACGTTCAACCCCTCTGTAACAGAACGAGGAGGACTAACGGAAGCCTTTAGGGTGTTTGTCGAGAGTGGAAACATAGCAAACCCACCTGCGATCCGCCCGAAGAAAGGAGTGACAATTGCAGCAGAGACGCGTAAGGCATACATCTTAGCGTGCCCCAATCCAGACCCGCCCAACAGGAGAGGAAAAGTGAAGCCAGATGGGAACGGATTCCTAATCATGAGACACGACTCAATCCACAACGACTTGACAAGACTGGAAACGCACCTGATTGACGACCTACAAACAAGTGGAGAAATATCCGCGGCGTTACATGCTATTCAACTGATCCCGAAAGACGCCCCGCTACACTTCATATGCGAGTCAAAAATGCTAAGAGTCATGTTAATTGACGAGCTAGAAAAGTGGGAAGATACGGACTGGAGAGGAATAGGCAACCGCGAGGCATGGAAAGCACTGGTGAATGTCCTGAGACAACGCTGCGCAATAACGACCTTCCGAAAGGCCAAGAGCAAGATCGAAAGGCAACTGATGACTAAAGGACGGTCCACGGCTTGTCAGTGGGCGAGGATCACAAGACCCCTCACAATAATACCCCAAACAGAGCCATGCTTCAACCTGTCTGGTGTACGACTGAAAGGCCTTACCCAACGCTTAGCCTATAGAATGATTAGAACTCGCAACCATACGACAAGAGCAGCAACTGAACGTAACCTAAGTTCAATAATACCCGAGATACGAAAACCGAACAGACGCGACACATCAGCAGCAGAGCTATGGACAAGCCTCAAGTCTAAAGACATCCGGAAGACAATATCAGATTATCTATGGAAATGCATACACAACGCACATAGAGTGGGCTCGTTCTGGGAGAATATCCCGGGATATGAAGATCGATCGAAATGTTCATTCTGCGATGAGACAGAATCAATGCGACATATACTAATAGAATGTCAAGCTCCCGGTAGAGACACAATATGGGACTTAGCTGGGTCGATATGGAGGAACAAGCAAGCGGAATGGATTCGACCAAGCTACGAGGAGATACTAGGGATGGGTCTACAAGAGTGGTTTACACGCAAGAACAAACGAAGACCGTTAGCAGAAAGGTTCTGGAGAATCCTAATCTCAGAATCAACGTACCTCATCTGGTGCCTGAGATGTGAAAGAACAATAGGACATGAATCAGACCCAGGATGGGTCCACTCCGAGAAAGAGATCGTAGCACGGTGGACGACATTAATGAACAGACGTCTACATTTAGACATGACGATGACACACCACAGGTTTGGCAGACAAGCGCTTAGGAAAGACCTAGTCCTCGGAACATGGAGAGGAACGTTATTCGACGAGCATGCTCTCCCAGATGATTGGACGAGTATAGATAGGGTTTTAGTGGGTATTACACCCTTCGTAAGCGATGCTAGAGGCGAAGGTTAACTGAGTCCCACACTGGCGGCGACAGCCGTGCTTAAACTGCATTTTCATCCCTGGAAGCAATAGCGGGGCAACCCGCTGGCTGGCTGAACCGTTGGGGCTAACCAATTGTTAGCTGCCATAGTTCATTAAGAGCCCTCCAAAAAAAAAAAAAAACTAATACTGTCTCAGGACTGTCAGTACGACATGGCGGCATCTGCTAGTCCTGCGTTGTGACATGCGGTAAGCTATGGCATTATTGGCTTGTATGGAGATACAAAATGGTTTAACGGATGAGGTTTCAACAGAGAGCGTACAGGCTAGCCCGGCTCGGTATCCCTGCATTCCGCTGAATACACAGAAGGCTTCATTACCAACGCGAAACCTTCCAATATATTGCTGTTTGTCTACTGGCCAATCAACTTTTGTTGGTCCATAGCATACTACCCTCAGGGTCTTGGTACGATCCGTTATAGTGTCCTCAAATGTGATACAGAGCGAGGCTTTGAAATCCATCAAACCCCGGTGTGTATTTACATACACAATGAGCACATAATATGTAGGTCGGTGAGAATGTTGATAAACAACAGACCGTCATACAATGTCACTCGCTCCGTGAAATCTACACTAGCAGAACGTGATCTCGATGTCCACCTGTAAACATAGATGTTAGTCCATGAAGGAGTTGCATGTGCGATGAACCTTACATTGTCGGCAGCGCAGGTCTTAGGCGACGAAGTAGTGGGGCCTACGGGTGCTACGTCAGCCGGTGACCACTTGTTGAATGTAGAGACACTCACAGGTTTCACCGATACCATCGCAGCCGTTGTAGAAGCTGAAGCTGACACATGGGTCTTCAGTTTCTCTACGCAGTTCAGATTGAGCCCAATCAGTAAACAGGAACATGAGAATGCCGACCTGGCAACGAAGAAGATTTCAGCGCTACTATCACCATTGGCAAGTGTCACATCGACGACGGTGCAGTTGGCGCCATTCTGACCGCAGGTACCTGAGAAAATAACCTCAACGATGACGCAGTTCAGACACCTCTATGACGACATACCATCCTGCAGGTAACTGCTAGCCTGTCAGCGCTGCTGTATAACAGAGACAAATGGAACACACGCACGCAATGAGATCATACGCAGGGCCATTTGTGGTGTACGCAGCACCGCCGCTGGACAGGAGCTGGCCGCTCTGCGACCACAGTTCCGGCTGAGAAGCACGTCATTGAGTACACCAGACTTGCGAGTGTAAAATACACCCTACTGTGCCATAACCGCAGCTGAAGGCTCGTCTCAGTTACCTGGCAGGAAAGATGTGAACGCGGTAGCACTTACTTGTTAGTGAAGGTAACGGTGTGCGTCTCCGCATTGGCCTGCAGAACAGCAAGTACCGTCGTGAGGAACGCAACAGTGATCTTGAACATGCTGGCTGTCGAGCTGGGTCGATAGCTAACAAAGAGGCTTCGCTGACCCTGCGGTGCTTGAACACTCTGTGCGACATTTATATCCGTCGCCCCTCGAATTCACCTGCTGTCTGAGCCGATCATGGTAAGGCCCCCTGTGAGAACAAATACTCATGAGCGGAATAGCATATGCAAGGGGCTATAGCCCGTTGAATGTCAGCGCGCCCATCAATGACCTTGTTTCGACGCCCAATCAATGCGCCTGACAGCATTAGAATGTAGCTCATTGAGCGGTAAAACGTGACAACGCACGACTTGACAGCGTCTCAACTTGAAGTTGACTAGGCATTCGACAGACAACCACGAGATTACCTGAGCTCTTTGATCAAACGCTCACGAGCGACGGCAAGTAAGTGGCGTGGACTCAATGATAGTCGGAAGATGGCATATAGCACTGGCAGTAGTACGACACCCACTGTGGAGGGATCTGTAACAGACGCGTAAGTTCGGAATGAATATATTTACGGCAGACTACGTCATATTGTGCCTCCGAGCGCATACATGATTATGTACTCACCAGCTGAATAGATCTGCGCAGTCATGCCAGATGTCTCGCGCATCCCATAGAGTTTACTAGTACTGGTATGGTCATCATCCCATACTTATCACGAGCTCCGTTCTGCCACACAGCGCCACATGCTGTTTGCTAGAGGATATGCTCGACATATAGCCGGCGTGAAAGAGTCTAGACTCTAGGCTGGGCAGGAATTCTGGGTGATATGAGAATGCTTCCGACCTACTACAACGACTGAGGTCACGGTCTCACCTCTCCGGTCAGTCTCTCCGACAAACATCGGATGCACTCTGACGCCACTCAGGACTCGGAGCGGCACGTTCCGGCATACAGAGGCTTAGCCAGTATAAGAGCTTGCCGTTGTCAGAGTCCAGACACACAATGGTGACTAGACAATTGTCGGCGCACTGTGACAGTGCGGCGGATGTTAGTAGGGGATGATGAGCTGTCAAATTGCAGCTGAGTCGGCCTTACCTGGATTGTACAGCAGACACTAGGTATCCCGATCCTGATATGGCGTCCACCAGGACGTGAGCACATGCATCCTCTAGCAATGGAGCGCCACTGAAATGACCACGTTCGTGAGGCTACCGGAGGCGCCGCTGTCAACCTCCAGCAAGGATCACATTGAGACCATTCGAGCCGAGCGTGTCAGTGGCCGTCGCTGCGTACCCGTCTTTCAATATGCTGGTGACTCCATAACGTTACAAAAACATACATATCGTACACACTCGTTGACGATCAAAGACGGGGAAGACGAGATACCCATAGCCACAGGCAAATACTAACGGGACTTGTTCAGTCACAAAATGTGATAGAAAGGTCTACCTACAAAACCGCTACGTTAGCCGTACCCCAGTGTACATTTAGCCACTACGCCGGCACTCACATTATCAGCGATGCAGTCAACCTGGACCCCAGTCATGCCCGAGGTGTGGAATGCGTCGGGGCATTGAGCGTATGTGCCTGTCGCTCTCGTTAGAAGCGGCGAAGCTAGATAGCAGGACCGGAGTCCACTCACAATCGGCACCAGCAGGCTCACAGCCTCCGTAGTAGCCGAAGCCGCTAGTCACACTGAACTCGTGGCTATTGTGTAGTAAGCCTTGATAGTTCAAGGGAAGAAACACGGTAGGGTTCTAGACGTACGGAGGAATAAGACTAATGTCTGCGCTACTGGCTCCGTTGATAAGGGATGCCTCGATTAAAGTGCATCCCTCACCGTTGTTGCCACAGCTACCTGTCTGAAGGTAACTGAATCGCGTTCACAATGTCCGTAAATAGAGCATACTTCGCATCCATAATTAAGCGCAGACCCACGAGATCAAGCCGGGAGCTTCACCATCGAAGGTGATAGATGCTCCTGTTGAGGTATAGAGCGCCCCATTCGGGCCCCACAACCAAGGCTTCAAACAGCGTAAGGATCGAGTGTCCGTACTTGTTAGAAAGAAGTCACGTACAGTTCCGTCGACGCACCTAACAAAGGAAATAAGATTGCTAGCTATTACAATCAATGTCGTGCGACTTACTTGTTCACGAAGGAGACAGTGTGAGTCTCGGCATGCACACGGACAAAGGCAATAGCAGCGGTAAAGAGGGCGGCATTCAAGAGCTTGCTGAACATTGCTGTGGTAGGTCGCGAGGAGACTCTTGGAAATGATGTGTACCTAGGTGTGAGCTCAGCACCTCAAGACAGTGATAGGAAGTCAGCGAACCTTTATACCCGGGGATTCAGGCACGCAGTACCGAGGTTCAAGGACGCAGAGACAACTTCGTCTCAATTTTCAGCTTCCGAGACGGTACTAGCAGGAGTGCGCAACTCACATACCTTAGCACTATCACGTTAGACGCAGCCTACATCTCGTATAGTAAGTACCAAACGTCACCACAGGACGTCAAGTCATAGTGAGTGTACGTACAGCCCTTGAGCATGAACGATAATGATCATCACTACGACACTTCACCGAATAGGGTTGCAGTGCCCCACCTACCTTTCGACTCTGGAGATGCGTCGCCCATAACGTTTGGTTCGGTTGCTCTGCATTCAAGTCGTCACAGCCGATAGGTCTGAAGCACGACATTCGTTCTAGTTTATCAGTGCGGAAATGTTACTCGGCATGGGCTGTATCGTACCTTCCCGCACGCAGTTGTAGTGTGACCTTCCTGTATTTGGTAGAGAAATCATTCAATCAAAGACATTATGTTGCGTAATTGTGTCGGCAGACAGTCGTTGCGTGTACTGCCAGAAGGTAGCGTCCCGCGATTTCTTCCGTAAAACGCCTAGACTGTATATCGCTAGACGCATATTTGTCAATGGGCGCGAGGGGCGCTGGATAAGAGTACACCATGCACACACCAAAACCTTCGTTCAGGTCCGTCTCCAATCTGGACCCGCCGCACACTTATGATCTAGGAACAGCAGAACAGATGTATGGTCAAACAGACGGTCCATGACGAGCACTTGGTCAGACTTACCCTCGTCCAGACATCGGTCGCTGTGGACTCCGCAGAGCCTTGCATATATGAAGCTAAGACAGTTTGGGAAGCCACGTTCCTTGTCGGGACGGGTGACAATCGTTTTGAACTGCGCAATGTATGAGTAGTCTCTTGGAGCGGCGGCGCAGCGCCTCACAGGGCTGGGTATCAGCTCATGAACGCGAATGACTCAACAACCTATCTAGCCTTGAGAACGTTCTTGCGTACACAGCATAGTATGGCAGGCACCTCATAAGCGTCCAAGCGTGACTCAAAGTTCAAGCTTCAAGGCAGGGCATGTGCATGTAATGATATCAGCGCAGATCAGTGCCTCACCTCGGAAGTTCAAAGACAGCCTAACCAAGCGCAACATGAAATGTAGGCCAGGAACCGCTCGTCCGACATGCTGAGGCGCTCGAGACACTTGACTTCTGCCCGGTCTTGGGACTCACTGGAAAGCGACCGCAGCCGGGGACATCGCCTCTCCGCGAAGCCGGGCGCCCGCTCTGCCACATAAGCTCAGTCAGACAGTCGTAACGCATGTGGAACATAAAGAACGCCATGACTTACCATTCGACGGAAGCGGCGCCCCAAGTTTCTTAGACCATGGACGCCACAGAGAGGAGGGCGTCAATCCCGAGGTCCGGCAGCACGAAGACGGTCGACAGCGCCCGCGCCACGGACACAAGTAGTGTGCATCCCAACGAATGTCCGACATGCAAGATGACTTACATAACATACATGCAGCTACACGCTCAGAGTGTTCTTCCATTGCACGCCGCCGACCTCTCCAAGAACCCTCTCCACCTCAGCATGTTCGAGGTTCAGGGCGACTCGCCGGTCGTCCTCCGGTCGGCGCGACACCGCAGCGCCATCTTCGCAGAGCAGCGCGTGAGACGCCACGAGTGAGTCAAGGACGACTCTTAGCTCCCCGGGTCCTGGTCTGCGCACAGTGTCATTTTCGCCAGCTAACAAGCTGATGTATACGCAGTGTTGGTGCTGAAGCTATCCCGACTGCGGTTGAGCGCCTAGCTTCAGCGGAGGCTAGGAAAGCGCGCTTACCTCTCCCCACTTAATCTCCTCGACGCCCTCTCGCTTGATGCACCTAAGGAGCGCGGCCAGCATGAGGCGCTCGTGAAAGCTCAGCTCGCGCAGGTACGCCGCAGTCGGACTATTCTGCATGCTCTTGATGACCTCCTTCACGTCGTCCGTCCGCGCCGTCCTTGAGCGTGGCTGGACGAGTTCCACCGCCCGCCTGCAGATGTCGAGTACGCGACGCGCGTCGCCACTGATGGAGGACACCTTCATCGCCGCAAATCTTACACCGTCGGGGGCCATGACGTCGGGCGTGTCCGTTGGCAGGCCCTCCTTCGCGCTCTGCAGTCGGGCGCGAACGATCTTCTCTAGCTGTGGGGTAGTGTAGGGCTGGAAGTTGATGCGTGTCATGCCTGAGGTATCACAAGAGTGAGCGTCTCGGATCAATTTGCACGCTGAGGAAACTCACCGAGACGACTCCTAACTCTGCCTGTCATGACACGCTCCGGCAGGTCCATCGTGTTCGCTACAGCTAGCACGACAAGCTTCGAACCAACTAGCGTCGGCCAGTTGAAGAAGTTGTATACCACGTCCTGCTTGCTCGTCATAAGCTGATCGAGCTCATCCATAAGTACGACGCTAAGCCGGAATCAGAGAAAGGTCCCGAGAAGTAATGTTATGACTAACCATGCGTGTCCGCCTGGCCCAGCACGCTCGCCCGCGCTGAAGTGCTTCTGGAGCGACTTGAGTGCTTGGTGCGAGCTGATCTTCATGTGTCCCTCCCGAGAGACGTCGTGGCCACATACGGCCTCCCAGAGCAGCCCATATGCCGCAGCGGGCTCTGGTATTCTCAACCCGTTGATCTCAACGTATGTGAACGGATTTGCTTCCTGTAGTTCATCAGCTCAACGCTGCGTAGGAGGCTCAGTCAGAACTCACGTTCTGCTCTGCCATACGCTTCAGCTCCCGAACTACCGCATGGACGGTCGCAGTCTTGCCTGTGCCAGGCACGCCAGATATATCTACGAAAGGGGTCAGAAAGACACAAGACGACGATTGTGTAATGCCTTACAGATACATCCTCCGCTGCCCTCCTCTAGCAGCTCCTCCACCGAACGCAGGATTCGTCCGTACTCATCCTCTCGACATGGTAGGGCCTCCGGACGGGCGGCGACATGCAGGACATGCATTGAGCGCAACCACGGATCCTTGCTCGCCGCCAGTCCAAGTTGCGCCTCCAGCTGTAAGCTGACGCCTGCATCCGTTGGCGGCGGCGGACGAACTGCGAGGGCGGTGCGCTTGCGTTTCCTGAGTGCGGCCTTCGAGTGCGGTGTCGGTTGAACGAGCAGTTCTTTCGTGGGTCGAGACCTGCGGGGAGTGCGTGGTGTACGCGGCGTGCCAGGTGCCCCTGCACCACGTTTCCGCTTCCGAGGCGTCGTCGGAACGAATCGTTCTTCCAGCTCATCCTCCTCAATGTCCTCTTCACTCGTATGCTGGTCGTTGAGAGCAACATCGAAAGAGCTATCTCCTGCGTCGGACTCCTCCTCCGTCTCGCGAACTCGTCTCTTCAACAGTCGATCGACAGCCTCGTCGTCGCTGCCGTCGCTTGTCCTCCGAGAAGGCCTCACACGTGTCCTCTTCTTGGTGACGTCCTTCTTGCCGGTGGGCTCTTCATCGGCAACGACAACATTCCACGCGTCGACGCTGCCGCTCCGTAGACCATCACGCCTCAGTGCGTCCTGCCGGAAACCGTCCCAATCGAGTGCATAGAACAGCCCACGCCGAGGGTCAACCGCGGAGGCACAATAGAAAACAGACTTTTCTGTCTCCTCGTGTACGTAGACGGGCTTCCGTTTGGTCGACGAAGGTCCAGCTCGACTGGATGATATTGAACATCTGGATATGATGTTGGACGGAGGAAGTAGAGCGGTTGATGTCAAGGAATAGTAGATCTCATTCTGTGACGGTTGTCAGTATGAACAAGAAGGGTTGATAAGGGAGTGCTCTCGCTGGGACCTAGGTCTCGCCCACTTCAAAGCAAACTGAGCAAGCGTATGGCTTACGCAGCACTTGGGCAAGCAGCGGGCAGTGTATTGCCGTTACAACCTCCCGTAGTTCCCCGTCCAGTGCGAGACTTCGAAACCCGATGAAATTTCAAGGGTAAGGGGACTTCAAGGTAAGCAGGACGGTCGGCCCCCCTTTGCCATCAAGACTGAGACCCGGGTCGCAGCGGAAGCACCCAAATGACATATATCCGCGGCAGACGGCAGTATTTGGATCACGGATGGAGAGCACAACGTACCTCCTCGTACTCTCTGCGTGCGCGGACAGCAGGGAGTTCGGATGGCCTGTTGAACCAATGCACCAGGACCCTGCAGCCCTTCTCGTCTGTCCCGCCCTCTGCGGCGACCGCCAGGACGGCCACAATCACAGCGATGCTAGCTTGCCTTGACATCGTCCTCACGGATACCGCATCTCCAACCTCGAAAATCTCAGCTGCCTCGTCGCCGAAGACGCGTTCCTTGCCCTTGGCTTTGTTCGCCCGTCCGTAGACCCTGACCGCGCGCCGCACTGCCACGACGTTTCTCCTCGTAAACTGCGCGTAGTATCGTGTCCTGCAGGTCGACAGGTCAAGGTCCTCGTCGTCCCGTTCCTCCTCGTACAGATCCGACAGGGTGGCTTCACGTTCAAAGACGGGTTCACCGGAAGGCGCGTCGGCGACGCCGGAAGACTGGAGAGGTGCTCGAGTGGGCACTGGCTGTCCGCGCGTCGATCTTCGTAGCGGTGTTCCCTGCGACATTTCAAGCAAGAGACTGGGGGCAGAGGAGACGAGGCAGAGTCCGTGTTCGCTGTTCGCGGCAGCACAGCGCGTCGCACGACGTAGGCGCCGAAGCCACATTCCTTAACGCGACCACGTGATATACCGTGGGCGCTGTCGGAGCCTCCTCCTCGGCCTCCTCCTCCTGATACTCAACTATCGCCATGAATCCCGACATGAACACAATCCGCTGAACTACCGAAGTACTCTGCCCGCCTACGTGCACATGTTTGACAACGACTCCCCGTCCCGCCTTCCTCGCGCTGGCAGGAGAAGCGGGAGGTGGCAACGTCGGAACAGCAGTGAGGAGCGCAAGGTGCGTGCCCTTCTCGTCATTCTTTTGTCAATCGTTCCCGTCTCTTCTCTGTGTCGGTGGATGCTAAGCTCAACGTCGATGCGCAACGCATCATGTTCATGCAGATTTGCCACTGGCTAGATGGCCTGGAACACAGTGAGCCGAACACCTGGCCCGGACAAGACGCCTCCACAAGTAACACGGACGCCTCAAGACCACCATCCCGAGCATCTCAAGATGGGGCTCAGAATGCTGGAAATTCGGACGCGGGCGGAGAAACCTCGAGTTTCCAGCCTCCTACTTTGGATTCACGACGCGGGACGACGAGGCGTGCTCTGGCCTCTCCAATCACCTCGGATGCCTTTTGTACCGACTATGTGACTTCCTGCTCCGACGATCTGATCCTCTCGCACTCATGTTCTAGTACTGCGGTTCGCAGCTCTGGCGCACATGGAGAAAGCTCTGGCATCTCGACGTCCCACAATGGGAAGCATGCAGGACGCACCATCTCAGGCTGGACATCAGATACGACAAGGCTACTCGCAACCGGCTTCCAGAGATTGGGACCAAAATCTGTCACATCGTCGCATATGTCCGGTACCACCCTCGTGCCCTCCTCAGCGTCCTCGTCGTCTCCGCAGCTCGACTGGGCGAGCTACCCGTCCCCTCACGACGGCCGCGCCGATCATCTATCTTCTTCAGCCAGCTGCGGGCATTCTAGACGCGAGTTGTCACAGCCAAGTCACACCTCCGTCGCCAGTACCACAGTGTTCGACAGTGCCGACTCTCTCACGACTACCTCTGTAATCAGTAGGCACCGCTTAGCCTACCATCGCAAAGTTGATACAAAGGCAGCCCCTCCGAGTGGAGACCAGGACCTGTTCCTATATATCCCCACGATGCTCAGACCCCTGCCGCCGCTACACGCCCCATCCCTGGGCTTCTACCGACTTAGGAGCGCTGGGAGTGATGCATCTTCGTCGTCAGCCCAAAGCGAAGGTCAAGTGGACCGCGCCCAAACGGACTGTCTATTCGACACGATCCGTGAAGCGCTGACTACGCCGTTGTAACTCGATGCACGGCCGCGCTGGGCTTTCGGTTTCAAACATATCTCCTGTCTTCATGAGGTCTGTGGGTTATTTGGGTCGCAATACCGTTGTTTTATTTGACTTGGGTTTGAGGTCGGGGTCTTTGCGTTTACGGGTTATACTAGAGTATACCAAAGGGACTTTGCAGAGTAATGCCGGGGCTTCCTGTATCGTTGGGCTAGCGGTTAGTCTACCGACCGTGTAGAAGATTATCGTATACATTGCGGCCGGTCAAGCTCAAGCTCAAGTGGCCGCCGCGGGGGTGACGCCGCAGGCCGCAGGACCGGGTGTTTGTCGTTATTGTCCAAGAGCTTCGTCCCTGACCGAGTTTGGCAACTTCTCAACCGTCATAACCTTCAGGCCGACCACTTCGGTCTGTCCGGAGCCCTGCTGTCGGGGCGTGATTGATGCCCATTTTCGAGGCGAATCCGTCGTTGAGAACCGCAATGGCTGGGTAATGTGCGAAGTGGTAAGTTACGTCCATCCCTGCAAGCTGCATCGCTGTGAGTACTGCCGGTGTTCTGAGTTGACAGACGTTCTGAACTGAACGACGCTGACAACTCCCCGAGTATCGTTGGAGACATCACGACGCTTGTCTACAGGGGGCAAAGTTGCAGAGCCCATGGCCGTCAACTCGGAGACGGTGGCGAAGTTGGTACTGACTGACGTAGGATCCGGAGCGCGCGCTTAGCTATGAGTGTCGTCGCCGGTGCACTGCCAATGTATGACCCAGCTACTTGCAAGCCTAGCCCTTTTATGCGGACACACTCCAGGTCACACACTAAGTATTATCCTGATCAACAGGCCAAGCCTCTAGCAATCAACGTCACGGTTCGCCGCACAGAGATGTCAAAAGTCGTGAGATCATGATGTTTAATTCCTAGTACCGTTAACTGACGTCGCCGTGCGCTCTGGAGGCTGCGGAAGGATCACACAAGTCAAATTCCAGTCATTCGGGGGCGGCTAACTAAAGCGTCTAGACGTGGCACGATGAGGCTAGGATCAACGGAAGGCAAGCTGAGACAGCCTCCGAGTTGTTCCACGGGAGCTCGATCCGCTCAGCTTCATCTACTGAGCCCAAAGCTCAGTGAGTTGATTGACTTCTACTCTCCGGACACCGCAACATGCCTCCAGTGTAGGCGTATCCACCTAGTTCTCGCTCATCTGCGGTCATCTCGGAACTGAGACGCATTTTTTAAGTGGGCGACCGCAGGCACAGCCAAAGTACATCCCAGGCTCCGTGGATACAACGTCGGTGCATAGGTAAAACATGATCTCTGGTCATTGTTGAACACTTAAAAGCAGACCGAAGGCCGCGATATTGTAGTTCAAGTTCGAGATCTGCTCAACTGCTGGTGGTTCGGTCGCACTCTGCCTCCAACGACGTAACGACCAGTAGGCCTGTGTCATGCTATTCCTCACGCTCCTAGAGCATGCGTTGAGAGCGTACTTCCTCGTCACTGTCGTACATGCGCAGGAACAGCACATTGTTTCGATTGTGAACAAGTTAGTAAGACATACCCTCGACATCGTTCGTCACACTGATCAGTCGCTCTCTAGCTGCGGCAAAGGCTATGTGAGTGTACTGCACGTTCGGAGGAGGGTATACGTCTGATGCTTATCTACGTAGCCTGTGCTGGGAGGACTAGACGGTCGTCAGTTCTACCCGACGAGTGAGCCCGTGGTGTTCGTAGGCCCAGCTTTAGGTCTATTCTCGTGAGCATATGTCTCGTCCATGCCAAGTATGAATCCCGCTGACGTTGAAAGCGGTATAGATATCTGCAATACAGTGAGCTATATGGATTTAAAGCATCACGAGCGATCACGGTACTGACCTCACGGCGAACCATATAAGCCGATGATGACGGTTCGTGTGTTACCGCGCCTGTTGACATCGAGAACTGACGACCGCGACTGCTTCGCGCAGGCAACAACGTATGCGAACAAAATGGTGAAGGGTGTACGACAATCGAAGCCTCGCTCAACAGTAACGGCAGCAGTGCAGACATCTCACTTGTTCCCCCGTATGTGCCCGGATATTGTATCTTGTTTGCTTGGGGTGACAGACGCTCTCAGCCATGCGTTCTCGGTGACCACGGGCTTCGGATATTACGATGGCTGTGACGGGGCCGGATTAGACTGTAAGTGTTCGCTCCCTGCGTATGTAGACATAGGTTTATGGTGAGTCACAGGTACCAACGCAGACTGTCCCGGAGCGAAGAAGCATAACTCGAGCCAGGGCTGGTTACCGATATCTTGTTCGGCTGCGAACGTAAGGTTTATCATCATCTGTTCGACGGTGAAACATACTGACATCCCACAGGTCAGCCTCGGAATCACATTTTGCGATTGAGACATTCCTGTGTCAGCGTCCACTACGAGACGAGGGAACAGCGAAGGAATAGTAGCGAGGGCAATCCTGTAGCATGTCCGAAGGGAATCAGAGATCTATTCGTAGACTACGCCAGCCATCATGTCGGTCTCACCTGTATTGGACCGTGATGTGTACGCACCAACCGACCAGCCGCGGTATTGACGGTCAGACAGATACGCAGAGTATGATCGTCGTTGAAAGTATGCATTAAGGAAACACAGTAATGAAGGTGATATCATGGTATTCCGAGACAACTCTGTACGATGAGCAAAACAATATTCCAATCTTGCGGTCAAACCCACTTCACCCTTACCCGTCTACCCCACAAGCGCTCTATGCTCCTGGCACGAAGGGACCGAGGCCGGCCGCCTGAATTTTCGATGGATCCTCACGGTTCAGCGCACCGATGAGGTTGATCAGTTCCGCGCGGATGTCTTCGCCAACCTGCTCGGGGCCGCTGGGATCGAGGACGAATGCGAAGACATGCAGCAAGCGATCCATGTAGGGCTGGAGCACGGCTGGATTCGTCTTGAAGAGGTGGAAGACGGCGCCGAACACGGGGCGGTTCTCGAGGTAGTCGTTCTTGAGCGGGAGAGCGTCGAAGAAGACGGGAAGCACTTGGTCGAGGGGCACGGCGGCGGTATTCCGGACGATCATGCGCCCGACGGCGCCGACGGCGTTGTCGCGCGCGTTAAGTCGCGGCCCAGGCGCATCAGCAGTGACAACGAACAGCGGCCGGAGCGACGCAAGCACATTGAGATAGTGCTGCGAGAGGTCCATCTGGGAGTGCTCGATCAGGAGACCGATCGCGAATGCAGCGTTGCATTGTACTTCAGGCTCGTCATCGGAGAGTGCACGGAAGAAGAGTTCGAGAAGGGGTTCCGTGTAGGGTGTAACGGCGCTCTTCAATCCGGCGATGATCTCCGACAGGCAACCAACAGCAGATGAGCGATCGCTCAACGACCGGTTCTTTTTCTACACGCGCGAGACAGTTAGCGTCCGAGCGACCAATGGTCGGAGAGGGATAGTACTTACGTAGTACTTCGAGATGAGGGGGAGGAAGGTCTGGAATGCTTGCGCGAAATTCGGGCCAAGAGTGTTCGCGAGCGCGGCGACGAGGTCGCCTGCCGAAGAGATGAGCATGGAGTCGTACTCTGCCTGATCCTCCGGTGCTTCCTCTTCCTCGTCCTGATCAGGGTCCTGCTGGCAGATAGCCTTCTGATCGAGCACCTGGTTCGCGATGGTGCCAATTGGCTCTAGGCCTGTGTATGAAGTGAGCGATTTGCGAAACGTCAGTGTGCAGATGTGCACTCACGTCCTTCCAAGAAACCGGGGCCGACCTTGTTGATGGTCTCTGCCAAGCCGACGCACAGGGACGACACCACCTTCCTATCGTAGCAGGCCCGTTCAGTGAGTGGACGATTTACGAAAGCGTCATACGTACTTATTATCCTCAGACTCGTACATCTCATAGAGAGGGACCCAGATATGGTTGATGAGCTGGACGACCTGGTTGTCCAGCGGCGCAGCCTGTACATGACTTAGCAACTACCACTCATGCCGATGCAACGAACTCACCGGAAGACCGGGGAGCCACTCTTGCGGGTTGCTCAGCTCATAGAACGTCCGGACGATCTCCAACAGCGAGTCGACCGCGGACTTCCTGATACCGTCGTAGTAATGCGGGAGCAGGCCGATGAGCTCAATCGTGCACTGCTCGACGTAGGGCAGGAAGTGCGAGCGGGTCGCGCTGAAGAGCGTGCCCATGGTGTCGGCGGCGATCTCCTTCTCGATACAGATCGTGCTGTTGACGTCGAGGAGCTTGTCGAGGTCCAAATCCTCCTCAATCTCGACGACAGCGCCGCCGTTCTCGCCGTCGGTAATGGTGATCGCGTTCGCCGGGGAGGTCCCCGTCGCGAAGCTAGCGAGGTTCTCCGAGTTCGACGCTGCGAGCAACACATTAGTACATCCCCTCGCTCAGCAGAAGATGGCGATACGCACTCGCCACGGCACCGGACTCGTCGCCGTGCTCCGCCTGCTGGCAGCTCGCGATCAGTGCGGGGACAATCTTGGGCAGGTATACAGCAAAGTCGTCTCCAAACACACGCGACAGGATACCGAAGAACAAGAAGCTGCACTCGCGCAGGCGAGCGCTGCCCATCTGGATGCCGTCGAACGCGCAGTTCATCATGTCGGTCACGTACGGCGCGAACTGCTCCTTGCCAACCGCGTCTGCGAACGTCCCGACCGCGTCCATGGTGATGCCGCGGAGCTCCTGCTCCTCGCCCTCGTTGCGGAGGACGAGGAAATGCTTGAAGCGCTCCATGATGCTCGGGAAGTACGGGAGGAACTTATCACCCGACGCGTGCGCGGCGCTGCCGATGGCGCCAATGACGACGGACTTGACGGAGATGGGCGCGGTGTCGAGGAGGCCAACCATCTGCTGCATAATCATCTCGAGGTAGAGCCCGATCGTGTCGTGCATGACCTCGAGCAGCGCGTCGAGCGCGGTGCACGCGTTGCGCTGCGTCGCGGGGTCGTTCACGAGCTGCATGATGGTCGGCACGAGCACGGCGTGCTTCGACCCGCACTCCTCCTCGAGCCACTCGCACAGGCAGCTGACCGCGATGCAGCTCGCCTTGCGCACCTGCCCGTCCGAGTCGTGCAGGCCGGTCTCGATCATCGGCCACACTTGTGGCATGAGCGGCGTCATGTACTCGCTGCAGCCCTCGACGGACACGCCGAGTGCGAGCATCGCGCCCCGACGGAACGCCGGTTCGGGCGACGCGAAGTACTGCGAGATGAGGTTTCGTAGCGGAGGGAACACCTGCGTGGGCGGGAGGTTCGTCGCGAGGCAGTCGACGATGCGGAGGGCGGACTGCAGAATTGTTAGTCGCTGCGCACTGAACAACGATGCCGGATACGTACACGAGAGGGCGCATCTTCGTCCGCATCCTCGGGCTCCGGTTCGGTGGTAATGGGCATGAGGCCCTCGAGGATGGCAGGGGCGAGGTTGTTTGCCTGCACCTTGGACTTTTTGCTGCAATCAAAAGCGTAAGCGGCGCGCGTTGTCGTAGACAAAAAAGGACTTACTATTGCACGGTCCAGTTGAGCGCGTTTAGAGCGAGGACACGGAGCTCGCTCTCGAAGGTGCTGTTGGCACCGCATGTGAGGAGGAACTGGACAAGCTGTGGGATGTGTTGGCCGAGCAAAGGGGTCTCGAGGATGAGCAGCGTTTCGAGGACGTCAAACAGCTGGCGCGCGCCCTGCTCGTTTCCGTTCTCGACGCACTGACCAATCGTCGCGATCATCGAAGGGAGCATGCTCTGGAATGCTTTCTATAAATTGCGCGATGAGAGACAGTCGACCTGGATGAGAATAGGATGCGTACGATGTCCTCCTTGTCATCCTGGTCGATGTACTGTGCTACTACGCCGAGCGCACTGCGCAGGTGTGAGCGATCGCACTACGGACGAGAGGATAGACAGGACTCACCGAACGGTAGTGATTCTGACTTCGACACTCTCTGGGTCATTGAGGAGGGCTCCGAAGAGGGTGAAGAGCTCCTTGAGGTGGTTCTCGAAACCTTCGACGATATTCTCGAGGACGGTGTAGAGGATGTAGATGCCGACTTCGCGGTGGGAAGCGGTGGCGGAGGTGGAAGTCTGCTGGAGGAAAGGGAGGAGGGACTGCCATTGTCCGACGGGGATCTCGATGGCGGCAACGGCGGCGATGACACGGGCGGTGGAATGGCGGACGAGGTTACTGGGAAGGACTCACAGGTTGGGATGCTACTGGCTAAGCAGAAGGTTGGCGACATACCTGGGGTCGGAGAGAACGAGCTCGGGGAGCTTGGCCTTGATCTGCTCGCGGTCGGCCTGGGAGACTGACAACCAGAGCTCGCCGCTGTTGACAGAGACGCGCTTGCGGAGCTCTACCGCGGCGAGTTGACGGACCTGGATGTGTGTGAGCTCAGCAGGCGACTGGATAGGATCGCGCGACGCACAGCCTGGTCAGGGGAGCTCGCGATGACGCTGGCGAGGGCGGGGATGCATGCCGGGTTTTTGTAGTACTCTCTGTTGAGCTGAGCGGTGGCCTGGACGCGTGCGATGGGCGAGTGAGCGGGGCGTCGGGCGGGAGAGACGCGGTCGACTTACAGCTTTGAGCTGCACGGTATCGTTTGCAGTCGACTGGACGAGGAGGCTGTGGAGGCCTTGCACGAAGTTCGGCTGCAGCAACGGTCAGTTTCGCGCAGAGACATGAGAGACGCTACGCACATCCATGGTGTCCAACGACGGAGGGGCAGACCGAGCAGGACGAGGCAGCAGCGAAAGCCGGACCACCGTCCAAATTTTGCGCTGAGTTTCGATTCTTCCCACGTGCGATCGATCGCCCCCTCCACTGGGCGCTACTGCCCCCGCCCGTCCGCCACCCCGACGTACCACCTGCCGTTCCCACACACTGCGGACAAACCCCTTTGTTTGGCGTCGGATAAGTCTCAGATCATCGTTAGAATGAGTATATCATCTCGAAATCCGAACATGAATTATTATCGGTGACCGAACATTGAAAGGCACAGCTCCTCATTGGCTGCCTTTCAATGTTCGGTCCAGGAAAATAGATAATATTCGGATTTCGAGATGATATACACGTTCTGACAATGTTCTGACGATGTAAGCGCTCCGTGCAACCTGCTTTGTCCGCAGTGACACTTACTTACTTACTAGTTACGAGCATCGCAAACCCGTGGCTTCGCCACGGGTTTACGGGGCAATTTCTTCATTCAGTGCTTCATGTAACTTTTAAGATTTCATGCTTATGCAATGCCAGACCTGGGCTTTGCCTCAGGTATGATGGTCGTTATCGCGGAAAAATACTTACAGTGAGAACTTAGTTGTCGCGTAAGACTTACCACTTAGTTGACACGTGAACCGTACCCTTTGGACATAAATTCATGCCGTTTCGTGCACTTGGTCTCTACAATCATGCATATATTTCTTGTCTAGTCACTAATACTGTATATAGTTTGCAGTGAGACACACCCGTTGTCTGCTCACCTAGAATGCCAAAGTCCGCTTCGGCAGCTGATCAATTGCCTAATGCGGAATCATCAGCCAGTTGTGGCAACTTTGTCTACGTGCACTGCGGCTGTCCATTGCATGACATGGATAGCACGAACCCCGGAAGCCCGATCATCATATTATAGACTCGGAGCTGTGAAATCCCTTTTCATACTCCATAGCCCCCCTTATTGACGAGACGCATCAGGAAACCCACCCCACGCGAATTTGCGCGAATTTGCGCAAATTTGCATCAATTTCCTGGACAGCCCATTACCTTGACCCCCCCTGTCAATTCACTCTAATTTGCGCAAGTTGCTCGCAAAAACAGTGTAACTTTTGAGGACAAACAGAGCACATAACGATTCAGACTCACGTCATTTTGACGGTATTTACTGGACAATAGCAAACTTTGTGCTACACTTTTACCGCTCATAGATCTATATCCATACCGGCAGTCGACGGGTCAACAAACTGTTGAACTTCCGAGTTTTCAGTGTTCTTATCTTATCAGTTATGTACGGATATGGACTTATGTTCTGCGATGTCAGATTACATACGTTCTTTGATGGACTTTGCCTAGATTACGTCATGTGACTTTAGTCCGGATCATTCCATGATATTCCACGACATTCCTTGATGTTCCATGACGTTCCATATCATTCCTTGATGTCCCATCACGTCCTATATCACTCTTTGATGTTCTATCATGTCTCATATTATTCCTGATGTTCCATCACGTTTCATATATCTCTCCACATCAAACTCCGAGTTTTGGCTTACTCATGCTGCTTACCAGCTTACTCATATCCCCAAAACCTCGGACTTAGTGCTTACTGATGAACCACTGATACAGCATGTGACCTGTATCAAATGTGTATATATACTGGGCTGGTTTGCCCTGTAATGATAACGATCCTTCGTCCTCTCCTCTGCCTGCCAGCATAGGATCTTCCCTTTGGGACTGGTCTGTTCACTCACTCATTAGTCCTTCATTGCCACTGGGCTTACTAAGCCTAAAACCTCTTTCTTTAACAGGTTATGAGCCCTGCACTCTGATTCTTTAATCACCTGCACCCCTCTTTGCGCGCTCCAAAGCCCAACTCTTGAAAGAGTGAGTTGGCAATTTTTGTCCTTTGTTGGACTATTTTTAAGTCGCTGCATGACATAGTGCCGAAGGCCTTGTCTGAGCGCATCTCTAGGGCAGCCCGAAAAGGCAATTACGAAATTTATCATCCGTCTCGTCGTGAGAGAAACGACGTTGACGAAGACGACTCTAACGTCATCGCCGTACGTCATCGGCATTTGTACGGTCATCTACCCGTCCGTCGCCAGATCGACATCATCCTCGCTCCTACCCCTCGTCGCCGCCGCCAAGCCTCTGGCCGCGTAGACACGTCCATTCCTCCCAAGGAGTCCTGCCGCACCTCGCCGGAGCAGCACCTCTTGTATTTGCAGAAGAAAGCGGACGTTGCCGAAACTCTCGCCGAGACACGCCGAGCCGAACTCGCTGCTGCTCGTGCCGCTAGTGCCGCTGCTGCCGAGACCAAGGCTTCGCTCATTGAGCGTCTTAGCGGAGAAACTCCCATCGTTCCCACGGCTCTAAAGCCTATCTTCCTGTTCGACTTCCGCAAGAAGTCCACCGCTGACAAAGTCGAGATCCTGTGCAAGCGTCTCCTTGCCGTCCAGAAGCGCCTTCAGCCCCTCTATCGCCACCGTAACCGCCTCTACGCCCGTCTTCCCTTGTTGGATAACTTGGACGATTTTGGCAGGCGTTTCAACTGGGTGCTGACGAATATCGAGGAGGAAGGAACCACGTGGTCTGCAGTCGAATTGAACGACATCTGTTCTGTCTGCGAGCTGATTGCGAAGATTTCCTTCATAAATCTTAGCCAGAATTTCGGCAGCATTATCAAGGACGTAGGGGACTTGTACAAGAACAACTACTTGTACTGGGTAGATAAGCGATTGTAGTCGCATTTTTTCTGTATATCTTCGTCCCTAGAATTTAAGCATCACACTGTGGCTTCGTCTCAAGAAGAGACATTTGACCAAGACTCAAATAGTGAAGCATCGAACGGAGTAATTCCACCGTACGATTGCACCGACCATCATCATCTCTACGACTACGAGGAGAACTTCGATTATCATTTCGACGTCGAAGAAGATCAGTGGATTAACTGCGACGACGCTAGTTGCCCACATCGCTACGATCAACCTCTAGGTCCAGTTCCAGAAGGATTTTCAACTGGAATATCGGTCGCTCCTTGGCAGGAGAATTTCCTATTTGCTAGTGAATTTTCGGAGTTACCTCCATATCCTGAACACCTAGTCCCGCTCCCAGAGTCGAGACCTCAATCTCCATTCTTCGAGGAATTACCCTTCGAAGTTTTTACCCCAGAACTACCATCCGTCTCACAAGACGAATTTATCCTCCTATCCGCAACCATGGGTGACGTCAAGCCTGACAATGTCCCCAAGCTTTCCTCAGCGTCCCAATACGCTGATTGGTCAGCCGCCATGCGCGGCTATTTGGTTTTTATCCAAGCCTGGCCCGCCGTTATTGCAACTGGCACACCCGCAGCGGACTTCGCCACTCAGAATGCCCGTGCCCAGGGTGTTCTATTTATGAGAACCGATCGCTCGATGCATCATCTGCTCGAGAAAGACACCGGTGATCTCAAGGATGCGAAGGACATGTGGAACTCGCTCAAAACCGCTTTTGGCACCCCCGACACGGCATACGTCTGGTCTCTCTTCCAGTCGTTAATCAAATCTCCGGAAATGTCTGACTCCAAGCCAATGCAGGATCAGATCAACAAGCTGGTTACCCGGCTCAAGGAGATTAGTGGTGGCGGAATTACGCTTGGTGACTCGACTCAGGCTCTTCTCCTTCTGTCGAAGCTGCCAGAGTCATACCAGTCGATGATCTCTGCGCTCCTAGCGACGCAGACCCTCAAAGATCTAAAGGTCGACTCGGTCCAGAGCAAAATTCTCGCCGAGGAATCACTTCGCCGGTCCGGTATGGGACAGTCTGCGTCTAAGATGTCCCAGGTCAAGCATAAATCCAAGGACCCCTGCGATCACTGCGGTGGGGCCCATGGTAGCGAGAATTGTTGGACCAAGTACCCGCATCTCCGCCCACAGAATAAAGGTGGCGGAAAGGGGAAGAACAACAAGGGCAAGGGCAAGGGCAAAGGAAAGGGAAAGAACGGAGGAAATGGTCAATCTAGTTCTGGTACTTCTAACACTGCATCTGCGTCGGACTCTTCGAATGTTGTAACTGTAGAATCCTCCTCGTCGTCTGCGAATACTATGACTGCTTCTTGGTATACTGCGGCTAACACCGCATCAGGAAGAACGACTGATTGGATTATGGATTCTGGTGCATCCAAGACGATCACCAACGACATGGCTGATTTTTGGGATTACACTCCTTACGAGGAGCCCATGATTTTTAGCACAGCCGGCAAGAGTAAGATTGCAGCTTACGGTGAAGGCACTATCAAAGGCGTTGTGCATGTTGAAGGGAAACATATTGTGGTTAGGTTAGGTTAGGGTTATGAGTCGATTTCGACACCCTAGGTTGGTCTAGGTTGGTCAAAAAACCTAAGCCTAGCAGGCACCTAGCCCTCTTCCATTGCACACCACAGCAATGCATGTGAACATCAATCATGCCGCACACGATGTGCAGCACACACAATGCATGCCGCAATGACAAATGCTGTGCGACGTGGGCGCGCCTTGCGCTGCGCGATCTGCACGACTCCGTGCCGCGCGACAAATGTGCGTCATTGCCGTACATGTGCACGGCCCTCCTTTGCAAACCCACCATGTGCGACGTGGGCGCGCCTTGCGCTGCGCGATCTGCACAACTCCATGCCGCGCGACAAATGTGCGTCATTGCCGTACGTGCGCCTGCCACTCCTTTGTCGTGCTCACTGTCGGGCCCGCAATCATGCTTGCAGTATAGCAGACGATGCGCTACTCAATTGTGAATACAGTAGCACAGAAACGAGCGGTCGCACATTACTTCTTGCTAGTTACAGTCGTTGCCTTCATGGCCGCTGACTGATGAGTAGCCCAGACATGACCTGGTGCAGAATTTGGACCAGACAACTGATCGGTTTCTTCATACTGTGAAACAGTCCAGAAGACTGTTTCACAGTATGAAGAAACCGATCAGTTGTCTGATCCAAATTCTGCACCAGGTCATGTCTGGGCTACTCATCAGTCAGCGGCCATGAAGTAGGGCTTGATCATTTTAGGTGTGTCAGTCGCACATTCACCTGGTAGCATGCACCTTAAGGGTGTGCGCCATTATCGTACACTGTCGGTGGAGCAGCTGGGTGGTTTGGGTTGCATTGCGATTGTGCTGACTGGTTTCATCATAATTTGAGCCAACGCGACATTGCGATTACCACGATCGACCTTGATGGAGGACCCTCCTGCAAGCTAGGACATTGTCGCACAGGGAAAACAGCGCTGTAACGCTTGTGCGATTGGCAGATGACTCGGTCGCAGGCCAACTGCGCGGTGTGCGGCATTATCGTACACCGTCTGGGGAAAGACCATGTGGGGTGGTTCGGTATGCATTGCGATTCCAACAGACGGGAGTCATATTGATTTGGACCGATACATCTCGATCGCCGGGATCGCCCGCCGGCGGGGCGGGTGCCTTGTTTTGGCACAATCTGGCGGGTTGAACTTTCCTGGCTAATGCACCATCCCGTGGGGAGAACGTTCAGCTCATGGTGCCTTGGAGTTTGCCCAGATGTTGTTTTCAAAGTTTAGCCGGTTCTGTCTATATGAACCCCCTGTCTCAGCGCAGAGTCACCCTCCCCTCCCCCCTCTCCTCTTTCCCCTCATTGCCTCACGCCCTCAGTTTGCAGCGCACAGACATGGCGCCATGGACGTCGTCTCAGACGTTCTTCGACGTGATGGTGTCGCAAACCGACTTGGTGAGCCGGGGTGCGTGGCAGATTCTTACGCGGTCGGACAGCGGTCTGCCCTGGGAAGATGGTCATGTCCCTACGACGTGGCTTGAGGGCCATCAACCCAAGCTCGCCAAAGTGAGGTCGTTTGTGTCGCGCTACAAGGCGATCAGCACCGAGATGGCGAAGCGCGACGCGCTGAGGACAAAGGCAGACAGTGACAGCGAAGGTCGCACTGCGGTGCTTGGCTGGATTGACCGTCAGCAGAAGACCAAGTGGGACGTCCGTGCACGTATTCTGGATGTCCTCGAGGAGTACGACTATTCACCATACCAGTGTATGCGCACACTTGGTGCCAAAGAGGTAAGTGCGATTCAATGCGACATAGGACTACCGTAGTCGCTAACAAGTTTCTGTCGCAGCTGGGAACTGCCGATGAATGCGCTGTGTACACTGTGACCTCGCAGATCGTCGGAGAGTTGTTCGGCGATGACGCCGTGCGTAACGGAACGCATCCTGAGCCATGGGCGCACAGCGCCGTTCGCCGGCTCATCCAGATCATGTGGAAGACCGAGAGGACGCGAATCAAGCGGGAGATCAATTCTTTGGAGGCCTTTGCGGAGAAGGTGAACGAGAAATGGGAGGGTAAGTCATGTTTCGTGTACGGTGTTGCTGTGCTCACGGCAGCGACAGCCGTGCAGTCGAAGAAGAACTTCAACGTCGCAGTGAAGGCGTACGCGAAGCAGCTTGCTGAGAAGGTCGAACTTGTGAAGAAGATCGACAACCCGCTCGTAACCCCCAACTGGAAAGGTCACATCGAGAAGGTGGAAAGGATTTGCGAGCAACTTGCTGATCGGTCGCAGGCAGTGAAAGGTATGCAATTTATGCGATTGCGCTCGTCGCATAGCTCATATTGTTTGCAGGCCTTCCGAAGACTGTCATCGAAGCCATTCAGCAGCTCGCGACCGAGGAAGAAGTGCAAGAGTTGCAGCTGAGCATCTCGCAGCTACTCGAGAAGGTCGATCCTGATCAGGATGAGGAGTTTGCGTTCGCTGGCAGCAATATCGCAAACGAAGGCTGGAATTCAGGTGTCGAACATTACCAACAGTGCACGCTGGACGAGGTCTGGGCCATGCTCGGTCGAGGTACCGAGAAGACCATCCCGTTTTTCAACACGGTCGAAGCGACGGAGAGTGGAGCGGATCCGTGGTCGGTGCAAGGGATCTTGGCTCTCCAGGACGGTCCAACACAGCCTCTTGTGCCGCACTGGCACCAACTGGTTGGGATCTTGAAGATGCTCGACAATTTCCTCGCTGGGAAGCCGATCCTGCTTGTGGATGGAGTCGGAGTCGGAAAGACGATGCAGGTCGTTGGCGTGATCTGCTTCCTTGCGTTTTTCCATGATCACTTTGAGCGCAATGGATACTTCCCCGGAAAGTACAGTAAGTGAGGTCACGACACGGTCCTTGCAGTCGCTCACAGGCCGTTGTCAGAAACGACCACGTTCAAGGGAAACGGGAACATTCCCAACGCACCCCATCTCATTGTCGTCCCCGTCTCCCTTGAGTATCAATTCCGACTCGAGATCCATCGCTATGTGCAGGCGAAGACGTTCGACATGATGTCATACTCGTCGATTATTCGCGGCGAGAAGAGCGAGAAGTTTTGGACCATTGTCAACAACTTCAAACAGGCTCCCATTCGGCAGATCATCCTGGCGACCAATCCGGTAAGCGTGCGACTGACAGTCTGAAACGCGTCACTAATTGTGTTGCAGGCTGTGGCCAAGGACGGGTCGTCAATCTACAACAAGTGCACGAATCCAAAGTGGGGCCCTGGAACACAGAAAAAGGGCCCCGCGTTTGAGGCCGACAAGGCGAGCTCGGTGTTCAGTCGCCAATGGTGTCTCATGATCTGCGACGAGATCCACGACCATCGCAAGACGAACAACACCTTTCGTGCGATTCGCATTCTTCGGGACCAAGTCGGCGGGGTGATCGGCATGTCTGCGACGCCCACCATTACCACGCCAATGGTAATGTCTGCCATGTCATAGTAGACAGACCTGTACTGACTTGCACGCAGGACCTTGTCATGATCGGCAGGCTGCTTGGAGTACCTCTCTGCGGCGACCAGTATACCGACGTGCTCAACGCGCACAACAGAGCACTCAATCGCGCCATGAGCAACGACCGTGCCGAGCGTGCTGTGGAAGGCGACCTCGCCCGGCTTGCCGCGGTCAAGGGAGAGGGCGACTCCATGGAGGTCTCACTTAGCCAGACCGCCACTGTGGTGATGCAGATCACGGCCGATCTACACATGCGATTCGCCGACCAGGTCCTTCATCGCACAGTCAACTCGATAGACTGGGAAGGCAAGCCCATCAGTGGACTCCCGCCCGCGCATGACATCGCACTCCTGCTGCGACTGTCCATAATCGAGGAGCAGGTGCTCAACGATGTCACGACCGAGGCTGGAGAGGCCATGGAAGGCAGCAGGAAGGCTGAGGCAAGCAAGGTGTGTTCCAATTCACTATTCTACAGTGCGACTTGAGCGTCATTGCCGTATACACACCGGTCCAACCTGGTCCAAGTCGTGTGGGTTGCATGGTGAGACGTGGGTATGCGGCAATGACGCATGCCACTCTGTGCGACTGCCAGTGTGCGTCTGTCCAACTGCGCTGATGGTATGCGACAATGCCGCATGCACGCTTGTCGGACATGGCACGTTACCTGTAGCCAAGAGCCAGGGGACGGGCGCATGCGACATTGTCGCGTAATCGCGATTGCGACAGCCATTTTTCACACAACTTCAGTAAGACCGCGATGTTACTATATGTACTCACACCTATCCAGGCCTTTTACATCGACCTTCGGCGGGCGATGTTTCACATCTCCCTCTCCAAGAGTGCGCCGGAGAACATCACCATTCCTGAGACCGTCAAAGACTTTGAAGCGATGCCCACTGCAAAGCTCCGCGCGCTGCA